ATGCGGATGTTGCTTTTTTGATGGCTTCATTAATGGATTTGGCGTCTGATTGTGTCGTGTATGTTGTTACGGTTTCTCGATGTTCTTGTAGTTTATGACGGTAGATTCGTAAGCGGTTGTGGGCATCTGATATGAGGACGTTTAACATACGGCGGCCATTTGATTGTGCAATTTGTTGAGCGTGAGTTGTTTTTAATGGTGGTCGATAGTTGATGCTGTTCGGTAGGATTCGTTGTTGTTTGCATTTGTGTAGGAAGTGAAGCTGCTCCAATGTTGATGACAAACCTACACAAAAACTCAAATCATGTTTCGCCAAGCATAAAGACAAAACAACAATTCATGATACAACTGACGCGATCTACATGATACCATGTAAAGACTGTTCAAAGCAATACATAGGACAAACATCTAAGAAAATTGAAACAAGACTCACAGAACACAAAAACGCTATAAAACGACGAGATCCGAACTCACTACCGGCAGAACATACCCACGGAAACAACCACACATTCGACTGGACAGAAACTAAAGTACTCGGACGCGCACAGACTAAACACGTACGCGAATTTAAAGAAGCTTGGTACAGTGAAGACAACGACACAATAAACAGACATATCGACATACCATCATATACTCATAACTAAAGAAAAAGGAAAAAAAACTACAAACAACACCAGAACTAAAACACTACACTCTAATATTATTAACACCACCAATCATATTAACAATACACCAAAACCCATGGCAACGCATTTCACCCCATCCAATCACATTAATCCATCATCAATCATCAATCATCAATCATCAATCATCAATCATCCAATTAGACGCTCTAAACGTCTCCAAGCTAAAAGCACGTGTAAATAAATATTTTTCATTCTGATGAAGGCTCGAAGCAACGAGTCGAAAGCTCAATAAAAATCATTCAAAATCCGGAGAAACTTTTATCTTTTATATATTCAATGTCTGGATTACAAATTTTCAAACTTATATATATATATATATATATACAAAGTGTATTACAATGTGTGTTATATATATATATTATATATATAGAAAACAACCCGCTACGAGCAATTGTATCTCTTCCTGGATCACCTACGTATGAACTATCAAAATATCTTTCTAATATTCTGTACCCACTAGTAAAATCATCACATCATACTATCAAAAATGCCACCACTTTCCTCACCAATATTAAAAATGTAAAACTAAAACCAAACGAAATCATGATATCTTATGATGTTGTGTCACTTTTCACATCCATACCACTAAACATAGCCAAACAAGTCACAAACGAACTACTTACTAACAACAACTCGTGGAAAATCACAACCGAACTAGACCAAGACGATACCATCGACCTGCTCGAGCTCTGCCTCTCCACTGAATTCTCCTTCCAAAATTCATATTACCGACAAATCTCAGGAACACCAATGGGTTCTCCTTTATCCACCTTCCTTGCAGAAGCTGTTATGCAACACCTTGAAAAGCAGTCAGTCACCAACAACACACACATCAGACTATGGAGAAGATTTGTTGACGACATCTTTGCTATCGTCGAAAAAGACAAAACAGAACACATTCTACACACAATAAACAACACCACACAGAACATAACCTTCACCGTGGACAAAGAACAGAACAAACAACTTACCTTCCAAGATATTCTACTTACCAGATCACATGACGGCACATTAAACACACAAGTATTCCGCAAAAATTACACACACAGACCAAATACTCAACTTTAATAGCAATCACCCAACACGACACAAAATTAGTTGCATACGAACTCTCTTTGACAGGATTAAAACACACTGCAATACAGAAGCCAAGAAGAATGAACACAACTACTTATACTCGACATTCATAAACAACAATTACCCACGAAACTTTATCAACAAAGTATTAAACAAAATACACAACAAACCACAAACTGAAAAACCTAACGAAGATACAGACGAACCAGTAAAAATAGTGACATTACCATATATAAACGGAGCATTAGAAATGACATCAAGACTTCTCCGACCATTCAAAATAAACATCGCACATAAACCAACACACAAACTCAAATCATACTTCACTAAACATAAAGACCGAATAAGGACATTTGACACAACCAACGCGATCTACATGTTACCATGTAAAGATTGCCCCAAACAGTACATAGGACAAACATCCAAGAAAATTGAAACAAGACTAACTGAACACAAGAATGCCATCAAACGATGCGACCAAAAATCACTACCAGCAGAACATACCTACGATACCAACCCCACATTTGACTGGACAAATACACAACTTCTTGGACGCGCACAGACAAAATACACACGAGAATTCAAAGAGGCATGGTACAGCAAAGACAACAACACAATAAACAGACATATTGACACCCCCATCATCTATTCACAACTAAAGACAAAACCAAAACAACAAACTAATAACACAACGACTAAAATACAACACTCAATTTCATTAACGCAATCCATACACCCGAAACCATGACAACGCATCTTATACCATCCAATAATATCAACTCAACTACTAACCAACCACTCAGACGCTCCAAACGCCTACAAAATCTTTGTAAATAATATATTCTTACATTCTGACGAAGGCTCGAACTCGAAGCACCGAGTTGAAAGCTTAATAAAAATTTCAAAATAAAATCCAGAGAATCCTTATCATTATCATATATATATATATATAATTGAAAATAAAATAAACCACGAATTACTTCATAGGAATTTATTCCCTACAGAACTGTTTCGTATGGCAGTTGTTTAACTTGCCACACTCGTCAGGAGAATGTACGGCTACACTCGTTCTCCTGACGAGTGTGGCAAGTTAAACAACTGCCATACGAAACAGTTCTGTAGGGAATAAATTCCTATGAAGTAAATCGTGGTTTATTGTATTTTCAATTATACCGCTCTGCCGTGGCATTGAGCACTCTATCCGTGCGATTTTGTTTGCGATAGTTTTTATCACAAAATCCTATTATATATATATATATATACAAAATGTATAACAATGTGCCCTCCCGGCTATCACCATAGTAAAATGGTGACTCCTGCACTTGGCACACAGAATGTACGGCTACACGTTGTATGGATTGTTATGAAGAGTCACAAAAGCGCTCAAACCTATAAAGGTGAGCTTTGCATAAAGCAAAAGCGGTGAACGTCTCTTTATGAGACTCTCTAAACAGTCCGAGAGTGCTCACACTGCGCACTGTGCCCTAGGGTTTCACGCCATAGGACGACTCTGAGTAGTGACAGCAAAACTTGTCGATTTTATTTTATTTTGTCTTACGCTTTTCTAATACATAGGATATTGAGCGCTCTTTTATCCTGGAATGTTCTCCATTAATATACAGTAAACCAAGTAAGAAGACTGGCACATATAGAAGAATGGGGACTAAAATATTATTTTTTCTAATAAAATCATTTCTTACACAACATTCTAACAGTTCTACTTGTGCAGAGTGTCCCGAAAAATTTCCCCCATGTACAAATGATTCTTGAGCGTTATTGCACCTATGAGAATTGAATTGTGTTGTACATAAACGGTGTAAGTAATTTATTCGTTAATATAATTAATTGAAAAGAATAGCTTAGAAACTAATTTCAGTGTCGGAATCTTTGATGTTCGTGTCCTCCCCTTTTCTGGTTCAAATTCTAAGCAGACACACCTTCCAGCAAGATATACTTCAGCAAGATCAGATCGCAAGAGAAAATATAGATGTTGTTACAAATATATCGTTTTGCACTACAAAAGCTTGGTACCTTATCTTTTTACTCTTGGTAAAAATTTCAGCAAACGCTTGCTTTAAACATGACCATATTTATATTGTGAAAGTATTTTGCTGGAATCCACGCATGCATGCGTAGCGGAAATTCTGTGGTCGCTTTGCTAAACTAATACTTGTATTTTTGAACTTTTGCCAGCTTAATTGTAAAGTCGGTGTACAATGTATTAGCATAGCAATGAGTGCCGTCAAGTTGCTATAAAATTAAGCCGTCCTGGGATTACCTATACGTCGGGCTGTGTATTGTCAATACTTAGTATGCAAAGGACGTGTGTTTTTCGGGTTTTCAAATAACTATTCGAGTGCTGCCAAAATTGTTGCTCATTGCTATTTCATTTCTTATAAAGCGTCTTGGGAAATGGATGGGTTGCGCTAGTAGAGCTAAGAATTGAACAGATCTTACAACGCCGTATTCTTAACTTGCAATTCAGCCATGTTGGTGATCTGATACAAAAGAATATTTCATCAGAGTTATTGTTGGCACCAGCCGGCGTGGGCGAGCAACATTGTTTCGCAAATCTTAAGAGAAAGGTTGCAAGTCAAGAATAAAAAAAAATGTCAATCAAAAGTTGTTTTGAGGAACAAATGGCTAAATTCATTAGGAACAGAGAAAACTGCAAAGAAAATAAGAATGAAGTGATTCGACTACGTATTTCGATGCATTGATGTCGTCTGAACGTTCTTCACATTGTGTAGTGTGTCATCATTATTACACATTTCGACATTGAACAAGTTCTCTCTTGCATAGTTTACTACCATAAACTTCATCATGCATATTTGTCTGATAAATTGTTAATGATAACCCAAGTAACAGTCAGTTGCTTGTTCGTGTGGAGAGCTCCACTCTTACGAAGTTAATCAGGAAATCGGCAATTTAGAAGCAATTGAAAAATGACAATCGTTTAAAGTATAATTTTTGAAAAGCCAAGCAAACTTTCTGATTCTGACTGAAAATCACATGTCAAAAACAGCCGCTAATTTTCAATGATTGAAACTGTAGCACTTGGCATATCAAACCTAAAAATTACAATAGCTGCAAAAATATGTACGTTTTTAAAGTTCCCTTGGCGTCCAATTATAACAATGCATTAAGATGGTATGAGGATTAATGTCGCATGCTTGAACGCAATTGGCTCCTGCAACGTTATTTGACTCACTTCCAATTGAGAGGTGATAAAACCTTGTGTACAGAACCCAACAAAAACAGACTTTGCTGAAGAGTGAACACCCATCAATAAAGGCAAGAAATATCGTAGGAAGCAATATATCTCTTTCGCTTTGACAACTTCAGTACGGATAGAACGGTTTTGCATTCGGAATGGCCGAGGATACCATTAATGTGGAGGACAAGCGTCGGAAAACTAGCAAAACCGTTTTTGTCGGATCCGACTTCACAGATCTAACTGCTCGGCAAATTGATGATGCTAAAGAAACTATTTTGGACCTCGAAACTTACTGGAGACGATTTCGCTTCGAAATCGACAGCTTAAAGGAGAATCACCGAGGAGAGGTATGTTATTACGAAGCTCTTTATTGTTTCTTCATCTTAATTGTTGTGTTGAAAGATCATATGCGTAAGAAACTTTTCATGGCAATGACATTTTAATGAAGTAGGAAGCTAACTTAGTCTGAAATGTTGTTCTTGTTTGCTGCGAAAGTAAATGCTCATTTAGCCGAAAGAAATTAAGCTCTTTTCCTAAAATTGTCATTTCGACCGCTTCTATAATTTGTGTGGTGAAAACAAACTTAACAGAACTAATCATACCCTATTATTACCATAGTTAAACATAGCCTACCTCTGCGCGTATACTAAAACTATGTAAGCACATTTGATAAGCTGCGTATGGAAATTTTTGAAAAACCTTTCAAATGTTCTATGGAATGGAGTGCTGGTCATTTAAACTGAGTAAACGCCAATTAATCATTTTTGCAATAACTTTTGTCGTTTAAGTACATGTTGACATGCCAACGGATCAAAAGCTTCTCTAAAATAAACTGTAAATTCGCTTGCCAGAGACAAGATGACAAATATATTTAAAATAGCAGAAAGACTAGTAATTGCTGATGCGTTTGGGCCGCCTTTGCAACTGAATGAATGGATGTTGACGAATACAATTGCCTCAAACCAAGGGAGATATGGGATTCGAAAGCAGTTGAACACAGTTTGTTGGCTTTATGTTCAGTTGATAAGGGATTTTAAACACCATGAATTTCTGGATTAATTAAAAACCCATTCCAGCTAATAGCAATTTTCACGGGCTTAGTGTACAATACAAATGAAAACTATTTATATTAAATGGGTCCGCGTATAAGCCATGTTCCAAAACAAAATTATGAAATTGATGCTGATTGCAAAGCATTTTTAAAAGTTTCACAACGCCAAACCTTTTCAGATTTGCTAATCGCATTTTATATCGATTTCAACAGCCGACGAGAGTGTTTATCTCAATTTTCGTTATCATTACGTTGGTTTGTCTACACGTAGTGAAGTAGAACGAGAACAGAAAATGTAAGCATTGTAAAACAAAATAATGACATATTTTAAGGCATTGTGCAGAGTGTCGTTTTAAGAGATGCAAATGTTAAATATTGGTAGCTACTCTTGAATAATGCTTTTAAACAATACTTTAGAACAATACAATATAAAAAGTGTAAAACTTTTGCAGTCCATAAACTTTATTCGATGTCATTATAATATAACAACACTCTAGTGTATATAAACCAGATTTTAATTGAATATTCAGGCATCTACGTGCGCTTCAGTATCCGTAAAATATAAACAAAGTCTGCTGATTATCTTTAGCGATAATTAACTTTTACTCCTGAAATGCAAATATTTTTTGTGTTGAGTCACTGGGAAAACAATGAATGAAATAGATTTTTAGAAGACATGAATAGTAATTTGTCTCGAGCAAAAGATCGGCTGGCTATGCCATTGGTTATTCTCAAATAATATTTTTAGGGTATATTAGTTTAATCGCAAATAAACCCTTTTTTCAACATCTAAATTTCATCTTTGGCGATGTTTCAATTATAGCGAAGTTTTCTTTAACGTGTAACTTGTTTATACATAATATAAATCCATTTATATTATGTATAATCTCTCTGATGATGGCTTTGGAATAAAGTGTAACTTGTTTGATATTGTTGATTTCTGAATTAGACCGTCTACGGTAAAGAAGTATTTCTGGTACGTAAAACAAGAAAAAAAAAACAAAAAAAAACCATCGACACGCTCGAAATAAATAGTCAAGCTGTAGTTGTACAAAGAGTCATACCGTGTTCATATGACTTTGACATGATATAAGCCAGGAAATCAAGCTTTTGGCTTTTTTGTCAATAATTACTGCAAACCAAACTAAATTTTATGGTTTGAGCTACATTCGCAGTTGACTAGTTCGTGCTTTGAAAGTAATCGCGACCCACTGCTAGGCGTTTTTACGCATGTGAACGTATGTTCTGGCAGGTTTTCACCATCAGCACCAAGATATTTGTTTTCATTGCCTATAATTTGCTAGCGATAAAGAAAATACTTGACATTTCGGCGGCATATTCTTTGCCGGGAAAACACGTTACTACACATACGTTCAGATCTGAATCAATGCTTTGGCAGGTATAAGGTAAGTCGAAATAAATCACTGCGGCTCATTTTTGATTACATTTACATTTCGAAACCGTAGAGGCAACTCAACTGAAAAAAATACATTCTTTAGAAATTCATCCCTAATAATCTTAATCTAAAACTAAAAAGTATTTTGAATTTACCCTTGAGCTGCTATAATTTATTTTGATTTTTGCCTGTGCCTGCCATTGAATCAGTGTTATCCATAGTTTGACGAAGTTTTGTTTTGAAGCTCTGTAGTCATGAAATATTGCTCAGGTAGTACATCTTTTGCAATGTGATGCAGGCATGAAAGTTTAATGCAGGCTGATTCCAAAAGTTTTTTACTGGAAAATTTTAGACTTACAATATTTGTTAGATGCAGTAGCTCTTTAATATTCTATTAATCTAATGTGAAATTGTTGACTTCTTTATTGTTTGTGAAACTGTGATTATAGTTAAAGTTGAATTCTAATGCAGAATGGTGCAGGCTTCTATTTGGTGAGGCATTTGTTGAAAAGGAAATTATTGCTTGTGCATTATGAAACAATTCTGTTGTTGAAGAACAGTCTTGTTTGCTACAAATGTTACTGTTTGTACAGACTTTGATATTGCATGTGAGTCTGATTCAATTTTTAATCTATCTTAAAAGATTAATAAGTTGAGTAATGACATAACTTCTGCATGTTTTTCCAAATCATAAAGACCAAAGACCACACCAAATCATTGATTATTTAAAGACCAGACAAAATTATTGATAAGCCAATTGAACATGCTCTGGTTTAAAGTACAGACAGCAATGTATATTTCATTCCAAGTAATGCATTTCACCATTTCTCTCAGCTGTTTCTGTAAATATTTTATTTTTAAATACTTATACTGTACTTTCAAATTATGACTTAAACGTATAAAATACAAAATTCAAAAGTATATTATTTTAGCATATTGGATTAGCCATAATTGTTTGTTGGAGTGGTTAAGAGCTTGTAAATTGGAGTCATATTTCAGAACACAATGATAATTTATAATCTTTCTATGTAGCACAGGCTTTTACTGTAGAATACTATTGAATCGTTAGCATAAGGGCAAACTTTTCCAATGATTTTTGACTGGAAGACAATCTTCGTAAATTAACCTTTAGTTAAGAGCAGTTTGACACAATGGTCACTACGTGCAATCCAATCCATCGTAAAGCCATTTCTTTCTTCTTTCCATATTCCTTGATTCTGCTAACATGTAGTTACGCGTTTTAGCTATCAAATAATCAATTGTTGAAGCTATATCCGCAGAAAATCAAAATATTTCCTTAACAGACAAACAAACTTGTTTTTATCGCCATACAAACACTAGTTCAAATTTCAAAATTAGGAAAGAAAATGGCGGAAATTGATCATGTGACCAATATTGCCTTACCAACGTTTGCAAACCAGAGAACAATACATGTCCCAACTCTTCCAAAAGAGGGCTCTGGTCTGAACCGGTCTGAACATTTTAGTGATTTAACAAGCTATTTACGTTACTATTGTACATTATGCTAAATGCCCATGTATTTGCAACGTGATATACCAATTTGCAAGGACAGACACCGCTAAAACTCTGTCCTCCATCTCTATATCATAATTTTCATTTTCTGATGAATCTGAAGATGATAATTCCGACACAGATGAGGACATTTAAAAAAAAACGAAGCAATAAACGAAATATCGGCAACAATATTGATTATTTTAAAAAGCAAATAACTTGTTTTGATTAGAGCGTACACAACTGTGTTCCTTACATGACGTCACAAAATGTACTGGATACCAGATCCCATTGGGAAAAGAATGTAGTGAAAATCTGCACTTTAAAACTGCGATTGCGAAGAAAGCTTTGATCTCAATTCATTCGTTTTTCAAGTTTATAGTTTTCAAGAACTGCTCTTTCAAACCATACAAAATCCTACTAGGTTTATATGCTCTTTAATAAACGAGTGCGATGCCTTTACGGAGAAATATCGGACTGAGGTTTTTTGTACAGACTGAGCCCGTAGGGCGTGGTTTGTACAAAAAGACAGAAGTCGGATATTTCTCAGTAAAGACCGAGAAAGTGAGGTTATTAAAATAATTATTATATGGCATTATTTGACCTGAAACGAAGCTGCTTTCTTTCTCGTCTTTGCTGTTTTTTACCAGCCGGCTTTCACTTTTCTAGTTTTGGTCCATAAAAAAATCGTTTCAAATTGTATCGTCTGGATATTTAAATTGTTTTCAAAGTGTTTTTCCTTCGATAAACATTTGCAAATGTTTTTTTGTTTCGTTTATTTTGCGTTTTGCTGTTTGCATTACGAAGTTTATTTACATTTAATTGTAAAATTACGGGTTTTGCACAGTGGTTGATTCCAATAAAATAATGGACCGGCAAAAATGTTTCTGAGCAATTCAAAGTGCGCCATTTAGCACCTGGAAGCACCAATGTTAAATGTTTTTGTTCACTCTGAGAACAATAGATTTTGAAAAAAAGGAGTAATGATAATGATATGAAATTTTAAAAGCAGGAGTAAAGCATGCGGATTGGCGTCTTGTTCTCTTAATATTAAATAAACAAGAGTTTGAAACCGAGTCGGTAGTAATTCCTTTCTTTTCCAAAGACATCGTCGGACTAATAGATTACAAAACAAGTTTTGAAATATTTACCATGGGGTTTTGAAGCAAAGAGCCTCCCAGTTTTTCAGAGATATCTGTCGTGAAACATTTTGGAAATGAATATGTACAAACCAACTTGCACAAAATACTAACAATCAATCGCTTTAAGATCCTCGAATGTTTGCAAAGTCATTTAATAGCCAATAGATAGCCACGACGTTAAATGAAAACTGTTGACGCTTTTGGACATAAATATTATTTCAAATATGATGAGTTAGGAGGCTCTTTACACGACCTCTTGCGTATAGTTATTATAAAGCTTCCAGCCTGCTGCATGTTTGCAAATGATATAAGCCCTTGGTGCGTTTGTTTTATGCGCAATTCATTTGACGTGTTGAATAATGGAGTAAAGTCATAGAATTTATAGTCCATCACACGTCCTCTGGGAGGTTATGTTCCTCTATTAACTAAATAAAGCCATGTCGACGATGTGTATGACATCATAACCGAAGGAAAAGTTTGCACATGTCTTTTGTAAAACTGTAGATTTAGTCAAGTACATTAAAATAAGTTGTAAAAGAAAATCTGAGAGTGTGTCCATTGACTGAGTTACAAAATATGGATGAAAAGAATTCACTTCTTATAAGAACTTTAAACTAATATTGCAAACTTTTTAGCACTTAAACAAGTATTGTTTTAATTGGACTTAGGTAAATAAACTTGGTCAAGAAATAGAGAATTTATTACGTCAAAAAACTGCGCTCCAAGACCAGCTAAAGACCACGAGATGGGATGCTAAGCGCCTTCAGGACGATTTAATTCAGTCTCAGAGAAATCTCACAGAAAAGCAATTCGAAAATGACGGTCTAAACAAGCAATTGAAGAGCAGGAATACACTCGTTGACAAACTAAAGTCTGAGAAGAATGCATTACAGAAAGAAATTGATCGTCTGCGAATGGAACTTGCTTCAAAAGACATGATCACCGTCACTAAGACCGATAATGTCGAGTCAGGAGTGGACGATGATCTGTTTAGTTACAACAATGAGATATCAGACTGGCAAGCGAGCGCTGAACTTGCCAACAAAGAGAAAGATGGATTATTAAACGAGTTAAAGGAGCTTCAAACTGAATACAATCAGCTCAAAGGTGATCACGATAAAGCCAAACGTGATCTGCAAATGTGCGAAAAATCAAGCCGAATGCAAATGTCGAAGTGCGAAACCCTGCTGCAAAATCTTGGTAAACAACGCGATGCCATGAAACAACAATTGGATGAATTAAAAGACCAATTGAAGAAAACCAAGGATAACAACGCTCAATATCAAAAGGAAGTGTTAGACAAACAAAAGTTGGCTGATTCTTTAAAAGAAGAAGCCGGAGCAAAAGCGTCACAGATTGAGCGCCTAGCGTCAGATAACGACGATTTGAGCAACAAAATCGAAAAATTAAAGAAAGATCTTGCTCAAGCGCAAATCACAAATCAGGTAATAACGAAAGATCGCGATGGGTTTCAGCGAGACTTGCAGCGTGCTGAGAATGATATCGACTCTCTCGAAAAATCCCTGGAAAAAACACAAACTGATAAAAGTGACCTACAGAAGGACTTCAACATAACATTAAATAAGTTAACGAACCTTGAAGACGCTTACGAAAAGACGCAAGATAGACTTAAGACTCACGAAGCTCAAATTCCCAAGCTTAAAGCTCGTGTTACTGAATCTGAAGGCAATCTAATGTCCATGAGCAGAAAGCATCAGAAACTTGAAGAAAACCTTGCTAAGACGAAAGCTGACATGGGGAAGGCACTAGATGATTTAGCTTCAGCAAACGAGCAGGTCGATCAGCTGGCGACTACATGTCAAGATGGAGTTCGTGACCGCGATGATTACAAACAACGCTTAGCACGATGTGAAAAATACATTTCTGAATTGAGGCAACAGCTTCAAAACACAATTGAGGAAAGAGACAACCTAGACAACGAAGTGTCGAAATCCAAAATGCAAATTGGTAGACTGGAATCTCAGCATAATACCGCACAACGTGAAAAAGCACAGCTGAATGGTCATCTAAGTGATGCTAAAGCTAAGAATGCTAAAATAATGGCTGATCATAATGTCATGAAAACAACGTGCAATGAAAACAACAAAAGTTTGCAATGGCATAAAAATCAACTTGAAAGCAAGAACAACACCATTGCCGATCTGAAAAAGCGAATTGCAACGTTGGAATCAAAGCTAGAACCGTTGTATGAAGAAGTAGGAAATCTACAGTCAAAATGCGAGCTTCTCGGAGAAGAAAATGAAGGTTTTCAAGAAAGAGCACTAGAAGCAGAATTCAAATGCAAAGAATTCCAGACAGATTACAATATACTACAAAAAGAAAAAGAAGATTTGACCGAAATTGTACAAGAACTAACAAAAAAGATCTCGGAGCTTCAGACTTCATTAAGCATCAGCCAGTATGAGGTGAATGACTACAAGAGCCAGGTGCTTGTTTTCAAGCAGAAATTAGATAAAATAGACCGTGAGCTGGACGAAGTAAACAAAGAAAGAATTGAGCTCGAATTACGACACAGCGATCTTCAAAATAATTACAAGAAGGCCAGTGATGAATCCATTGTACTTAAACATAAACTAAGTGATGTACAATCGTCATTGAACGATCACATGACCAAGTCAAACGACAACGAAAATTTGATCATAATGCTTCGTGAAAAGACTGTACTACAAGAAAACGAGCTTGACGAAATAAAGAGCGACTTGGATCACTACAAGAATTCATTTGAAATCACAGAAGATGAGAAAAACAAGTTGGTGTTCGAACTCAAAAATCGTGATGATGAGATCAAAAACTTGCATGACGTCATCAAGCAAAAAGAACAAATCGACATCGAGCAGAATATCACAGTTCAAACTTCAAATGTTGTAGAGTCTAGCATGGGTGATTTTTTCGATGGTCCATCACAGCAAGATCTCGACGACGAGTTGGCAAGAAATAAGGAACTGCAAGACGAGGTTGATAATCTTAAAGAAAAAATGAATCATTTGAAGAATGAATGCGTCGCTGCAAAACGTGACATACACGATCTTCAAGAAGAATTGAAAAGTGCTAAAGATAAAATCCATCAATTGCAAGATGAAAATGATCATTTGACTGAAGAAAAGGCTGTTGAATCCGAGAGAGCGACATTAGCCGAAGCGAAAGCGGATGACTTGGAAAAGGAAGCGGACACTGCTAACCAGAAACTTGAAAAAACCGAAGAAGATCTTAACGAGGCTCGTGGGCGAGTATCTAAACTGGACTCGCAGCTGAATTCCCTACAAAAGCAAAAAGTTAAGTTGCAACGTCAATTGGACGACTCAAACAGCAACTTTGCGAAATGTAAGGAGGACATAATGAGTCTTGAAAGTAATTTGTCCGAACTGAAGATGAAAAATGACTCAATAAGCAGCTCGCTTGAAAAGAAGGAACGAAATCTTGCAAACGTCACTCTTGATGCAACAAATAAGCAAAACGAATTAGACGCTATAAAACATGACGTTGAAAATCTCAAATCGACAAACGATGTCTTGACAACGGAATTAAAGGAAGACGGTAAACGCATGCAACAGCTTCAAGATCAAACACAAGATATGAAAAAACAAATTCAAAAACTTCGTGAAGTCCAAGATAGTTTAGAAAATCAATTGAACACAAAAACTTTCCAGTTCACCACATCTCAGGCACAGCTAGAAAACGCCCGTAAAGACCATGACCACTACAAAAATGAGCTAGCCACTGCACAAAAAAATGCAAAGAAGGATCGAGATGACATCGCCCACCTTCGAAATCGTGTCCGTGCTTTAGAACGTCAGAGTGAACAGTATGAAAAGGAAATCAAAACCAAAGACGCCTTGATTGACAAGCTGAGAAAGAGCAAAACACAAATTGAAACTGATCTTATAAAAGCCAAGAAAGACCTGGATTCATTAAGAGTGTTGTACCAAAATGTTCAAGATGTCAATCGGAAATACGAGGAGCAAGTTCGAGAAAAGACTTTGAAGATCAATTCTCTAGTGATGAGCTGCAACAAGATGAAAAAGGAAGTTATTCCAATAAGTTCCAGCATCACTGTACAACGCGTATCAGAAGTTGAAAGTGTCCAACAAGGCATTACCCTCGAACGCGAGAACGGCCTCCGTTCAGAAATTCAAGTCAGTAAAAACAGATTCGGTAAGCTGGAAGGTGATTACAAAAGGGCACAACAAAATATCACTGAATTGACCCAGGAGAATAGGATGCTTCAAAAGCGTGTTAACGACTTGCAGAATCGTTTTGACAAGTGTAATGCTGATTTCCAACTGGTGAAGAAAGATTACAACGATGCATCGGACAAGATATCTGACTTGGAAGTTAAGAACGAGTACGAAACAAGAGAAAAGAACTCACTTCAGCATCAGTTGGACGAGTCAAATACACGAGTTGCTTCTCAGAGAGCTGAGATTTTGAAGGTCGAACAGAAACTGATTGAGATGAAAATGCTGCATGATGTTGCTCAGAAAGATCTCCTGGAGAAAGAAGACGATTTGCAGAATCTCTTAAAGGACAATAAAAGTCTGGAGAAACATCTGGATGCAGTCAAAGTGTCTCTTAAGCAGGTGCAAGACGAGAAAACGTGCCTAAAGACTGATCAAGGACGATTGCAGCAAGAAATTCTAGACCTCAAAGATAAGGTTAGTAAAGAAATTGGTCGTCTGACATTAATGATCTTTGTCGGAGCTTGCATAAGTGTATAGAAAATTTAAAAAGACTAGAAATTTGAAAACTGATTATTAACAACGCCAAATTATTTATAAAGTGAGTTTGTGTTGAAACGCAATATGCTGTTGTAAAATCAAATGAATTTTCAAGCACGTTCTTTTTCATGTATTATACACGCTTCGCCTCTTGAGTTTTTGAGATGGGAAAGTGTTCTATTAAAGGGAAATTAAACAATTCCTTCTGTTAATTGGTTTATTTTCCGAACTTGACCGAGTTTCCAATATTTTATTTATATATATCACATGCAAAAGATCATTTAGGTATTGGAAAATACTATGTGCGTATATTACGTGTCTTTTTTTCAAAATGCAAAATGTCTAATGACTGTTGAATGAGATAATGTTCTAACAAACATCGATTTGTTTTCTTTCATTCTTTCATAAAAAGTTGGAACTTTAAAGATAACCACTAGTGATTTTTAATATCCATTGTTAAAAATCAATTTTAAATTAGTAATAGCGAAACTTGCAAAGTTTAATGCTTTAAAAATTAACAAACTGAGACATTTGGTTACAGATAGCAGATTCCGAAAAAAATATACACAAAGCCCTGAGCGATAAAGATCGTTTACAGAAGGACGTCAAGGATTGTCTTGCACAGATAACTGGCCTGGAGCATCAAATCGACCGGTTGACACAAGAGAAGGGAAATTTGTATCAAAAGATTGAGGAATTGAAGGAGACTGCAGGACGCCATTGGAACGAATTTAACAAATGCGAAAAAGAGCTGGCTCAAGTCCAATCTTCATTTGACTGCCTTAAAGCCAATGACGACGAGAAAGAACACAAAATTAGCATACTTACTGAGTCCAACATTTACGTAGAAAAAGAAAATGGAGAACTTAAGGAACAGTTAAAGAAGCTTAATGCTAATTTGAATGATGCAGCTGAAAAGAACCTACAAAACGAGATCATAGTGACCAGCACTGACGTGCAAATTGTAGAGAGTGCTCCAGAAATGTGGGATGAAAAAGATCCTGCCGAAGATTCGACCATCTTAAAAAGAAAGATTGACGAACTGAAAAGTGATCTCGCTGAAAGCCAAGATAGGGAAAAAGATTCTCAGGCTAAATTTATGGAATTGAATGCATACATCGTCAAACTGGAATCTATTTACGAGCAGCTTGTCGCAAGAAAAGAGGAGATAGAGCAACAGCTGTACGATGCACAACGTGAGTACAAGCCCCTAAATGACGAATTTGCGTCGTCAAAAGCCGAACTCTTTGCTCTTGGTAAGCAGTATTCGGATATCAAGCGAGAGAATGCCAGTCTCAGAATGCAGCTGAACAAAATGCAACAGACCAAAAACATGTTGGAAGAACAGCACGAGGATGTTATTACCAAAGACAGGATTAATGAGCAAAATCTACTTAACTCAGAGCGTCGACTTCAAGAACTGCAGATGCAGTTGGACCAACAAGGAAAAGCCGGTAAAGATGGTATAATCAAAAATCTGAAAGATGAGAAAAAAGAGCTCGAAAAACAAGTGCACCTTCTTCGCGAAGATCTAAACCTGATGCAGGCCAATCTCGATGGTGCTCAAAAGAAACGAGATGATCTCGAAGCTCAGTTGTTCAATATGAAGAAACAATTTTCTGATGTCGATCTAAGGATGAAAACTTTAGCGCAAGAAAACAATGATTTGAATGACGATATTATTGAAGGACAACGCAAGCAAGCCAACCTTCAAAACGAATTGCAAAAAGCAATGAAAGAGAAAGCTATTCTTCGAGGGGAGCTGGATGAAGCCAAGGCTCAAATTTTCCTAATAAAAGAATCGCACGCAAATTTGGAAAGTCAAGTTGCTGAACATCGATCGAATGTTGATACTTACAAAAAAGATCTTGGCGATCGACAGAATGACGTTGACTGGCTAAGAAACCAGGTTCATGCTTTCGAAAATGAAATAAGTTCGCTAAAAGTTCGATTGAATTCATGTCACGATAAATACGAGAAAGCTCTACAAGAAGCAACTGCGTTGACAGACAAGATCCATGAAAAGGACAACAATATTGCTGATCTTCAATTTAAGTTCAAAAGTCTCGAACAGGAGTATAATGCAATGAAGAACGAGCTCGGCGTAGCAAAAGCGTCCGCTGAAGATTATAAAAAGTCCTACTTTGATAGCAAAAAAGAAATTGAACGATTGAACCTCGAAGTTTTAAGCTTCACTCAACAAGTTGCAACTTTGAAGTCTCGAATTGAAGTTTTAGAAGCAGAGAGAGATCGTTACAAGGAATTATGGGATAAAATGAAAAAGAGCAACTCAGAATTGAAAATTCAGCTCGAGTTCGTTCACAATGAGAAGAACAAAATGGCAAATGATATGAATGTTATCAAGAGAGAGAACGAAAGCGTCCAGAATTCCCCTCCTCCTGATCAAGTTGATTCTGGAAAAGACAGAATGACGAAGATCTACGAGCTTCAGAGCAGTTTTGATAACATCAAACGTGATCACGATGATGCTCAACGCGATCTCGCAAACCTGAGAAAAAAGAACATGAAATTGGAAACCATCGTGGCTGATCTAAACCGCAAAATAGATGGTATCGATTACGATAATCAATGGAAAACCAAAAGGATTGCTGAACTTGAAAGACAATTAGCCGATTTGCAAAATAGCAACAAAGTTGCCAGGGAAGATGTTCTTGTGTGGCAAAAGAAGATTGCAAAGCTTGAACAAGACTTAAACACTGCAAAGAACAAAAATAATCGACTTGAAGCGTTTAATGCAGCTTACGATGGAAAGATAAAAGAGCTGAACAGTGATGTGATTGATGCAAATCAGAAAATAGCCCAACTTGAGAGCTCTACCAATGCGTTGCAAGATACCGTAGAGAAGAAACAAAAAGACCTCTTGAATTCACAGAAAGCAATTGCAAACCTTGAGACTGTTAACGAAAATCTCTCTAAAACCAAAACAGATCAACAGCGAAGCCTTCAGGCAGCAAGAGCCAAGATCCTCGAGCTGGAAGAAAACGTGCAAACGGAAGTTAAGCAAGTTTCTCAGCTGAAAGGTATTTTAGGCGATAACAAGCTACGAAATGAAAACTTGAAGAATGAAAATGCCCGATTGCAAAAGAAGCTTCTGAATTTACAGTCCTCTACAGATGAATGTAAACGTGATGTTGCCGAAATGAAGTACATCATAAGTCGATTGCAGACTGATAACGAACACCTTGATGGGGACAACCAGATACTAAGAAAGCAACTAAACGATACAAAGGAGGATAACGCAAAGATCCAAAACGAAAAACGAGACATCATCAATCAACTTCAAAAACTGAAAATGCAAATTGCTGAGCTGCAACATAATAACGAAATGCTACGAGATGAGAACGAAAAGTTGAAGCGTGATCTGACTGCTTTCCAAATCCAGATCCAAGAGATGGACAAAAACGAGCAATTAAAACCACAGCAAGAAGTGATGGTAGAATCAACTCCTGGTGACGATTTGTTCAGCGAACCAAGCTCGGCAGAGCTTGATTTCCTTCGTCCAGAAAAAGACCGTCTTCAAAACGAAGCATCTGACCTGAAAAAGAAGTTAGTGAATCTGCAAGACGCTCATGACAACCTAAATGAAGAAAAGACAACAATGGATGAACAGATCCTTGTCTTTCAGAGGAACGTCTCCGATCTGAACAGAGAAAAACAAGAACTGGCATCAAGTACCGGCAAGCTGAAGCGTGATCTTGAAGATGCAATCAAGAAGTTAGTTGACGTTGAAGAAGAGAGCCAAAGGTTGCGCATGGAGAATGTTTCGTTAAAGAAAGACGTAGAGGAAACACAGAAGGAGCTTGTTAAGATTCAAGCACAATACGAATTACACATCACACAATTATCTGACAATCGGAAAGGTTCTCAAGTTTCCACCCAGAAAATGAAAAGCCTCGAAGAAGCTTTGAAACGAAGTCAAGAACACGAAAACGATTTGCAAAAGGATGTACTAGATGCTCACAAGAAAGCAGCTTCCATGGAATATGAATTGAAAAATGCAAAAGACAACATCCAGGAGTTTGAGGATGCATGTATAGCAAACAATGAAAAAATAAAGTCATTGAAAGAAGAAGTTGTTCTTGGTGAAAAGAAAACGTCAGAATTGGAAGCCAATTTGGAAGACGCCGAAGAAAAAATTAGAGATCAAGAAAACGAGATTAGCAGCTTAAAGGAGAAATTGGACGAGCTTGACAGCAAAGACAGACAATCTCAAGATGGCAGAAATGATTTGGAAAGCCAGTTTACAACACTGAAGAGCCGATGTAGAAAATTAGAGGATCTATTGAACGAAGCTAATCGTGACCGAGATAACTTGCAACGACGTTTGAGCGATCTGCAAAATGAGCACGACAATCAAAACTCCGATTTCTCAAAACAGATTTCGCAAATACATCAAACGACCGAGATCTACCGTCGCGATCTTGCAGATCGTGATAATCAAAACAAGATTCTGAAAAAGCAAGTTAACGAATTGACGAAAGAAAATGAGCATTTGAAACGAGATATGACAAATAAGAAAAACAATGTTGACACGTATTTGATCGAGATTGAAAGACTCAAGCAAGAATTAATTATCATTCGCGAAAAAGCCACGAGAACCGATCCACGCATAGCGGAGGAAATTTCCGAGTTGAAACAAAAATACGATGAAATTGAAAGCGAGAAAGAGACGCTTCGTAATGAGAAACAAAATCTTCAGTATCAACTTAAGATTGTGACGGAGAAGTTGAGCGAAATCGAAATCGTCTATCGACAGAGTTCAAGTGGAATGGATACTGTGACACAAGAAATGTATGCCCTTCGACAGAAGATTAATACAATGGAACTTGATCTTCAAAAGGCGATTAAAGACAGAATGTTGTTGGAAGAGCAACTCGAGAAGGCAAACCGCGAGCTTGTCAACCGTCAAGATCTGATCACAAAGTTGGAGAAAGAGCTACGTGACCTGCGCGTCGAAAAGGAATTCCACGATCACGCTATAGAGGAACGTGAACAAGCTATCAAATCACTACGCATAAAAGTGGTGAACTTGGAAAAGGAGATCGCCAGCCTGAAGTGGGATATAGAAGTTTTAAAGAAAGAAAAGCAAACGACTGAAGTCACACTTGATGTAAAACCAAAGATTGAGAGGACTACCTACGAGATCACACACGCAATGAGTCCCGAATCTCAGTCCATAGTAACTGGAAGACCGCACGAAGTTTCTACGCTGGATTTCAGCATCAATGAAAAACCAAGCGAAAGGACGACAACAACAAGAGTCTTCTCCAGAGGATTTAGTGATCCGGAACACACTGAGCTTCATGGTAAGTTATTTTTTGTTTACATTATACACACAATGTTTGCAATTAAATTGAACACTCTTGAAGCTAGGTGAAACCTTCAGCGAGTTTTTTCATCATTCTATTGCTTACTGTTTTTATCTTGTACATGTAAACGTCTTTAGCTTTATTATAAAATTTTCCGATATTTGCTCAAAAATTTTTCGACTTTCGAATAAGTGCAAAAGCGTTCGATTGGATTATAGGCTTTCACAAATAGGGCATTTATAACATTTGGATGATTTCTTTAAGAGATTTGTTTTTGCTGGTAGATACAAGTTAAACATTAATTGATAACCTGACAAAGCACTTTGTTCTTAGTCGACGGGGGCGATCGTGAAGTGAGAACAAGAGTGATCAAAAGAGAGAGTAGAACAACCGAAGCCGTTTTGTCCCCAGGCTCTTTAAGCCATAGCATTTCTGAAGGATTTTTGCCAAATGACTCATCCACAACGTTCACACGAACCTTGTCTGGCGGTGGGGAAGGTGGCGAAGTTCAAGTCGTCCGCAGGGAAAGACGATCCCGAAGATTCCTCGACGAAGGAAAATACTGATTCACATGGAACAACGTACAGGAAAGTCCGTTGCCATGTAAGCAATAAACATTTACGAGCATCTTTCTATTTTAAAAAAACTTGTTTATTATTTTACAACTATGTAAGAACGAATAATATTATAGAATAAGTCAATGTAATTTAATGATTACTCGTGGGAAATGAGCACGCATGAAAACAACATATAATGTTAAAACCTTATATGATTAATCTAAGTGTAACCAAGGAAAAACTTCATTTACTGGTTTATTCACACACAACTTACAAGGGATATAGTCGTTATTTTTGCAGTCAAAACAGTTTATTGCCATTGTTTACTGTAAAGCTTATGGTATTTCATGGATGACTTTATTCCCCAAACTTGTGCACAATCTTAGTTTAGTTATTTAATGTTAATTTTTTCGTAGTTTCACTTGTGATGCACCATTTAAATTTTTGCCATTATCAATAAAACTTTAATTTGAAACTTGCGATTGATTCTTTATTTTAACAATTTTACAGGGTGTCTCAAAAAAGCGCAAACAATAGCTGTCGCTTATTGTTATAATTTCAATACGAAAGGACAAAGAGCGACGCAGTGGTATGCACAATGTTGACAGCTTGCTTGACACTTTAATTAAGATTTATCATCTATTTGAATTTCAGCAGTAGATGACGGCCATTGTTTGACGTTTGGGGGGCACCCTGTACAAGTCAATCATTTGAAGGATGGAAGACAAGAGAACACACGAATGAAAACATTCACGCTGTCAAGCGAAACGGCAACTCGATCTTGACATGCTAATTAACTTACTTCCAAATTAGATCAAGTTAATAGAGTCCTGAGATGGGATGTTGTTGTTGATGCTGACTGTCGTGACAATCTCATGACGGATCCTAGTGTTATCAATATGAAACACGGATTATTATTTTATCAGAAAAGAATTTCGTGTCTATTATGAGTAAAATTTTAGGTTTCAGTCCGTTATCTGTAAAAACAAGAGGATACATCTCTTTTCGTATCAGTATACATTCAGAAATCATATCTTGACTTGTGAACGCGGATTATACAATATCAATATATGAAACCATATCCCCTCCGAATTATGAATCTGCCACCGCCCTTTATCAATCACCTGGAAGCCAATCTAACGATATCAAGTACATAGATAGATAGATAGATAATTGTATTTACCCACGCTGGTATCGTTAGCAAAAGCTGGTTTCCACGTTAAGCGTGTAAAATATAAATTTGTAGTATATCCAAAATCATTTAAAACTTACCAACTCCAAAAACATGAAAATAGTCACTTAGCTGTGTGTCAAAATTTCAGACATTTACTCTTGTAAGAAAACGTTTTCTTCTTTCAAAATGCTCTTAATGTCAATTACTGGAAAGATAACAAAATAAGATAAGCCTCCAAGGGGAGAAAGGAATGATTTTTATTTCAAAATTTTAATTCATTTTTTAATTCACCAAAACCGGAAGTGTGACGATCATATGATTTTGTTGCGCAGTGACAGCGATGACACCTTGTCGAAGTAGATTGACTGGTGTTGAGTTGAATTTGGTAAAGGAATGTTGACTTTTCTCATTTCCTATCTCGAACTTTATCAAAGTTGAGTTCTTATGGCTTTCCTAATATTTACCTTTGTTCTGTTATTCTCGTTTGTCGACCTCCACCCGCTATCGGTGAGTTTTTTGTATTGTTACTAGACTGATATGCCGAAGAGAATTGTTAGATGCGTCATCATGCAAGGAGCAATCGTTTTTTTACAATCGTCACAATAGTCGTAAGCTTTGTATTATTATTGTTTAATGCGATGATGTAACTATTTCATTTTGAGAATGCAAAAGTGAGAAATGTATTAGGAATTATTATTTATGACTTTAATATGTATAATATATTATACCAATTTATCCATTTATAGTTGAGGAAAGGTGAGGTGAAATTTTGACAAAAAGTTCGACATTGTTTGTGTAAAAAATTTACAGTTTTTGTATTCAGTTCTGCATCAGGCAGATATCCTAATATAAAATTTTAAGACTGCAACAGAAATTTAGTTGTAAGTAGTATGGAGTATAACGAATTAGAATTACTTACAATGAATTAAATGTGTTAATCTTTGACTTTTTGGACATATTCACAAGCATAGAATTATACCTTTGATTAGAATTTTTTTGATGATTCCTTTTAGCGAGAGGAAACTAAATGCAACACTGATGCCTATCCTCCACCACTAAAGTAAGTGATTTTAATAATATTATAATTTTGGATGTACGTATGATAATAACATTTTGCAAAAAAATTTAAGTTATTGTCATATGGCATATATTTTACAGCAATCTTATTGGTATTATTTTGGCCCCAAAATATTGTACAGGAATTACTGACTTATATCCTTTGATTCATGAAGTTTTTGATTTGCTTGAAAATTTCACAATAAAGTTAATAATGCCGGTGCAACGCTCTGACCAACTGAGCTATGAAGTCACACAGTGGTGAGCAGGTCAATTTTGTTGGGCTCATTTTTTCTCGTGAAAGGAATGTCATATGAAAGAATGTTTTATGCAGTGCGGTGTTTGAAATTAAATGTAGATATGATCTTCGCACTTTGCTGGACAATTTAACTGGCACTTCGCACTTTGCTGACTCAACGGGATGTGTGTCAAAATTTGAGTCAATTTGAGTCAATTTGAATTTGAAAATTTGAATCCCATTGAGTCACCTGAATTTTTCAGGTTCATGAGACAATTGCTTAAATTGTCCAGCAAAGTGCGAAGATCATATCTACATTTAATTTCAAACACCGCACTGCATAAAACATTCTTTCATATGACATTCCTTTCACGAGAAAACATGAGCCTAACAAAATTGACCTGCTCACCACTGTGTGACTTCATAGCTCAGTTGGCCAGAGCACTGCACCGGCATCCTGTTAAAGTTAATAATCATGTACAAACCACACCCTTTCAGTTAGGCAACAGTGATACCTGACTGGTAAAGATCAAATCAATCCATGTCATCATCATTTTTTTTATCTACAACCAAATCTTTTAGAGCAGTTCATATTATTATTAATCTACAGAAAGTTTTTAAAATGAAGAATTTTCCTGGGTTTTTTGCTTTGATACAAGTCTGAGAGTCTGGAGATTTGTATGTCATTAACAGTGTCACCTGCTTTCTAAGCACGGTTTAAAATATTCGTCAACCTGATATCCACAAAAGGATACCAAGTTTCAATTAGAATACAGAAGGATAGCAGATTACAATCAGATATCCACAGAAGGATACCAGATTTCAATTAGAATACAGAAGGATACCAGATTACAATCAGATATCCACAGAAGGATACCAGATTACAAGTTACTAGAAAATTGTATTTTCGAGAATTATAGATTGGATCTTGATGATATATTCGTCAAAAGAATTTTTTTCTTAGTCTTTTGCATGATTTCCTAGTGTGGCTTTTCTCTGTAGAGCGTCAATCTTTACAAAGCAACCCATGACATACATCACTCGGCAAGACATAACACATTGCAATTTTTTTTGGTTCTTCGCCAAATAAAACCCTTAGTGCTTGTAGAAGCCATCAACACAAAGCTCAATGCGCAGTTATTCAAATTACAGACATTGTCATTAGTTATTTTCATTGTCTTGAATATTATGGGTTACTAAACTGTAATTTGGGACACCAGATGTTTAACCCTTTGGATTCCTTATGGAAATTGGTAAAAAATTTAAATTTTGAACCTGGCCTGCCCGAAGTGATTTATTATGTACATTGATTTTGAATACAGCTGTGTGACATTAAGTCCAACATCACATTGGTTTTCAAACATCATTTTCGTAGAGGTTTGAATGGTTGCCTAACAATTTCTAGATTTGCACGTGGCCAAAATCGGTAAAGACCCCTTACTAAGGCTATGGCAGTGGCGTAGCAAGGGGGGCTGGGGGGAAAGCTCCCCCTGTTCAATGTTATTGATGGTGTTTGTCAGAAATTTAGAAACTTGTTGGAATTTTTGAAGTGAAGTGGCAAAGTGATCAAAATTATTATTTATTCAATTGTGTAACAAAGAGAACATATACTTGGATTTTAAATCCATTCTCACCAATAAAATTAATAGCACTAGATTGTGTGCTATCTGTAATATTTTTTTATCAAATTTTTTGCAGTGATTTATAAGTAGGTAGCAAAATGTGAAAGATATTCACGTGTTTAGTTTAGTGTCCGTGAAACAAATTTCCTCATTCTCGTGTTTTTAAAGGCCCAAAATATGATAGGCCAATTTGCAAGCATTGCAACATTGTTACAACTTGCTCTAACGAGCCTTTAGTTGTTTGAAACGTGTAAAAGCATGCTTGCGCAGTACTATGACAGAAAAACGCCTTTCGAATCTCGCGTGTATTTCCATCAACCGAGAAATTATTTCCAAAATTTTGATTCAAGAACTTCAAAACGACAAAACTAGAAGAATTTTTCTTGAACGACAAAACTAGAAGAATTTTTCTTGAACGACAAAACTAGAAGAATTTTTTAAAATTATTTGTTATTTCGCATTTGTTGCACCTGGTTTAATTAAAATGGTAACCTTTTTTAACCTGGTTTAATTAAAATGGTAGCCTAGTATTCAAGATCAATAACTAACGTTTATTTAAGCATAACATAAAAGCGTAATACACATTACACATATTCAATCAATCTATAGCATGTGTCCCATGCCCCAATAGTTCCAGTCCTTTTTGCTCAATCACTTGAGCCTGCAATGTTCCGCTATGTTTTGTTACATGATACAAGTACGTTATATTATCTGGATATTGTTTACCTAGTTTATTTAATGTACATTGTAAATTAAATAAACTTGTTGCAGTTGTTAATTTCATATGTAATTTTATTTGTACACAGTTTTTAAACCCCATTTTTAATACATTTCTTTGGCCACGCCCTATTGTCGAAAATTTATCTATCCGCCCCGTCTTAAGAAATTCTTAGCTACCCACTGGGCTATAGGTTGTTATTTTTTACTATAAAAAATTTCGATACAAAATTAGCAGTACATTTGTTAGAAGTATAAACTTATAATGTAGGAAATGTGATAATTAGATGCTACTTGAAGTACTCAGCAGGATTTGCTTCAGGCAAATTCTTTGATTAGCTCATCAAAGTTAGTTTCTCTGTTGAATATTGTATTCAATCATTAAAGCAACATGGCTGGGTTTTCTGTCATCCATTGATGTTCATAGTCTGTTCTTCAAACTGAACTTGACCTCAGGAGTAAACAAAAAGTCTTCTTCGTTTTATACATTACAGCTACAATATTTAGTTTTCCCTCGAATAATGTGGAGGCCCTTAATTGTGGAGTCTTCTGGTGAGCTGCCTACTCTTGTTCTTTGGTTAATGCACCATTGAGTGCAACCTTGTTATTTTTACTAGTATGTAAAAAAATTTCTATAATGAATCAACGATGATGGTTTTGTTTGCAGGGATCAAATCAGTGATGTTTACATAAACCTTGATTTGAAACCAGAAGATCGATGGAAGGAAATTTCATTGAACATGAAAGTGGAGGTTTGTCTACATGTGCATAATCAGATTTTTATTGTGAATAAAGTTACAAGTACGTAATATTTATACTTCGTTGGTGAATTTATTTTGATGGACAATATTCTGAAATTGAGCCAGCATGAAAACTTTTAAAACTACTTGTATGGGATGTGTTGTGTTATGGTAATATGTCTATTTCAGTTTAAGTTAGAATTGATGGATGTTACATTTAGTGTAGCTGTTTTTTATCACTTTGACTTATCAATGCTCATCAAGAGCTAGTACACTCATCAAAAAAGTCTCAAGAAACGTCAATTTTTGTGGGTCGCACACGTGATACAATTTCTGAGAAAGAACGGTGAAAAACATCAACAGCATAATGTTTTCAGATAAAGTTACCCTACGACACTATCAATTGTAAGGTTTTGAATACATTCCTCGCGCTTTAAAACCAAGAATGACAGTAGAATACAGTAAAACTATCACAAATGGGTCGAGAAAATTGCCCTCATCAATGTGCTCTTACAAGTTACAAACAATGGTAGATACTAATCTCTATGTTTTAAGAAGAAAAGCAAATCAAATAGCCAGCAATAAGCTAACTTTAACCATCGAAAGAATACAATGACGAAACAATGATTGGAGTAGTTTGTATACAGGGTGTATAAAAAAAATTAGACTGTTTGGAAAAGTTCTCTAAAACAAGACTCGCGTGAAATAACCCAGAACGTTCGGTTTTTCTGAGGACTTTAACGCTATCTGCACTCTACGTTTATTACAATACTTATACCTTTTGGAAGCCAATCCCCGCAGGTAGCTAGTAATTTTGTAATAAAAGTTAGTGTGAATTGCAAAAACGCGAAAAAAATTCCAGGTTTCTAAGATCTCCCGTCGGCCAGCGCTTGCCCCAAATTGCTTGAATTTTTATAGCTTCCATTTTTGACTCGAGTCCATAATGGACTATAGAGTCCATTTTTGACTCGAGGTGATCAATTTGTTTTTTCGGTGATTATTTTTTGTTCGCAATGCCTGTTTTACAGAACTTTTAACAGCAGATATTTCACTGGTAAAACATTTTGCATTCTCAAAAATTTCATTCCCAGCTGTACCAGAAAGAGTTGAAGTACTTAGAGTCACTAAACGTTTTTGCTTATTCCATGCGCGTCTTGTTTTAGAGAACTTTTTCCTAGAGTCAACTTTTTCTGATACACACTATGTATATCTGTGGTGATAGCCGGGAGGGCACATTGTTGTACACTTTATATATATATATGTATATACAATGTGCCCTCCCGGCTATCACCACAGTTCAATGGTGACTCCTGCACTTGGGACACAGGATGTACGGTTACACATTGTATGGATTGAATTGTAGAGTCACCAGAGTGCTCAAACCTATAAAGGTGAGCTTTGCATATCGCGAACACGGTGAACGTCTCCATATGATACTCTCTACACAATCCTAGAGTGCTCAAACTACGCACGCGCAGTGAGCGTAATATACAAAGTGTATTACAATGTGCCCTCCAGGCTATATTTTTTATATCCTTATGGTTTTTGCAATACATACGTAGGTTGATGTTCTTTTTTGCATGATCTTGCAAATGATCTCATAGTTGGGCTCAAAATCCTGAATTTTACGTACAAGGTCTGACATTATTTCTTCCGTTCTGTAGTTGTTGGCATTACTGCACGAAATCAAGAACTTTACAAACTTCATTTTGAATGGAAAATTATTTAATTATATAGACAAGGATTTGGTAAGTCCTGCATTATTTTTTTTCCTTCGCACATTTTTAATTTGCAATTTACTGCTCGATTTTGTAGAGAACGGTCGTTATTTTGCCCGGCTAATGTTAAAAATTTGCCCCCCAACTTTCAAAATTTTAAACTTTCTTCCCCTTTCCTGCTCGCCACAACATTACTCAGGTTAGCTGTTGACATCTAGCTGTAGTTAATAAAGGGATACGATTTGTTATGAGTGTAGGGAGTTTGTATCAAAATGTTTTTTTCACCTTGCAGTTTGGCTGACGTATAGTTAGTTATTGGTTAGTATTTATAAGGCAGAACTTCTATCGATCGTATTGGGTCGCATCGTGTCTTAAACAAGTCGTTATCGTGTAAATTGTATTTTATATATTAGTCATTACTCTTTCTGGAGATGAATTTATACGCCTTTTTGCAGCCTTTTATAGCGGACACGCTACCCGATCCATACGGCAACGAAATTAAAGGTATTGCCAAGGCAACTGGCATACCGCTTGGTAAGCATGCGTGTTGGTAAAACGATCATAGATTTTTCGAGATTGGATTTTACGCATATGAGAAAAATGAGTTTTATACTTATTTTATATTCATTCTCATAGTTTATTTTTTCATGTCTCTGTTTTCAACAGGTGAGATTGTTCTCTACAACATATTTTACGAGGTCTTTACTGTGTGTACATCCATTGTAGCACAAACACCTGGAGGTAAAATATAATTCTTTGACACAAAGCATCATGCTGGACTCATGAAAGATATACTGCACTAGATCTACAAACTTATCTTCAACTTTCCTTATGGCTTGTGTTATAGGTAAACTTTTCCATGCTCGTAATCTGGACTTCGGTCTTTTGCTTGGGTAAGAAAGCCAACATAATGTTTTCGTAGTATCTTCCTACTTAAAAATGTTAAAGATGTTAAAGTTTTTTTCATCAAGACTTGTTTTTATTTGCAGGCGGATAAATTGCGTCTGAAACAATTAATTTTTACCATTTGTTTTTATTATCAGTTGGGACGTCGCCAATAACACTTGGTCGTTGCCAGAAGTACTTCGTCCTCTCATCCGCAATTTTTATTTTCAACGTAGTGGAAAAACCGCTTATGTCGTTACGGGTTTTACTGGATTTGTTGGCGCTATAAGTGGAATGAAACCGGTAAGTGAAACGGTAGTTTTATCTATCTTTGTAGATAGCGTTCTCTATTGCTATTGGTTTGTAGAATAAGATACTTTTTGTTGTACGAGTTGAGCGGAACCTGTGACGTAGTAGCCGGAAACACGGACGCATAATAGAGAATATTATAGTTGTCTGTCAATATTAGTCTACATTCGTCACTGATCTTGCCTGATGGCGTCATTGCCTGATGACGTCGTTTTTACCCTAAAATTGTATTGTGCGTTGTCATTGGCTTGCTGCTCTATAATAAACATGTTAAGCTTTGAAACAATTTATGGGAATGAGCCATTAGTAAGATACTTTGTTTCCAATAGCGAGTATAATTTTTTGCCTGAGCGTAACTTTACGGATATTTTTGCTAAGTTATGCTGATTAGATCGTGCAAGGTTAGTGACAAATGTTTTTAGACGATATTACTTGTGATTATTCATTTTCCAAGTCTGCAAGTCTGTTTGCCGAAAGCGATCGAATAAAATCTCATATCGGATGGCGATGACGCGCAACTACGTCAAAATTTTACTGAATATGAGAATTGAGACGTAGACACCCACGCGCGAGACGAAGCAACAGGCGCAAAAAAATCAACTTTTAAGAAATAAAAGATGCTTACTTGCTTGCACATGCTTTTGCAAACCGAGGAAACCTATTGGAAGAACTTGAGAGCAGGTTTGCATAAGCCACTGCACCAAGGCAAACACGGAAAACGTCTTATTTCTTCTTTAAAATAACAATATTTTTTACGCGTGTGATTAGCATAGTGTCAGCCAGTTTTTTTCTGACCAATAGAAGTGCTGAGATGGTTAGCCGCAGCCAGTAATCTAGTTAAGTATGCAGCACCAAGTTGCACAGTGAAGTGAAACTACCGTTTGTTTCTCTACTGTGGTATAGCTTTTTAAAAGAATTTGCTGATTTTTTTCTGCTTCAAATAAACGCCACCAGTGTCGAATACCAGCTAAACATATATGTAGTTCACTTCTACTAAAAGACCTCCGTGTTTTTCAAATAGCTACAACGATTGACATTTTCTACTTTCTTTATTACCGAGTATGTTAACGGCTTGCCATGTTTGTTGATGATTTATATTGCTATTTAAGGGTGTTTTGTCATTAACAATGAACGAACGTTTTAATGTCGACGGTGGATTTGTTGGTGAGTTCATTTGACACCATTAAATTACATTTCCATTGTTGGATTGCTTACATTTTCCACGCAATTGGGATGTGGCATGGTACATTTGTCTGTAGTTTTCCATGATCTACTGAGTGTACAAAAAAATGCAACTCTTGGATGTCAACTGACATTTAGAATTTGCACAATTAAGCAGTAATCGATCCTCAAAGCCCAAAGGCAATTGTTTTTCAATTTCGTGTATTTTATATTCACATTAAGTAGGAAAAACCAAGATAATATTTAACGAACTAAAGATTTGAAATGATCAAATTTTCGCTAGTTTGCTTTGAGTTACATATTATAATGTTTTCGTATTTAGCCAACTTCACATTTTTTTAAAATATTTATTCTGAAATAAAAAGCAATTTATTTGTGTATTTCGTTTTGACTAGGCATTCTAGAATGGATTATTGGTTTCAGAGGTGCCAAATGGACGACCTTTCTTGCCAGAGACGTTCTTGAAAGTTCAATAAGGTACGATACAACAAGATATGTTTTAACTTAGGTTAGCTGACGCTACAATTACATTTAAAATTCAAGCAATTTCATCCGTCATAAGCTATGATCTATAAGAAAGCAGACGCCTGGTAGTGACGTCAGAGAAAATAAATTGCTTTTTACATTCCAAACAAACGGCAAAATTAATGGATTATTTACCTGAATTTATTTCTTAATGGACAAATGAAGACATTTTAAAAGACTTAGTTAAAGCTTTTGAAGTAGCTATTTGCGCAAAAAGAAATGAAAAAAAAAGTCTTCTAACGTTATATCGTACTTCGTCTTCGATAATAAAATTGATCTATCCATTGTTTAATCTGTCAGCCAATCCCATTTTAGCTAGCCAAGAGCATATTATCAATGCTATATATAGATCATGTACTCGCTATATTTTTAAAATCGATTTTCAATTTTCCAAGTTTGCTGGGGGACAAAGAAAACAAACTGTTTGCCTTCGTTCAAGAGTTACGCACAAAAGTAAAAGTCATTTTACTTTTGCTAAACTGGAGAATGTTCTGCCTTATTCTTCTTCGTTTTACGTATCACGTGTGCATGTATAAAATGTAAAATTTTATCGTTATAGTTTTGAGATGGCCTATAATGCTCTCTCCAACAAGAAAATTTTGGCACCGTGCTACTATATTCTTGGCGGTAACAGCACTGGACAGGTATACATTTTATTCAGTTTCCAACACTTCCACAAGAGCATGCGCATATCACTCCCCACGTGCGGTTTATAATCAACATATTTATTAATTAATTGGGAGTTGAATATTTTGACAAGGTCATGGAGAATTTTGAAAAATACAAGATATGATGAGACGTCACTCATCCTGGTGATCTAAGAATTTTCTCATTGTTAGGGGGACAGAACTCATGAGAAAATTTTGAAAATACAGTTCGGCTAGAACAGCCATTTTATAGTTAACAAGACGCCTATCAAGTGTTCACTCAGGCTACTCAAGAACAGTGTTTGGTTACAATGGCGTATTATAGTAATTGCCAATTCAGCCATGTTTCATAATACGTGTCATTAGTGACAATCACGTGTAAAAAAATCCAAGAAAGATTTTGATTGGTTCAAGGACTTCTTGTCAGTAACGCGTGATTTATGCAATCTCGCGACAGCGTAGGAAAATCCAAATTTTAAACTTGGGCTTACCTTCGGTAGCCCCCTAGCCCGTGTTGTTCGCTTTCCTTTTTCGTTGGCAATCTCTTATACGGGTTATGTGTAAGCTATTTACAAAAGCATAATTTTTACAGTGCAAAGAATTATTCATCAGGTTTGCCACTAAACACTTTAACAATGACTTTAAGCAAATTTTACACATTTTGGCCGTTTTTCCCTTAAATTTTTAAGGAAGCGTGGCCCCACATATTCTGACAGCATTGATGAAAATGGTGTGACATTTAAGACAAAAATATGTCAGCGAAGAAGATTGAGAAAAATATCATCTGTGTTTTATCAGCATACTGTAATATTTTACATATAATATCAAACATATTCAATCTTGTCATTTATATTTTTGCCTCAGCCTACTAATCGAATAGTTTGTTCCTTCTGAGACGGGTACAAGAATCAGATTGCTCTAACCTCTAGAATACTGCTCTGTTCTAATATTACAGATATACAAGATTCATACATCATTTTTTAAAATGTATAACATCGGTTTTATTGTGCATCATTTTTATTCTTTCCATAGGGAGCTGTTATTACTCGAGATCGCACTCGGTCAATCCATCCAATGAGGTTAGTAGCGTTCAGCGATCACAGAAATAAGCACATTAATTGGTCTAAATCCTTGACGTATATGATAAATTAGGTGTGGCTGGAAGACGAATGCCATATTAACAACTTTAAAATAGTTAAGCAGCCTTCAAAGGTTGTGAAGAAAGTTCAAATTTTTCCTTGAACAACTCTCTTCAACTTTACAACTGATTTTTTTTGCTAGATATTGGGGTTGTTAAAATGTCTCTTACAAGGGTAAACAATTTATTTAGGGGGGTGTGAAGTCTGATTTTGGAGGGGTGTGGCACTCCCTGCACCCCTGATAAATCCGTTCATTAAGTAATATAAGTATTTGACGTATTAAATTATAACAAAATGTTTGATATTCGTGATAAGTGTTTTAAGTGTACTAAAATTTTCACATTTTCTTGTTACGTAATCATACTTGTCAAGAGTATTACGTAAGTTGATCAGTATGCGAAGAAGCTAGCTGGAGACTTGTAACTAGGGAACTGAGCAACATCTGGATGATTGTAAAGGTTAACTATTTAGTGTCCCTAGATACTGTTCCACAAATATGGTCAGTTTGGTCTGTTATCACTTAGTGTTTAATTGTTCCATTAGAATGGAGCAGACCGAGGCGGGTTGGTACGTCTTACAGACGAACTACGATCATTGGAAAGCTCCGCTGATCATTGATGACCGACGTACTCCTGTAAGTAATCTTTCTTTAAAAGGTTTGCACTATTGTGATGCACTAGAAAGGTTCGCTTATTACTTACATACTTACCATTGTTAAATTTCAGGAAGGTCAGGCTGACAATGATTTGTCTGACATTAGAAGATTTTTTGGTCTATCTCTTTATTTCAAAGAGTCTTGCGTGGCCACAACACACAAGACGTAGTTTTTAGTAGGAAATAAGCAGTTAACTTTTATAATCAAACTTTCGTGAATTTTGAATTTTTAGGGCAAGAAGTGTATGAATGAAATGACACAAAAGGTAAATTAAAAAGATATTGTGCTTTATTTTTCCAACTTTTTGAGCCTGACTTATTAAAAAAAAAGAAATAAACGGTGTTTCACGGGCTTATGCAGACCGAGGAGACGTTTTAGAGAACTCGAGAGTAGATAAGTACAAACCGGTGAACAGATCAGTGCGCATGCTCGAGAGTTCTTACAAATGTCACGGAGGTTTGCGTAAGCCAGTGTAGACACGAAAAACATCTTTTATTTCTTTTATAAAATAACCATAAACTCTAAACAGATAAATCATTTTTTTTCATTTTTCCTTTTACATGTCCTTATTTGCAAATTCTCTATGATTGATTTAACTGATTGAACTCAGATCGGTTTATTCATGGTAATGCAAACTCAACCATAGACAAATTACTGCACGCGTTTGATTGCTATTTTATAGACTGTAATAGAAATGCAAAAATTAAAAATGTGTTTGCATTGTTGCTCTTTTTAGAAAGTTGGATTTAACGGATTGTACAATGTGCTGTCAACCATACCAGTTTTGAACAAGGTACGCCAATGCTATTGAGAAACGTAATTCAGTTATAGATCGAATTGTGCAACACCACGTAAAATTCAACTCTTTACTGAAATGTTGTCAATAATTAAACTGTGTGTTTTTATGGCAATCTTTCAAAAAGTTTTGTGCCATTAGGTTTCTCAATTTTCTTCGTATATTGGTTGATGTACTATTTATTTTCGTTGTCATTGATCTTGTGGACGCATTGGCTATCATATCTTTGTATTTTAATGTTCTTATTGGTAAAGTGGCTTAAAGCAGTGCTTTTTACCAAAGGGAAGCATCGTTTTTAAAAATTCTGTCGTTTTTAGCTTACATCGTATACAGTATTGATGCAAGTCAACACTGGAAAAGTGGAATCATATCGTCGTTACTGCAACGATCCTTGTTTTCCTTGGTAATATTAACTTTAATTCTTACCCGAACAGTTATTCCATTACGTAAATTTTGCCAAGGTTAAAGCGAACTGCTGAAGGGAAGAAGACGTACGTTCATTCTCCTTTATAATATAAAGACATGTATGATTCTTAAAGGAACTTGATTATTTACATTAAATTCAGTCATTTGTCTCATGATAATGTCATTGTTTGTCGGTGGTATGGCCTTTGGAAAATTTCTCCCTTGCAAGATAACAGAATTACAGCCAGCCAGTTTTCCTTGGTCATTCTCGATCCTAATTAAATATTATAGCGATCACATGTGACATACAAGTAAATTTACGTTTTAAACACACACTCGTTAATGGTTTCGTTTGATGGTGAATTTGTTTGTTTTTTCATTTTTGACTATTCTTAATTCAGCCTATAAACAGAGATCAACGAAATGGAACGATTTTACAGGGTTTTTTATGCGCTGTCTCTCGATGGTAAAAATCTTTCTCGGAAAAAAATATACCGACAGAAACAAATAAAGATTTCACAATGGATTTTACCAAGTGATCAATCACGTTAGGTTACGCAATAATTTTAGCTTACGGGAGGGCTATTATGGCTTGAAGTAAAATATGAATTATATAAAATGAAGGAGTCGATATGTAACAATTTAATACCACTTAATTTTACAATAACGATACAAAAAACTCACTTTAGCAAAAATTAACACACCACAACGTTGTAGCTGTCCCACGCTACGTTGCGCGCCCAGACCTTCACCATTTTATTGAAGCAACTGAAAAAGAAAACAATAAATCACAAACAATAAATAACGCTTCCTTATCTACAGTTCATGACCTAAATGGTGAGAAGAACATTGTTATTCCTCGTCTCCTTTATATAATTCATAATTGTATTTCAGGCCATAACGGACATTATAAACAGAAATTATATTTCAAAAGAGTCGTCTCGGTTTAACAATGTAAGTTCAAAGCAATTCATGAAGTTTTATAAGACCCAAGAAAAACATTACGCGTAATTGGTTGGCTGTCAGTGGGTTTATAGTAGAAACTTTTAACGTGGAATCTTTAGACCAGTCAGCTAAAACTAAGATATCCTTAATGAAACAGTTATTCCTAACAGCGGCTCAAGACGCCGCACTTCGCGTTGAAATTGCTTTAAAAAACACTAGTATCCACTCCTACAAGTGTTTAAAACTCCACAATCCCGCCGACGATTAAGAATATCCGAGGTGTAAACATTTTACCATGACTAGCAGGTCGTTCTAGTAAACTATTATCCGAAATCCCAATTCTTACGTGGCGTAACAGTGCTATTATTGGCTTCAGAATTTCGGTGAATACTTTTTGTGCTGATGCCAGTGCAAAAGGGAGGCAAGTAAGCCAGAAAATGTTCTCTTTCTACTGAAACCTCGGTAATTTTTGGTTATATACCCATACAAGCACTGTGAAGTAGGCATTCTTCAAATCTATTTTTACTAGAAAATCGTCTTTTTCAAAAGATTGTGGAGCATGTAATGTGAATATTCTTCCTTTTAAGCGTTCGTACTTCACAAATCGGTTTAATCCCTTGAGATTTACCGCTGGTCTTAGACCACCCCGTTTTTGTAGACAAGAAAGAGGTTGCTGACAAACCGTTCTTATTTCGATCCTCAGTAATGGCTTGATGGCTCCCTTGACTACCAATTCCTGAACCTTCGACTCATCAAATTGCTTTCCTCTGGGGTGTGAGTAATAGTGGGAGAAAAACTTGTTTGGTGTGATGGGCTTATAAAATAAAAAGGATAACCTGTCATGGCTTTCTAGACCCAAGGATCTTTGCAGATTCCCCCCTAATTTATAAGACAGTGTTTAATCTCTCTACTAACGGAAGATGAGTTACGTTCAACTGTGTTAGATTGAAATTTATGAGTGGACTTATAATTCATTGCGGGTCGAGATTTTGAGTTGTCCTGGATTGGTATTTCTTGATTTAAGCTCCCTTGGGGCACCTTGAAATGCGCCGATCCCTCGATACCCCCTGGTCCTGTAAAGGGTGGTGCGTCTTCGAGTAAAAACATTGCATTTTCCCAGCATATTAGCTTATAGATGCTGTGAACAAGGTCTTTGCCGTTTCTGAACGGGCCTTTATTCGCTTCATAAAACCATTGCTGAATAGGTTCTTCTAAGCATCTGGAAACTCTACTAATTTCTTTGGACGAAACTACGCCTTTCCTTTGACAGCAATGACGATGCATTACCCACTAATAACATACTTTTAACTATCGCATTAAAAAGCTCTTGGACTTGCTCTTGGGAAAGCATTACGTTTAAGTGCTAGTATGCAAACGACATAGGAACTACGTTGTCCAGAACTCTATCTTGCAGGAAACGATCGTTCGTGTCAGCCTGTTTAACACCTGATACAAGGCTGCAAATACCACTGCGTAAGATCGGAGCGTAAGCCGCTGCAATGTCTTGTCTAGGGCATTTACGACATAGGGACTTTCTGCCAAAAGATTCTAAGGTTTGAAAGTCAGGAGTTGATTATATATTACATAATATATTAATTTACAAGTAAGAAAAACATTATTTCACAAATAATGCATTATTTGTCAAATAAGGATTGCATTATTTGACAAATAATTTACTACGCAAGCCAATCAAGTGAAAAGCAATAATATATGACTAAATTTAAAGCCGTTTGGTGCCAGATACTTTATCTCATCCAAAGTGCAGTTTTCTGTAAATAATTCCTATTATGGCGTTTGGCTTGCGTTGTAAGCAATGAAGTAAAATACCAACTGAACTCTAACAGATGGAAGGCTATTTGTAGTTAAGAATCACAAACCTTATTTGAAGCCAAATTTGACCTCCTGACACGCGCAAAGTTACACACAATATTTTTACTGAAGTCCTTTTTTAATTCTGTTCAATTCAAAGAAAGAATAATCGCATAGAAAAGTGGCTATTCAGTCAATTATTATCTATACCACCTGTGGAAAACGTAAAAAAAAACAATGACATTCGTCCATTTTATATGAAATAAACACGGGAGAAAATGCGTATTTTCCATTGAAAAGACTTAATATTTTTTTAAACGTTGAAAGAAATGAATGATGCACGAAAAATAGTTATTTATAATTAGTTTTACATAATACTGAAAATATTCAAATAAAATGTCTCAGCCATGTTTTACCATTTTCTGTTTTGTAGGTATAATAGTTTGATCGAATCATCCAAAAGAATCATCCTCACTTCTTGCCGATTATGTTTTTCCTCAAAAGTATTTTGCTATAGCTATATGTATAAATTAAGCATGGCACAATGCGGAAAAATGGTCAAAAACGACAGTAAATAAAATTTGTTTCTGGCGTTCCCTTTCCAAAAAGTCAAAAAAACATCGGTCGCCTAGAAAAAACGGATTTTTTCAGTTGTGAGTTGACAAATTTTTGATGTATGTTGACTTCAACCAATCATGGAACATAAATATCGGAGTTATCGATCCAGTTTATTTGAAGTTTAATGAAAATACATGAACTACGTGAAGCTACTGCCACTCAAATTGAAGTTTTATATAACTGAAACGCTAACTGTGTACGGCAAAGTGTATTCAGACGAAAGTCATCATAGCAAGAGTGAATTTTTTACTATCCAGACGAAGCAAAGTTTGTAGAAAACAATTGTAGAAATGCATTTGGCCAGTTTGACGTCAAAATTTTCAGTAAAAAATTGAATGAACAGTTTTAAAATATTTTAATCCATAAGAACTTTTAGCTTACATAAACAAGGAATGTACAGACCTATGCGGCATGCGCCCAACCTAGCGCAACAAGTAATGTTTCTATATTTAAATAGTAATACATTTGCATTTCAAAAATTGTTTGGTGCAACCGCTCAAAGGCACTCTTCGGTTCTTCAGAACAGCCTATTTTTTGCCAGTTTGTGCACGTCGATTGTGCTGTTTATATCCTTCTCAGCAGCAAAAATCATGCAGTCATTTAATCGTTCTCCTGAGATTTTATTGCGTAAGTACCTTTTCAAAATTTTCATTAAACTAAAGGATCCCTCCTTCCTAAAGGAACACAGAGGGAGCAGCTGTCAAAAATAATTTATACAACTTTGCTACCGATTGTAGAGTCTATGATTTTTTGACACGTTTAGGGCAATAATTGAAGTTGTTGTACATGTCAGAAGTTTTGCCTCTAAGCTTTTTGTTATCAGTTGGCTTTGTTCTTCTCCACAGTTTCTAAGAACGATAAGCAAAAGCTTTTGAGCAGAAAAGAAGTCGAAAACACTAAAAAAGCGACGAATCAGCTTCGCTTCGGCAGATAACATTGACCTCGGTCTGAATAATTCTTGATATCATGCTTAACCTCATCCAATAATTGCTTATTAGTGGTCAATTTTAAATGTTAAGATTTTGACTTGCATCAAAATTATACTCACTCTCATATTACATCATGATTTTTACCTGATTTTTTTTAACTTTGATTGGGGGGTGTTGCACCCCCACACACCCCCGGTAGCGACGTCCCTAATAGCATGCTATTAGGGACGTCATTGCAAGAGTGCATTTATAGCATTGCAAGAGTGCATTTACTATCCAGACGAAGCGAAGTTTGCAGAAAACCATCCAATTTTAGTGTCAACATCATGTTGGATCGGGCCATCGGCCATTTTACAACGCGAATTTCTTCATAATAAAAATAAAAAAATAAATATGTTATTTAGCTACCATTTAGGTCAGTCGGTACGGAAAAATACTTTCACTCGGTCTCGGAAAAAAATTTTTCCGTACGGACCTTCCAGCCAGTAAATAACATATATATACATATACACATGGGTTTTTTTTAAACACTAAATTGTCTATTGCATATTTTCTCGTCTTCCCGTTTTTCAAATCATGCTGTTTTTCAATCGACGTTGTTATCGACAAGGAAGTTATTCAATGCCAAAAACACACGTTTACGCTTTACGGTTATCCTTACAAATCGAATATGCTGGTATCAGAGTAAACAAAGTTGTAACAGAACCGCAATGCCAACCATGGTACCGCCTAGAGCTCGCCCGTTTTTTACTTCAAAAGCACAAATACTTTCGTGTTCACCAGTTCAATCAATGGAAAAATAGTATGATGGTAATGAATTAATAATAAAAAGATGACAATAATAATATAAAAAACGTCGTGTATATTCATCCCACATGTAGTTTTTAATTTTTGCGTATACATGTTGCGTATTTTATAAAATTACGTTTCGCTAGGTTTGTGGTGATGTTTGTGTAGGGTTAGGGCTAGGGTTAGAGTTAGGGTTAGGGTTTGGGTTAGGGTTTTCTTTTGTCTTTTGTCATGCATTCGGGACTTATGAAATTTGACGTTTGACAGGACCTTACTAAATTATACAAAATTACTTCAGCTGATATAGTTTGCTAAATTTGAAATTACATTTCATTTTTATAGATTTTTTCAATATTTTTTCCTTACAATTTGTTTAATTATATATAATCGACGAAATTCTATTTCCATGTTTAAATTGATAATTCTTTTACACTGAAATTGTTTGCTGAGAAAGAATGTACAGAATCACATTTTAAACAATTAATTAATTCTGTTTTAAATTATATGGCATTGGCGTCTAAAACTTTAAAATATTATCAGGCATGTCACAGGAAATTTTTAATGTTTTTCTTCCCACTAATATCATTTGTCATAGTTTATTTGACATGTAATTTTGACTTGAGGTGTCTGCGGTCTTCTATCAAACTTAGTGTAAAAGTCCTCAAATTTCATTAAGAAAATTTTGTAAATATGAATCGATAGTATGAGCAGCATACAACACATTCTTTATTGATGTCAATTTCCGCTTGAGGAATGAGATATACAGCATTACAATTTTAATAAATCAAAGTGGACAAGTGGCAGTTGCCCAGGTCGTTTTTTGTAGGTTTTGCTTAACTATCTAAGCAGTTTTTCACTTCGGGCCTGTATTGAAAATTAGCTCGTTGATAATTAGCTCGCAATTGTTTGTTTCATCCGTTCAATGAAACTGTTGCAGTTCTTTGTGACTTTAATATCGATATTTATGCATGCTTTTGGAAGAGGAAGTGTTTGGCTTTCGCTATGGCTATTGTGTATTGTTAGAACCAAGTGCAAGGAACTATTTCATTGTATTTATTTTTTGATGCAATACAAATGTACGTTTCAATTTGAAACAAGCCAAACTCAAACCCTAAACTACATTCGAAACAACTTAAATGTTCACAAATGAGCATTGCGCAATCTTTTGATGCTTGATGATCATGAAAAAGTTAAAAGCCTTGTAAAAGGTCGATGGTCGACTAGTAGCTGTTGAAATCTGATTAAGTAATTGTTTATTTAATATTCCCCTAATCAAACGGAGGCCACTTGGAACGAAGGTCCTGTAGGTAATAATTGCGCCAGGAAATAGTAGAGTCCTTAGAATTCCCGACATAGCGTTTGACATGCAGGCTTGACTTGCAAGTTGGCTTGCGTCATAACGTGAACTTTATGCACAAAGTTTATTTTGTTAAATAGTATTATTATTTTTTAAAGAGTAGTGCTATTTTTCTGAATTGCCTTTGACTTTATTAGATTCACATACTCATCTGTAAATGCATGGAATCCAATTGTAGCCTTGCATTTCCTTCAAACCCAAAGGAGTGTTCAAAGGATTGATGACCTGTGCTGTGACCATGAAGAGGCTGATACACAAGTGTTATTACATGCATCTCATGCAACAACATTTCAGAACATTGTTATCAAAAGTCCCAATACTGATGTTTTTATTTTATTGATATATTTTTGTTTAGATATAAATCTGCCAATTTATTTTTTTTAACTGGTGCCAAAGAAAATGCTTGTCTCATGCATGTTGCCAAAATTATCAAGGTTTGAGTAAAAGTAAATGCAAGGCTTTAATTGGATTCCATGCATTTACAGGTGAGTACATGAATCTAATAAAGTCCAGGCAATTTAAAAACTTAGCACTTCTCTTTAAGAAAACCTGGTCTCTGGAGAAACACATCATATGTGCCAATTACCAAGCAGCAAAATGGAAATCGTCACTGTTCCCTGCCAAATCCGTACAACCATGGATGGGAAATTGATAAAAAGAAGTCTATCTCCATCGATTGGATAGATGGCAGTTGTGCACCAATCGATGTGCTAAATATTTACAATTGTACGTAAATGCACTGCTGGTTGCTTAAAAAACTAGATTTTCTTGTAAGAAAGCATCCATTTCGTGCACTGAACTCTGTTAATGCTTTTCGTGCTTTAATACAACAGAAGAATTGGAAACGGATGTGTATGGAGAGGTTTTTGATGCAAAAATTACAGACGAAGAATTGTCAAGTGGCGATGAAGTAAATGAACACTGATATTAACAAAATAAAACAAATTCCGAAGAGGGACATCTCGTTTTCTTGATATTCAAGATATTACAAGAGTTTGAAACAAAAGATGGTGTAATATTTCGTCTTTATTCCAAAGACATCATCAGACTTATGACATATTACACCAACTTTTGTTTCAAACTCTTGTAATATCTTGAATATCAAGAAAACGAGATGTCCCTCTTCGGAATTTGTTTTATTTTGTATTATTTGAAATTGTCTGCTTGTCCTGGTTATATTAACAAGTAGCATCACGATTTCACATCTTTCTCGATTGAACCTTGTCTTCGTATTATGACACCTCTTTATTAAATAATTCGTAAATGGATTTGACCTTGTAGCAAGCTTCAATATTCTGTCAACTTGAGCCCGCCGCACACTGGTGAACTTGCCGCGCGTACTTGTTATTCGTGACAAGTGTGATCGACAAAAGTTCCTAGTGTGCGCGGAAGTTTTGAACAACATTTGTCATTCGTGACAGATGAGTCAAATATCAAACGCGTTTGATATTTTTTGTCACGAGTGACAAAAAATCCTAGTGTGCGGAGAGCAAGCAGCAAGTGCGCTGTAAATGAGAAAAATGCGCACGCGCGAGATTAATAAAACAAAATGGCAGACCAAACCTCGGAAAATGTGGCGGACGTTATATTAGAGGACCAGCTTGTTGATATTTGGTCTGAATATCCATGTCTTTACGATGTAAGATCGTCGGAATTTAAAAATCGAGACGCAAGAGATAAGGCTCTGCAAGAGATTGCAGAAATTCTTGGGCAAACAGGTTGTTATTTGTTAATAATAAATATCGACTTTATAAGTGTTTGTAACCAGGACAAGCAGACAATTTCAAATAATACAAAATAAAGCAAATTCCGAAGAGGGACATCTCGTTTTCTTGATATTCAAGATATTACAAGAGTTTGAAACAAAATAATGTGTAATATTTCGTCTTTATTCCAAAGACATCATCAGACTTATGGTTTACAATGCAGGCTGCGAAACTTTTATATATTTACAAGCGGAAATGGCAGTTATGTAATTAGAGAACTATAAGACTAAAATATACTAACATTAAAATAGAGATAGTTTCTTACAAGCTTTAAGACCACTATTAAGTTGTGGCATATCGCGTTTTATCAAAAGTGCTTCTAAGATGAGAAGTTGATTAGGATTATTATTTTACAGTGATATAATATTTTGGTATTACTAGGAATCAAGTTACAAGGATTGAGTGGCACGTGTGTGAGATCGAGGTCGGAATCAGCGTCAGGAAGTGAGAAAAGGTGTGAGATGTAGTTGGCGTCTGGACAAATGAGTAAATGTTGTGAGATGGCACTAGAATTATTGTAATTAGTAGCATGTTGGGTTAGTCTTGTGTGTAGGTTTCGTTCAGTTTTGCCAATGTATGTATGACCACAGCCTGGACATTTAAATTCATATATAACATTGGCTTTAGAGAGTTCCGAATTTTGTCCTTTTGGGACAGAAAATTGATGTCATTTTTGTTTCATATATAACTATAGGTTTGATGGGAATTTTTAAGCTACGGCGAATTTTACGAAGAAGATTGAAAACCAAACGTTCACCCTGTTTGCCTAGATATGGTATTCTAATGAAAATTTTACGAAGGTCATTCTCAGTATTTTGTTTAGAGGGGTTATTTTTAGCTATGATTTTGGTTTTGAGTTTGTGAATCAAGAATTTCCGGACTGTAAGAGGGAAACCATTCCATGACATAAAAGACTGGAGTGTTTGAATTTGTTTTTTTGAATAATGTTTGGTTAGAGCAAATCTTAAATGCGCGAAAAAATAAGGAATTGATCCAAGTAGTTTTGCGGTTGAAAGGTTCGAAACTTGAAAAATGTGTATATTGGCCAGTATGAGTTGTTTTACGGAATATATCGATGTCATTATTTGTTATTTTGAGGTCTAGAAAGTGGACATGTGAGTCAGAAAAATCATCAAAAGTAAATTTAAGATTTTTATCAAAACTATTAAATTTGGCAAGAACATGAGGAATGTCAGAATGTCGCATAAGATATTCTTGTTCTAACCCAACATGCTACTAATTACAATAATTCTAGTGCCATCTCACAACATTTACTCATTTGTCCAGACGCCAACTACATCTCACACCTTTTCTCACTTCCTGACGCTGATTCCGACCTCGATCTCACACACGTGCCACTCAATCCTTGTAACTTGATTCCTAGTAATACCAAAATATTATATCACTGTAAAAATAATAATCCTAATCAACTTCTCATCTTAGAAGCACTTTTGATAAAACGCGATATGCCACAACTTAATAGTGGTCTTAAAGCTTGTAAGAAACTATCTCTATTTTAATGTTAGTATATTTTAGTCTTATAGTTCTCTAATTACATAACTGCCATTTCCGCTTGTAAATATATAAAAGTTTCGCAGCCTGCATTGTAAACCATAAGTCTGATGATGTCTTTGGAATAAAGACGAAATATTACACATTATTTTGTTTCAAACTCTTGTAATATCTTGAATATCAAGAAAACGAGATGTCCCTCTTCGGAATTTGCTTTATTTTGTATAAGTGTTTGTTATATAGTCATTCTCCAATCTTTTAGTTCTTTTATTCAGTCCACGCTGTTGAGCAGAGATTTATTTGCTGGAAAATATAATTAATAGTCGCAATGGAACTCACATGTCAATTTCTTACTTAGTTGATTGGGTCAAGGCTAAAATAAAAGCATTGAGAAATGCTTACACACGAGTCAAAAAACCTCCTCCAAGTGGTAGCGCTCGCAAAAATCTTACGAAGCGAGGTAGCTGGTTGCTGGATAAACTGAAGTTCCTCTCTCCTTTCGTGGCAACAAGAGTTCCCATTTCAAATATTGCTACTGTAAGTGAAATTCTTGTTTTATTTTGATTTTCCAAACAATTAATATTTAGCACAACATATATATATATATATATATATAATTAAGAGTAAGTGCTACTGCTAGATAATGTTGTCCTGCCATGATACAGCTCCACAAGTGTTAAAATATGTCGTCAGAATTTCACCTTGCATTTTGGCACTATTAGAAGGATTTCTGTCTGTGTAGAATGGATTCAAATTTGTCATGCATGAATTTTGATTGGTAATGGTAGACCAAGAGTATTTTCAACAACAGCTTTTCACAAGCTAGACTCGTTATACACGCCAGCATCTCCTGCACGGCCTGCTGCTCCAACATTAACATAGACAAACTTGTAGTTTGCATCTACTAGAGCTAAAAGCAAAACACTGAAAAAATGCTTGTAGTTGAAAAATTCTGATCCACTACTATTTGGTTGTTGTATGGCTATGTGTTTCCCATCTAGAGCTCCAATGCAGCCAGGATAGTTCCATTTTTTTTCAAATTGGTCTGCAACAGCCTTCCATTCTTCTGCACAAGATGGAGTCTGTAATTGAAGAAAATAAAAGCAATTACATCATAAATTTGCTTATGTTAAACTAATGGATGTTCATTTATTGAATGCTTCTAGGACGATTCCAATTCACCATCATGCATGACAATTGCTGATGAAGTTGAGGATCAAAACGATGATGATGACGACAGTTTTAATGATCCAGCAACACCAAGCAACAGTCTTGAGAATGAGGTTGACTGTCCCATTTCTAGTACTAAACAGCCAACACTTATAAAGCCAAATAGAAAAAGGCAGGCAGATGAAGAATACAATCTCATGACTTGTTTGGCAAAAAACATCTCAAGAAAAAGAAGCAGAGAAATGTCTCACAAGCAATGTAATAACCCGGATGAAGCATTTGGTCATTATATCATGCAGTCGTTGTCTGAACTTCCCCCCACTGTAAGACACTTGGCACAATACAAAATTAATGAAATACTGTTCCAGGCTCAATCAGGGGAACTTACACATCAAAGCACAAGAGTGCCAGTAGCTATGCACCAACATATGTTTCAAACACCTTATGCACAAAACAACTTGCACCCCATCAGCAATCATATGACAAATAGTCAACGATTCAACACATCTTCCCCAATAGATGGTGGATTGAGCCGTCCTGTTGTTAATATGTGGTCTTCACCAATCTCTAGAGAGCTTAATTGTGGTCAAGACTCATCTGCCTATGACAACATGAGCTCTTAATGGATGTAAACAGTTATTGTTAATAATACTACCGATATTTGTTGTAAATGTTTAATAACTTGCCTCCAAACATGTTTCCTTTAACGAGATATACAAAGCATGGCATGTTTCCTCAACAATATTCGAAATTGTACGCTCGCCAATTCTAAACTGGAATGACAGACTACAAAATGTTTCACCTAAAATGGGAAAATAATAAAAACAGTAAGAGAACTGCTTTCTCTGACCAAGTGTTCAATCACTATACGTAATTCTACGTACCTGTTGCAAGAAATCGCAGGGTTACTCCAGTCGTTCGCGAGGTTTTAACGCTGTCCTCATTTGCGTGTCTTGTTTTACAATGTATGGAAAAACAATCTTCAAAATATTTTCAAATGATTGCCTGTCCAATCTATGATACTGACGGAACTGTTCAGGATCTTCTACTGCTAGCTGGACGTCCGCCACATTTTCCGAGGCGGACGTCCAGCTAGCAGTAGAAGATCCTGAACAGTTGTTAATTGCAGTAGAAGATCCTGAACTGTTGTTAATTGTCGTCCAACAATGAATTTAACGCATTCAACAAATCTGCCATTTTGTTTTCTCAATCTCGCGCGTGCGCAATTTTGTCATTTACAGCGCACTTGCTGCTTGCTCTCATTGAGTTCTATAATAACTAGAGCGGCTATCTCAAGCGCGGCCTTAGATATCTGATGACGCCAAAAAAATGGCGGATTTCGTCCTTTGCCGCTGAGATTTACCGAAATTGACCGCTTTTCCGAAATTTCACAATTTCCACTCCTCCTGAAGAAAGAGTGAGGAAAATGTATGTGTGTATTGGGATTCGGCAAGCAATTTTTGATGAAAATGGGTAAAACCTTAAATTCATAACAGCGAATGAACTGTGGTTGTCAGTTATCTGCTCCTACGAGGATGCATTTATAACTATCGACGAAAGACCGATATGTCGGCTACACATGTATGAATGCAGATGTGCGTCGTTTTCTTACCAGCGTCAAACTTGTTTGATCGATTAAACTCTTTAGTCTATACAAAAAAGTATATCATAGTTCATCTCCACGGTTCACGAGAGAGTTAGCTTATTTGTTATCATTGCTATTTTGCTTCTTTTCATGCAATGGGCAATGGCTTTTTCGCCACAATTGTAGGATTTTACTTGTTTCTTTAAAAAGTACATATTAAATCTCTGGATATTTACGGATTTTCTGTAATTGAGTTTCATATGAAATTTCAAAAGACTCAAGTCTGCATAGGTTTGGTAAATGAAAACAAACAATATTGTATAGAAATTACTTTAAGTAACCTTTTGTGATGTTCTGAAGTGCAACTGCATCAAATATTTGTAAAGTTGTAGCACATTTTGATTTTGTTGTATTGATATATGAATTGGGCAAAATGCAAATAATCATCAAAACACTTATGCTTCCAATGGTGTTTATAATTCATTTGTAGTTTTAATACCTCTACCTTTCTTTTTCACTTTGTTTTGTTTTTCCTATATTTGCAGTAAAAGTGCACTATAATTTGAATGATTAACACAGTTTTCACCTCAATAATAAATTTCATAAGCAGTTGGTAGTGCATTTTGTTCTCTGAGTATCTACATCTGGTGTTTTGTTCATACAAGAATGATGAAGTGCAAGTAGATATGTCATAGCAAGGCAATAAAACCAAATGAATTACATAACTATAGTGTACTTTTATGCTAGAAGCTTAAAAGCTTTTTAGAAATTAGAATATTATTGTATTATATTACCTCTATATCATCAATTTCATGATAAGAAATAAGAAGCAAAAAATTTGTAGAAAAGCTTTGAAAAGTGAAAATTTTTCTTTAAAAAGCAGCAATAATGCATATGATAAATCTCCATTCTGTATTCTAATAGGTAAATAAGCTCAAATTTTTCTTAAAGAAATATAAGAAATATATAAGAAATATACAGTACAGTAACTTTAAAGGTTTCATCACTGAATCTTTAATGCTTCAGTATAGTGCATTAGATATTAGTAACATTCAAACAACACTCAACTAAAATATTTTGATAAAGATATGACATGATTTAAACATTAAGTTACATAAAACCCAATGGCTTATACAGTTTGAAGCTTCACATCTGCATCGAGTCATCATCAATCTCAGTACAAATGTTTACATAGACACAAACTTTATGGCCTTCCATTTTACATGTTTGTAATTGACATTTCATTAAGCATCAAAACACACACAACCTTCTTGCCATCTTTCTTTGGATCATGAACTTTAACTTCAAAGCATTCAAGGCATCCTTAGTGAATCCATTGTCTCCATCCATAGAATTTGACCACGATCAAATTAAATAACTCTGGATAGGGCAGACAATAAATCAATTATCTTTACAGCATCATCATTTTTTAAGACTCTGCCTGGTCAATAACATCTTCCAGTCATCTTTACTCCTTGATCTTCCCTGCATGTTGTCAGCAAATAGAACATAAAACAAGCTCTGCTCCAAATCATGGGTACCGTTGGGGCTGATCATTTCTTTTTGATACCTACTCACAGAGCAAAATGTGTGCAGGGTCTTTTTTGCTTTAGGGAAACTATTTTGCGAATAAGTGGGTAAATTTACGATTTCATCCATTAACAAATGACAGAAAAGTATACAGAATTTTATAAACAAAAACAGGAAAACATCAGTATATTTGGCGTTCAAGTCAGCTTAAAAAATACGATCTTTAATATGTATTTTATGGCTTTTCAAGTGCATCTATAATTGCTTTTCAATCGTTGACGGACTAACAAAACAAACAACTACCTCACCTGTGAGAAGCGATATGTTCCTTTTTGTGGAAACTAAGACATCAACAAATGAACGATTGAAGTGTTGACATTATAAAAGAAATGCCAAAAAAGAATCGTCACAGAAAATAGAACTAACGATATCCATATTCTGTGATATCGTGTTTGTTTTTGAAAAATTCTTTATAATTTACTATAGACACCAGGGGGAGGTCAAGAATATTATTTTTCTGCAAAGCGATCATTTCAGCGGAAATACGTCCTTTGGCCGCCATTTTTTTGGCGTCCTCGCCCCAGTAAAGATAGCCGCTCCAGTTATTATAGAACTCAATGCTTGCTCTCCGCACACGAGGATTTTTTGTCACTCGTGACAAAAAATATCAAACGCGTTTGATATTTGACTCATCTGTCACGAATGACAAATGTTGTTCAAAACTTCCGCGCACACTGGGAACTTTTGTCGATCACACTTGTCACGAATAACAAGTACGCGCGGCAAGTTCACCAGTGTGCGGCGGGCTTTGCATAATCATTCTTACGAGAAAATTGTGTTTCGCTTTGTTTGCCTCTCTATATAGACTGTGAGCCCACGACTCGGCTCAAAATAATAGCGGTAACATAATACTTCATGTAAAAAGGTCTCCTAACAACAAAACGGGAGCGTTCTGCATCGTCAATATTGTAAAAAAACTGCGGGTTTTGGTGAGTAGGAACAAAGAATGTCGAATTCAGCATGTCGAAAACTATAGAATACCGTTCATAAAATTTAGCACCGCGATGGTGGCTCCCAATATTCCAGACGAAATTATTGCAACTATTATGAATATTATCGCTCAACTACCACGAAAAGATGCAAATGTGTCGTGAAAGCGTCTTGAAAGCATATGAAACTCAGAAAGCAGCGAAGAGTGAACTGGACAGGCCTCAAGTTTGTTTCCTGGTGAGTGTATTACGGTACCAGTATATCCGTTCATAAAATTTAGCATCGCGATGGTGGCTACGAAACTTTATTTCAAAGGACATTTTGATTTACACAGGCAACGGACTAAATATTCCACTTTGTTATTTGATCTTTTGGGATTGATCGTTAAATCCACCGAGCAAAGTGTGAACAAGCCCAATGAATATGAGAATTCTTGGCCGTCGTAAACTGCGCAGTTTATTGATGATCATTTTCCTGTTCATCCTCGCCAGTGCTATAATAGAAATAGTGTTCATTTCATCTCAAAAGCTTACGAACCCTGGGAATTTCTTGAAACATGTTGTCGAACAATTATCTACAGGTGAGCACATTAACCGGAAACAACAAGAGTGTCTGCAAGTAATCCCGTTTCATAAGTGTGGAATGTATTAGAATGAAGATAATGAGGAGTTTTATTTCATTTTCTGCCTTTATACCATGCAAGCAGCACAAATGAAATTCAACGTTTGAAAAGGGCCTTCACTAGATTATTCAGCTGATATAGTTTGCTAAATTTAAAATAATACTTTATCTTGGACGACTTTTAGCCAAATTTTTTCCTCACAACTTGTGCAACTTAATATCATTTTGTCACTTAAAATTGTTCGAACACACTATTGAAATAACCTACACGCATAAAAGAATGTAAAGCTGTACATGTGCTTGACAGCTTGTGCATTGTAAACAATAGTTAGTGGCTGTTTAAATGATCCTGGCACGGCATGAAATGATTTCGAGGCATTGAAATGTGGCAAAACTTCAAGCTTAAAAATTACAACTGTAGTTTAGTTAAGCACCACAACTCATTCCTGTTGTAACTCTGAAATTAGGCCAAATTGGTTGTTTCAATTTTAAATGTTTTAAGTATTCATTAAAACAAGAGTATTATAAAATTCCTTGAGAAGAATTATCTAATGATAAGTATTGAATCTTATCCATTTGCCAAAAGCATTTGACTCTTGGCTGAATCCAAGCTAGCCAGGCTCCTGTAATCTTACTGGAAACCATATTGAACCAATTGTTTTCCTAACTTCATGACTCAGAGCTCTGTATCCTTAGGCATGCCTAAGGGAATATGTCAAGCCACCAAAGAAATCAGGATAACATGAGTGTTTAAAACTTTTACTATGCCGTATAAACTGATGTTTTCCACTGAGAAACTATCACAGTGGTGGATGACAGCGGCTCGTATTAATACAAGGGAATTTGGTTGTCACAGTACCCGAGCAGCCTTCAAATCATGTGCGACTCAGATTATTGAGTCAGTTAGCTGGTCCATTACCATGACTTTTCAAACATTCTACCATTAACCATTATCTAGACTTCATTTAATCTCATTTAAATAATTTTAAAACCAGTTGAGAATAATTAATATGTTTTGTTAACCTAAAATATATGACTTGAACAAGAGTCACGTGACAGCATGAGTCGTTTGTTTGTTTTTGTCTTAGTGATTAAGTTTTAAGTCTGATTTTATTGTTCACTATCAAATCTCAGAAAACTTGGCACAACCAAGGCTGATGACGTAGTAGAATTTAAAAATCAAATGGCACACCTTAAGTTGAAGTTTAATTTGAATTCTACAAATCATCAGTGAGAAGTGGAAGAGAGTTGTTAGCCCGAATACATTGTTTTATAGTCATACAATTTTTCATATCCAGCTGATGACTTGCAGAATTCTGATTAAAATTCAACTCAAGATATGTCTCGTTTAGTTTTTGAATTTAGTGGACAAGTACGCCAATGTTGTCTTGTTGGATCCCATAAAACAAAAAGTACATTGCTTTATGCTTCCATTTAGAAATATCAAACTCCACTCAAGTTCCAAACAGTAACTTGGCTTCAGCATGTTTATCAAGGAACATCTTGGATAATAATGAAGTTAAACTTCATAGCAACAGGTCATCTGATAAACAATGTAAGTTGATCCATACAAAAAATATAGACATTTTTGTTTTCCTATCTTTTTCATTTAATTCATTTCAGATACTCTAACCATTGGCATCTCTACAATTACTCGTGACAATGGAAACATATATCTCATGGACACTCTGAGTAGTCTTACCGTGGACCAAACTATTGGAAATGTAATTCATTATTTGAGCATGATGGAAATACATCATCGCTTAAAAGCAAATCTCAACCGACAAAAGAACCCTACTTTGACTAATACTCTCAAAAATATCTTGGTCTTAACCCCCCTGCCATGATCATAAAAACTAACCTCATACCAAAAATGCAAACAAAGATAGACTTTGCATACAACCAAGGTGCTAAGTATTTCTAGGGCACATAAAGGTAACGTTGTGCAATTTTTTCTCAAATTATTCAGTGTTTTTTTGCTAAAATAGCAAACAAATTGATTACTTTAAAAGACCAAACTAATTTCAACATCAAATGGCAATAAATCTTAAGACAGGGCAAATTTATTTGATCTTTTCCTTTGCTATAAACATTATTGATGCTGTAAGATGACATCATGTGCGCGCAACTTAAACATATTAAAGATTTTTCATCTACACTTTATGTAAGTGTGATGATTTTCTCGGGCAAACTATGTCGAATTCTGTCCACATGTTTCACTTATTTCTGTCTGCAGAGCTGCAGTTAGAGAGCTACGTCCTGTCTTTGTACTTATTCTCATTGCTTTATGGATATACAAATAGGACAACTGAAAACAGCATATGGACAAAATAATTGACTTTTTGGAGGAGACGCCATAACTTTGCGTTAAATTTTTCTGACCATGATTGTCATCCGTATTTCCGTTTTCTGGCTTTTACGTTTCAATTCAAATGAATATTTGTTGACTATACTGACAGTTAAACGTCGTATGATAACAAAAAACTCTAAAGACAATACTTTCACTTCACTTATAAACTGTTTTTGCGGTTATAATATTTGAAAGAATCCAAATGAAGCTCGAAGGAGTCTTATTTAACACATAAATGCCCCTTTATTTCACAGAATTTTATCTGTTGAGATCCTAAAAGCTAGCTAGCTATATTCCACACGCCCTTTTTCAGACAACTGTCTAATTGACGTAATGAATGGCGAACATCCATTCGTCTGGGATGCATTTCGCATGTTGCATAGACATCTAAAAATGCATTGAGTTTAAAAGCATGGAAAAATTTTCAACTTGCTCTTCGTATTTAAATTTTTCACAGGTTATTATTCGGAAACTCTTTGGTAATGATAAATATGCAGTTGAATTCTTGTTATTTATACTGATCTTTTTGCATGATGTATGACTAATGAATTTATATGTCAAACTTAATTCAACTTAAATGAAAATTTATGTGAATATCAATTAAACAATTCTTAAACATGATGTAATTGTAAACCATAGTATTTGGAAGACTTGCAAACTCGCAATTACAAAATTATTTTTCTGTTGATCAAAACTATTCTATGGAGCCCAGCCCCCTGCCATTCTCTTTCCGCGTGCATTATTTTCAATATATTTTTCCCATGTTTTGTGTTAACATGCATTATTGTTGCTGCTTTTGTGCATAACTTCCCACAAGTCAGAAATGAACAACAATCGTTGACATTTAAGTTCATTACAAATGATCAAAATATTTTATCTACAAGTGCATATGTAAGATACAATATCTGTTGAAAATTTTAGGTACTCAAGCCATTAACTTTAATTATTTTAGTCCTGAACGCTGGCCTATGTGGCCAGTGAAGTTGCAAAGATCTGCTTCCGAGTTCTGTTGAATCTTCATCTCTTGCACAAGCCTGCATGTGAAAACAACTCTTATTTCTTTAGAAATAACATAATCTATTTTCATATGCAATTACCATCAATATTCAAACACATTGTTGATTTTTAACTTTGTACACATTAAATCTAATTTTGTTATGGATAATTCCTCTTTTCAATAAGTCAGTTAAGAGTTTTGCTCCTTGAAATGTAAAAATTTTCTGTGACACTCAGTTTTTACCTTTGGCAATATGACATTTTTTATTTGCTTGCATAAGAATGTGCCCAATACGTTTAAAAGAATTTTTGCACATTGCTGTATGAATTAATAAACTGAACTTTGCTAAAAGTGAAGTGACCTCCAAACAGCTCATAACCTTATGACATAAATATGATTCTGTTGTAACAATGACAGCGATGACAGCTAGTTCGAAGACGTTGACGTTAATTGAGCAAAGGAATGTTCATGCTTTGTTGACTTTTCTCCTTGCACTCATATCTCATCGTAGTTGAATTGTTATGTCTTTCCTAATATTGAACTTTGTTCTGTTATTCTCGCTTGTCGACCTCCACACGCTGTCGGTGAGTTTTTATGTTGCTACTAGAAATGATAAGCTAATATTATCACTTATATAAGCACTTGATATTGCAAGCATCACAGTAGTCATAAGTTTTGCATTATAATGACGATGCAACAATTTTCTTTTTGAGAATACGATAATGAAAACTATAATAGAATTATCAGTTATATCAATTGCGTGAATTGCTATTAGAAAAGATAAACTGAAGGGAACTCTGAAATGCATGAAGGTTCAAAGCATTTCATTTTACATATATCACAGTAGTCATATGCTTTGCATTGTATTGACCGTCAATGCAGCTATTTTCATTTTGAGAAGACAAAAGTGAGTTTGCACATAAGGCAGTCATTCTAATTTAAAAATTTAGGATTGCAACAAAGCTTTATATTTTAATGATGTTAAATTACAAATGACAAATGTGATTGAAATGTGATTTGTATTGGCAACATTTGAATAAGTAATTGAGATATTCAAAACTCATAAGCCTAAAGTATTGATTAGAAGTTCTCTGTAATTATTCGTTTCAGCGAGAGGAACCTAAATGCAATACTAATGCGTACCCTCCAGAACTAAAGTAAGTGCGTTAATTTATGATGAAATTTTGCTCATTTTGATCATTTCATATTTGAAACTACCGAAAAGACCCAACATTTGAGTGTTCTGTAGAGTTCTGAAGAGTTCTGCTGTTCTGAATATAAAGATTAGAGCTCGACAGATTGTTCCAAAAAAGTAATCAAAAGATTGTTCCAAGAAAGCAAGTGTTGCTTAATTTGTGTTGACTCAAGACATTGCCTTTTCAATAAACACTAGGATCAAACCGCTAATAGTTTTTTTGAAGAATCTGTTGGGCTCAATTGAAAATTATATTCATTTCTGGCACCTCATTGGAAATTCTATTTTCTTCGGCAAACTTCTCTGAGCTTTGTAAACAGTCAGCTCTTCAACTTAATCGAGGGCTGTTTTATAAATATAAACTTTATACTATGTTTGAACTTTTGAATACTTTTGGGGTTAATTTACAAAGTTGACAAGCAAAAAAAAATCAAAATTAAACTAAAGAATACAATATTTCATTTGTGAACTGTTCTGATAAATTTGGATCATAGAAAACAACTTCAATATGTAAATATACTTTGTAATAGTTACAAAAATATTTTTACCAATGCTTAACTAGCGTAATCAATTATTTCTTTGGTTAAACGTAGGCTTTAATTTGCTCGAAAGTCCTACAATTTAGTTTATATTCTTCCAAACAACACACATTCAGCATACGGCAACTGTCATATAGTTACCTAGCTGATGCGTCGCACGTATTCTAAAAACTCACGCACACTCACACTCACTGAGTAAAGCTTCATGATCGCCTCATAAGAATTATTCTAATACGGATTTTTCGCTCAACTGATTTGCTTGATTTGCTTGATTTGAAATTTTTCAGCAAAATTCATATTATCGCTTGAGAAATGGCTTTGCCATTGATTACGAATAATACAAAATAAAACAAATTCCGAAGAGGGACATCTCGTTTTCTTGATATTCAAGATATTACAAGAGTTTGAAACAAAATAATGTGTAATATTTCGTCTTTATTCCAAAGACATCATCAGACTTATGATGATGTCTTTGACAGATCATCATCAGACAAAGACATCATCAGACTCATAAGTCTGATGATGTCTTTGGAATAAAGACGAAATATTACACATTATTTTGTTTCAAACTCTTGTAATATCTTGAATATCAAGAAAACGAGATGTCCCTCTTCGGAATTTGTTTTATTTTGTATTATTTGAAATTGTCTGCTTGTCCTGGTTATTGATTACGAAGAGCGTCTATTTTATGTCGCACTCCGCGAGTGTGAATAAGCTTTTAAAATATGGGTGACAGTTCAACTTTATAGTTATTGTTAAGCAAAGAAATTAGGTATATTAAAAATACAACGTTTTGTTTATAGGGATAAAGTCAGTGATGCTTACATAAACCTTGATTTGAAACCTGAAGATCGATGGAAGGAAATTTCAATGAACATGAAAGTGGAGGTTTGTCTAAGCTAACCTTTATGATTCTCATCGATGCAATGACAAAACAATGATCGGAGTAGTTTATATAACCAGAAACTGCATTTGACATCTATTTAGGTATTTTAAACTTGAATGCCTGCAACTTTTTGCTGTCTCGTTTCTGTTTTTATACCGCCATGATAGTTTTACCGCTAGAGCTCATTTCATCCATGAATTTTTCCGAGCGATCTCAAGGCTAGATATAAAATTCCAAGCAATACAAGGTCTGATATGACTTTTCCTGTGTTCTATATATAGTTACTGGAATTGCTGCAAGAAATCAAGAACTTTACAAACTTCATTTTGAATGGAAAATTGTTTGATTACATCGACAAGTATTTGGTAAGAGATGAATAATTAGCCAAATTGAAATGTTTTCGCGTGTCTTTTGTTTCATGGAAAGTTTCTGCATTGAAAATTTGCAATTCGCAATTCGCAGCTCGATTATATTGAGAGTGATTGTTATTGTGTGAAGGGTGAAACTCTTTGAAGGACCGTGAAAACATCGTTCAACATCACAAAGTCTCCGCTAGTTCACGCGATACGTCTTGGAACGTTTTATAGTTGTTTGATTATTGAATAGTCCTTGGACAGTTTTCATAATGCAAAACCTCAGTGGATCAAGACAAGTTGCATCGTGCATATTTTACTTCATACAAATTTCATTTTACGCGTTAGTCTTTCTGGAGATGAATTTATACACCTTTTTGCAGCCTTTTATAGCGGACACGCTACCCGATCCATACGGCAACGAAATTAAAGGTATCGCCAAGGTAACTGGCATACCGCTTGGTAAGTAAGTGTTTTACAAGATTGCACATTACACTTATGGCAAAACGATATTCATACTTATTTTATATGCATTCTGACTGACAGTTTATGGCCCCAATGCAGTGTACCACATTATATATGAATCAAGCAGTCTCAGTCTATAAAGCATATTTATATTTTGGATTGCTCATGCGATATTGGGACATAACAGCAAAGTTATGGGATGAATCTTACGACTTACATACCAAAGAAATTCTAAATTTACCATATATATGTCTCTATTTTCAATAGGTGAGGTTGTTCTCTACAACATATTTTACGAGGTCTTTACTGTGTGTACATCCATTGTAGCACAAACACCTGGAGGTAAAGTATATTTCTTTGACACAAAGCATCATTCTGGACTCGTAAAAGATAATCCGTCATAGATCTGCCAACTTATCTTCATATTCTCTTACGACTTGTGTTATAGGAAAAATTTTCCATGCGCGTAATTTGGACTTTGGGCTTTTCCTTGGGTAAGAGAGCCAACATAACCTTCTCTTTATGAAACTTTTCTTAAGTTAGCTTCCTTTTTATTTGTTATATCTTCTATTTCTTAAGAAAATCATATATTTTTTGTTTATCAGCAAATCTGCACACCAAGACTTGTTTTTATTTGCAGACAGATCAAATGCTTCTAAAACAATTAATTTTTACCATTTGTTTTTATTATCAGTTGGGACGTCACCAACAACACTTGGTCGTTGCCAGAAGTACTTCGTCCTCTCGTCCGCAATTTTTATTTTCAACGTAGTGGAAAAACCGCTTATGTTGCTACTGGTTTTACTGGATTTGTTGGCGCTGTAAATGGGGTAAAACAGGTACGTAAAGCAGTTATTTTATCTGTTTTGAACAGCGTTCTACACTGCCGTCGGTTTTCAGGATGAGGCGATTTTATATTGATTGCTAAACATATAAAGCTCACTTCTAGAAGGTGTTCGTGCATGATTGTCACATAAAAAAATTGGCATTTTTCATCATTCTTCACTACCGTGTGTATTATGACCTTTGAGATATGTTTGTTGATATTTTTATTGATATTTCAAGGGTGTTTTTTCATTGACAATGAACGAACGTTTTAAGATCAATGGTGGATTTGTTGGTAAGTACAAAGTACAAAGTAATAGCTGAATACTTTTCTACAAAGAGATTGTAGAGGCATAGCAGGAGTAGAGCAAACGAGGCAATCAATCTCTCTTTTCACGATAACGTCGGATAGACAGCTATAACTTGCTTTAATTTCTTCTCCCCCCTTTCATAAATCCTGCCAAATCCCAGGTTAGGATTGCGTACATGACCCACTGCTGCATGTACTTAATTTTGTACACTGCCAAAAGGCGAAAACGGATGGGGGTGACCTGACAAGTTTTTCTGTAGGTATGGATAAAACTAATATCAGGACGAAACTATTGGAGCTGTCGTTCCAGGTCTATCTTATAGATCATGTCAACGAACAACCCTTTTTGCACAACTGTTGTCATGCCTGGCGCACACGAGTTTTCAGCAGTTTTATTATGAGTCACTCGTGGTGCTTAGCGTACGATACTTACCCATGTGTTGTATCATTTTCTGTGATTTTGGCACTCCTATGCATGCGTGTATCAAGCAATTACTGAGCTGAAAACTCACCACACGCGCTAAAGGTGTAAAATCGTTCACTTGTGGAAAAAATGTTCAACATTTTGAATATTGTTGACCAATGGCACGCGTGCCAAAATCACAGAAAATGACACCACACACCTGGTAAGTAGCGTACGCTAAGCGCCACGAGTAACTCAAAGCGCTTCTGATAGAGCTCCTGTGTGCGCCATGCATTAGATCAAACCATTGGGTCAAACTCATTTTATGTGTAATTAGTGACTCGTCGTTTCTAGGGGGAATAATGTTCAAAAATAATAAATACCTGTGTACATCCTTCACATTTGGTTAAAATATCCACTTTGAAATGGAAATCATTTTATTTGCGTCTTTATTTCATTTAGGTATACTGGAATGGATTCTTGGTAACAGAGAGGCGAAATGGACGACGTTTCTAGCCAGAGATGTTCTTGAAAGTTCGTCAAGGTATGATTAATCATTATTTGTTTAAGTTGAGTTAATTTGACCCCGTAATTAAGCATTAAGAGCCTTTCTTTTTCAGTTGCAAACAGAAGCAAAATCTATTTTTGCTTTGTAAACCGGAGCATGTTTTGCCTTATTCTTGTTCATTTTACGTATCACGTGTGCATAAGATCTAAATTTTTATCGTAACAGTTTCGAGATGGCCTACAATGCTCTCTCCAACAAGAAAATTTTGGCACCGTGCTACTATATTCTTGGCGGTAACAGCACTGGACAAGTATAAATTTTATTAGCCGTTAGGGACTGGGCAGCTACGTGAGGGTTGCGTATAACGTCCAACGTAAAGTTTCTACAAGGGGTAAAAAAAACAGGCAAGCAATAGCAGTGACTAAATTACATTCAACTAAAAGTAGGCTAAAAAATGAGTATTAAAAATCTTTTAGAAACGTAGGCAAATTACTGTGTGTGGTGTATAAATTTGTGATGGAGAAAATATGATTTTCAAATAAACACTTGAATGTCTTTACGAACAATGATATATTTATAACCAAAGTTAATTGCATGAGCTGTAATAACATTTTTTATGTGAATGTTTTATGCAGTGCGGTGTTTTGAAATTAAATGAGATATGATCTTCGCACTTAGCTAGACAATTTAAGCAATCGTCTCAGGACCTGAAAAAATCAGGTGACTCAACGGGATCACCTGATTTTTTCAGGTCCTGAGACGATTGCTTAAATTGTCTAGCTAAGTGCGAAGATCATATCTCATTTAATTTTAACATTTTTTATGCCATTGCATCGCTTTCATCCTAAACTTCTACTTCGTCTTAAACTTGTCTTGACCGCGACGGCTCCTGTTTGCATATTTTTGGGGGGACACCCTTACCCTGTATTGAGTTTTGTGTCTTTTTGCCACGTTCTTCGTTATCCATGGTGGTCACTAAGGGGTTAATAGCAACTAACCGTACGTCCTGTGTCCCAAGTGCAGGAGTCACCATTTTACTATGGTGATAGCCGGGAGGACACTTTGTTATACACTTTGTATATAACAATATATATTAGGTAAGGGGCGAGTGGCTGAATGGTTAATGGCGTGAGCTGTAAGCCAGACGGCGCGGGTTCAATCCCGGCTCGTGTCTGTAAACCTAGCCCGAGTTGACCAAAGCCATGTGAGGGAAATTTGGTAGAGGAAACTATGTCCTCGGATGGACTGTACCTGCATCTGCAATGTTGCAGCCTTGTCACAGGGTGAAGGGTACGAGTGATTGTAGTCTGGTCAGCTCCTTTCACTATAATTTCAGTAACCAGTTTGTTCCACTTCGTGGAACCCTCATACGTCGAAATCGACGTATCTGCAATCTACGACATCTGCAATGTTGCAGCCTTGTCACACGGTGTCACGCTGATATCAGCGTTGTGGTTGCGTGAAGGGTACTAGTGATTGTAGTCTGGTCAGCTGCTTTCACTATAATTTCAGTAACCAGTTTGTTCCACTTCGTGGAACCCTCATACGTCGAAATCGACGGAGTCCATTATTTTATTTATTTATTATAATAGCAACTGTACTTGCTGCAAGCGACATCTGTACAAGAGGGTGGAATCCTCTGCAGATGCGGCGTGTAATGAATTACAACGGTGAATGAATTACATTGAGAATGACTTACAACGGTTTTTTTGTGTATCATTTTATTCTTTTCATAGGGAGTTGTAATTACTCGAGATCGCACTCGGTCGATTCATCCAATGAGGTTAGTTGGGTTAGTTGATCATGAAGTTTATGTGTAAGCATTGAGAAGTCAAGCAGCTTAATTGGTTAAATTATTGTATGAGATGTTGACGTGGAGAATGGTGTCACATGCAAGTCACATGTATTAGATGTAGCTGGATGATTATTGCACATTACAATTGAACAATATTGAGTAAATAGGGATTTTCTAGGTACTAATAAATCAGGCACGTAGCCAGAACGATGATTGGGGGCATATTCAAATATTCATTTTATAATCCGTAAAAAACAATGTAATTCAAAAGAAACTAATACGGCATTTCATGCATATATGTATATGCCCCCCCCCCCAATTATTGTTCTTGCTACGTGCCTGTACCAAATGACTGTTCGAAGAAACAAATTATTATTAGTAATACAATGGTAATGATGCCAGTTAGAAATTAAATGCACTTGAAAGCCGAAGGAAGTTTAATAACTTTGTAATAGGAATGAAAATTAAATGACAACTCCCCCATTTCTCTTTAGCTACCCCACTTCTAACAATTCCCCATTCGACATAGTAAATCTCAAGTGGGATAGTTAGTGGAAAATAATAATTACCTAGGGATATAATTAATGGAAGATAATAACTACCAAGGGGGCTAATTAACGGATATAAAAATAAACTTTTGACCCAATTCGACATTGAATTCGACAAGCTAAAGTGACAAATTTTAAATCATAGAAGAATATATTGAACGAAAATTTTGATATGTATGACGAGTGTCACTTAAACTTTCAAATTTTCACATGTTTTTGGTAATTCTACTTGTCACAAGTATTAAGTAAGTTGAAAAGTTTGCAGAGGAGCTAAGCGGAGACTGGTTACAAGTGAACTGAAGAACATCTAGATGAACGTAAACTGATTGTCCATTTAGTGGCCATAGATACTGTTCCAAATTGTGGTCAGTTTGGTTTGTTATCACTCGGTGTTTAATTATCGTATTAGAATGAAGCAGACCGAGGCAGGTTGGTACGTTTTGCAGACGAATTACGATCATTGGGAAGCTCCGCTGATCATCGATGACCGACGTACTCCTGTAAGTAATCTTGCTGCCTTTATTTCAATTTTTTCGAAACTTTGCAGCATTGAAATTATTGGGGAAATTTTGCACAATACATACATACCAATTACCATGTGTTAAGGGTCTGTTTGACAATGCTTTTCTTGACAATGGAAAGAAATTTTGGTCAAGCCCATTGCAAAATGTCTTGCATAGCAACAACAAACCGAAGGCGTAGTTTTTAGCCATTTTTGATGGCGATGTCCTTGGTGGCATGGATAAAATAAGTAGTTAATTTTTACAATCCAACTTTTGTAAATTTTAAATTTATAGGGCAAGAAGTGTATGAATGATATGACACAAAAGGTAAAATAAAAATATATTATGCTTTATTTGACTATGAATTAAACAGTAGTAGAAATGCAACATTTGAAAAATTAAATTGCATTTGTTATTTTTTAGAATGTTGGCTTTAAAGGATTGTATAACGTCATGTCGACTGTACCAGTTCTAAATGAGGTAAAACAAAGCTATTGAGATCAGTGGCGTAACGCAACCGATTTGTGCCATCCGTCATCGGCCATTTGTGGCCGCTCTTTGCTTCTCTAGAATATGCTAAATAATATCTTATTTATCCCTTTTTACAACTGCAACTTACGATGAGAGTATGACTTTAGAGATAACTTAAGGCAAATAATGTTTCTATTTCATTGTCAGTGTAGTACTAATGATCTCAAGGTTGCAGCCTAGTAGTAATAGCCTAATATCCGACGTCAAATTATGATAACATACTTACGTGATTGGATGGTTAGATGCAGACGCAGTTAAACCAGGTTGAGTGCCTTGAAGTTTAGTTTCATCCTTAAACTGGCTCGTCAAAATCCTCTCCACCACAAGTCACCACCTGAACACACCAAATATATATAGCAACAAAAAGCAACAAAACAAAAAATATATATAGCTGTTTTCACTGCAAACGTACTTTGCTAATGACAGTGTCCTTGCTTTATCCCATAATCTAATTCTGCATGCTAATTGAAGGAGTGGGGGTGGAGGGGGACTTGTGTCAAATTACGAGCGCTTCTACGTGGCTATTAACTTGATTAATGGATAACCTAATTTTATAGGCTGCCTTTATGTCCGTAGCTCGTAACTTGATTACCCATAAGCCATAAATATGTTTCAAGCCTGTGCAAACACGAAAAATATTTCATTGACTGATTTAATTGGTTTAGCTCGGATTGGTTTGCACAGGCTATTGCAACACAGGTATAGACCAATCACCGCACGCGTGTAATACTTCTTATTTTATAATTAATTTGCAATACCATCTAAAAGTCAGCTCCTTGAGTGCAAAAACCCCAAGAAGTCTTCGTTTCATTGCTGCAAACCGTGAACCATGAAGGACACACCATTTGAATTTAGAAAAATAAAAGGAAAGTTTTGCATGTCCCACGAGCTGCATAAATGGCCTGTAGCAAATTTTTGAAAACTGGTGCAGGAAAAGTTAAAGGGCCATACTAGCTACAAGATTCAAAACAACCGACATCAATATAGTAGATATTTCGTTATTTCACATAAAATCTTCGATCCATGTAAATCGACACTACAGTTTTTTTCTTTTAAAGGTGGTAGGCAAGCAGAATTGTCTTATGGAAAAACATATTTTAAATTAGGTCGTCCCAGTTTGTTTCACAGAGTTTGTGTTAGATTTACATGTAAACGAAGAGGAAACGATGGACTGATCCGGAATGAATCTGTTTGATTGAGATTTTTTCTTTGTAATATCTTCTGCACACTAGAAAATGTTGGACAAAGCACTAAAGTTTTCATTAATGGGTCGTATAATGATTGATGTACTAATTACTTTCGTTGTCATTGATCTTGTGCACTCATGGACTGTCATATTTTGGCATTTTAATATTCTTATGACTAAAATAGCTTAAAGCAGCGCTTTTTACAAAAGGGAAGAATCGTTTTAAAAAATTCTGTCATTTTTAGCTTACATCATATACAGTATTGATGCAAGTCAACACTGGAAAAGTGGAATCATATCGTCGTTACTGCAGCGATCCTTGTTTTCCTTGGTAATATTAACTTTGTTAAAGTCGAATCATTTAGTTAAATCAAACTGCTGAACGGAAGATATATATCCTCCTGTATGACGTATATGAAATCAAAAATGTTACTGTAAGGAATATGATTATTTAAATTAATTTGGTATCAAAGTTTTAATTATGATAGTTTCAAAAATAGATCCTTTAATTGACATTGTTGAAATTTCTCCCCTGAAAAATATCAAAATTCTAGCCTGCAAGATTTGCCAAATTCATTTTCCATCCTTGTCAAATGACTGCAGTAATTTCATGTGAGATAAAAGTTAATTTATATTTCGATTTTCGAACACTGAAAGACCATGGCGCGACAGTGAATGTATACAAAGCGTATGAAATCAACACCACGATTAACTGCAAAAGGCCGCGTCATGTTCACAGCATAGTATGAATAATCTTTTCACAGAGAGTTTTATCTTCAAAAATTCATATTGTGTTTGCATGCATGAAATATATAATCTTACAATACTTTTTTCTCTAACAATGTAGGTCATTTCTTACATTCTTCGTACATCAAAGTGTTTATGGTATTTTTAAACGAAATCCATAATCCGAGAACAGCATTTCAAGAAAATATTTTGCCATACTTAGCCATGAAATCGTTCTTAAAACAAACTTAGTATCGCCTGTTTGGTATATTATGGATGCCTCGTGTATATTTATGTGCCAACTGTACTTTTAGGAGGAGCTGCATTCTATTGTAAAATTAAGTGCTTTCAGTTCTTTGATGTGCAAAACTGTATTTTGCTGTGTTTTATAAAAACCAAGTAATCGCTTTTGCATGATTTCTATTTCATAAAAGAAATAAAAGAATTTTTTTGTGTTTGCACTGGCTTTTGAAAAACTCGCAGAAGTTTATGAAATCTCTCGATCTGCTTTAAATTTCTCCTACCCAGATCTCCTCGGTTTTCATAAGCTTTTGCAAACAGTAAATATGATATAGAAATGAGATGAACTAGCTCAGTATCTCTTGTACCGAATGTTGATATAGTGTTACATTATTATGGAGAATTTATAGTAAGCGTGTCAAATTACACCATAGCTACACACACGCCACACATAAATAATACTTCCCGTAACTGTTGTTCCTTTATATGAATTGGAAATGGCAATAAGTACGCGACAAATAACCTTTCTTGTTGGTGTCTTTGGTACTCTTGGCTTTTTTCTTGGTGCAAACTTTGGCCACAAGTATTTTAACTTTTGGGATAAAGGTTGGTTCGTTCATCAGGGTTTTGTCTCAATATAAAAAGATGAAATTACTTCTAAATTTCTTAATTGAGCTCTATGTAGTGAGACATGCAACTGTAATTTTTAAATCACTTTAAATTGTTTGTATCGGCCAAATCAGTCAGTCACGCGTTATTATTTCTGGTTTTCAAAGCGCAGAAAGACGCGCTAAAGTCGAATGCCTCCACAAACCTTTCCCACGCGTTTTTTACAAAACCATCAATATGCAACATCAAGGTACCCCCGTGTTATGGTCGTAAATAAAAAGAGCGAGTTTGCAGGGGAATTTGCTCTGAGACTTCAGCGTTCACAATTTGAAATTCTTATTACACCGAAAAGAATTTTATAAGATGGGTCTCCTTCGGCAACTGCGTGTATTAACATTTGCATTCAACTGGTAACTGTCCCGAATTTTTCGCGTTTGTTTATGTTTCAAGCGTCACGTTTGTCAGACGAAAGGTCGGGTTTCAACTGGTAAACGTTACGTTTGTTCAAATAGCTTTCTAAGTTTGTAACAGCTCTTTCTTATATTATATGGTCAATTATCAAACTTTGCAAATCGCCTAAGGTATACAATTGTAATTCTCAATTGCTACAGCATTTTATCATTGTAAAATCGTATAAACATGTTAATCACATGACCAGAACCTCTTCAAAATGTTCCTCAAACGTTAAACATTCATGAGCAAACATTACACATTCCTGAGCAAACGTTACGTTTCTAATTTGAAACCCGACGTTTCGCCTGACAAACGTGGCGTTTGAATCGTAAGCAAACTCGAAAAATTCGGGACAGTTACCAGTTGAGCGCAAATGGTAATAACTGTTTCTTTCCCATTTTTTTTGCGTTCTATACGGCGTATCATACCAAAGCCAGTTAATATGATCCCTTCGTCAAAAGCCAACTATCCGTGACACATTAGCAGATACACCAGTGCAGCTCAAAATTTTAATGATGTTGAAACCTGGGCGTCGTATAACACAGAAATCGAAGTTTTGACGAAATATGGGACATTCCATTTTTTTACCTGCACTGCGTACCAACCAGAGCGACAGAAGCCTGACTTTTTACTCCAGCAGTGCAAGTTTCTAATCAAATTATTTAGTCATTACCAATCGCTTTTCCAGTGATTGAACACAAATGAATTTTCACCGCTGGCGTAAACAATGACTGGGTTTCTCGCAGTATGTCTCCAAACAGGTGACAATAATTAAATAAGTATTTCTAATCAATAACAAGTCCTAGAGGTCTTAACGGAGCAATATCGGACCGAAGGTATTTTGTGTAGACCGAGCCCTTACGGCGAGTTTTGTACAAAAATACAGAGGTTCGATATTTCTCAGTAAAGACAAAGAAAGCGATTTTCATAAAACGGTTTATTATATGGCACTATTTGACCTGAAACGAAGCTTTTCTTCCTTTTTTTTCCTCACTGTTTGTGTGAATTGGCTTTCACTTTTCTAGTTTTTGTCAGTAAAAAAAAAACGTTTATAAAATTCCTTGTATTGGCAATATCTAATATCGACGTTACTTCTGTAATCTTCTCTTGTGTAATCGATTGAGCAATTACAGTAATTGTATTTTTAAATGATTAGTATTTAAATTAAAAGTAGATAACATGGGTGGCCCATGTTACATACTTTTAATCGGTGGTCCCCGTGCCCAAGCCCCTAGGGCCCACCCTTTAATCTGGCTCTGTTTAGTGTTATCTTTCTGCAGCTGTCTCGTGTTTATTTGATTCATTAGAAATTTTTTTTTGAATGCTTTACGACATTTTTTAAGCTTTGCTCTCTGGCAAAGAGTTTTTTTAAGCGTCTGGCTCAAATCATTCGGGCAGCTTCTTGTTACCTGATTGTATTCACAAATTTGTGACCTTGGTCTGACATTGCTAGTTTATATCATTCTTATCATTGTTCTTTGTCTTAGACTATAGAAACAATGCAAAAAAAGGATTTAGCTACAAGGCATAAAAAATCTTCAAGAATGCTAGCAAAGACATACAAAATTGAGCATGTCAATGTTTAGTTTTCAATCAAATGTATTGATATTTATATATAAAAACAGCAATACACTTTTTCGTGCGATTCAACATAGCTCTATTTCATCGCTCTATTACTAGCTCTAACTATTTCATTTTTAAGTACTATTAACACTCAGAATCTAAACAGTAGCCTATGGCATAGGCTATCCGGGAAAAAGAGCCATTGCTAGCTATAGCATATATATATGTATATATATATTCCCGGTCGAAACCGTCCCTTACCTGTAGCCAGCTTCAAATTTAGCTGGTTAAGGTTGACTTACAAGGCTTGTGTTGCTCTTGCATTAACATTTATGTAATGCCTTTCGTAACGAGATTTTATTGGAGAGGTAAGAAGTTTGGGAATGAATCTTTTGTCATTCGTCTTGTCTGTTAGTAAGACATGGTAGGTAATATTGAAATCATATTAATGATTTATTGTTATTTATGTGTTTCAGAATCAGTATTTTCCGTTAATTTGTTGGACGATATTGCGAAGGCAAGTATTTTTTCTATGAAGAGCTGAACAAAAAAGGCAGAAAGTATGAAACGAGAAATATCGAAATAATCAAGTATCTTAATATATGATTAATTAAGTTTTCGTATTTTTGCTGACAAAGCAATTATATTTGTTAATGATCAAGGCATCATCAAATTTTTTTGCCAAAATAAATAATAAATTATATGTTTTTAAAGACCAAAACGTGAAATCTTACCATTGTTTTCTCTTTGCGACCTTTCACTCATTTTGCTTTTAAAGTTTTCGCTTTCAGATCATTCCATCATTTTTCATTTTTAATTTTAGTTTGACAGACAGCACCGAATGGACAATGTGCAAAAATGCTGTCGAAGCAGCGAAGAAAAGTCGGAAATTCGCAAGGAAGATGCTGCGGTGCTTTTCAGGAACATAATTGTCGATAGGCAGAATAAATTTCTTTACTGTTACTCCCCAAAAGTCGCTTCGACTAATATAAAGCGACTTCTACTTGCAGTTCAAGGAAAAGTTAAGGGTCCCGACGCTGTTACTAAGTTCAATCGTCGGGTCTTCGATTTTCTGGGGGACTTCAGTTCTGAAGAGCGCAAAGAAATGTTAAAGTCCTATTTCAAATTTATGTTCGTAAGGCACCCCTTCGCGAGATTGGTTTCGGCTTACAGACATCGCATTTTGACCAATCGGACGGACCTTCAAATGCGATATGGTAGAAAAATTGTGCGAAAGTATCGTTGGAATCAGAAAAATACTATTAAAGCAGGCGATGTAAAGTTTAGAGAGTTTGTAAGATACCTAGTCGATACGCCAACAGAGAGTATGAATTTACACTGGAAACCTATCTTCGAATCTTGTTTTCCGTGTATGATTCAATACGATTTTATTGGATCAATGGAACATCTTGAACGGGACGTGGCAGCACTTTTGAAGGCGTTGAAAGTTCCAAAGAAAATATCCCTGCCCAAATTACAAAGTAATTATCATCCTTTAACCACCGATCAAATGCTGCAATATTATAGCAACATCACCTACAAAGAGCTTTCGAAAATACGCCATATATACTCTTCGGATTTTAAGTGTTTTGTGTATAATCGCTATCACACTATTCGTGGCTTACAGCAATCCTGACTCATTTCATATCACAGTGTACTGCAAGAAACTTTAAGAGATAACGTCAGTGTCCATGAATGTGAAGTTAGCGCCATGTTGCATATTCTATTCCTTGTTTACATTTCACATGAAATGTCCACCATGCAAGGAGTGAAATAAATCATGTTTATGATTAGTGTCATGACTAATGCTATACACTTTTAGTTTTTAGCAGACATAAGCAATTGGAAATTTAGCTCATAGAAATTGGAAAGGTCGTGTTTAACGGCTCAACATACTGTATCGCTACATATTTTTACATTCGCACATGCACATAGTATTTTACGTGGATGCATTTCTGGGATGAATTATTTTTGCTTCACTGTACTGTAAGTGAAATGCTTATAACGACTATAAAGACAGGTAGACTCAGGCGTAGTCTGAAGTTGATGATGACAACATAATTGAAAATAAAAGTTAAACTACAATGTACTGCAAAATGCTTTCATAAATGATGTCCATTATTTTAGGTTTTTATGTAATGAAAAAACAAACAAATAATTTTTTATAGCGCCGTTCTTCATTTCGTCAAACTGAACAAACCACGTGACACTCTTCTTTAGTCAAACAAGCATGAAAAAGTGGGCAAAAAAATGAGCCAGCAGCCGACAGTTGAATCCTGTGCAACGTTATTTTAACTATGTAATGACAAAAATGAAAACAAGCATCATTTAACTATAGTAAAAAAAAGCATAATCAAGAAAAATGTCTGCGCCGAATAAGTCCAAAGGTGTGCGAAATTAAGTCATTCGAAATCAAAACTGAGTGAAAAGGATTACCACGCAAATTTTAATATGCGCGCGGTACAGGGGTACAGCTGGAAAAGAAAGTTTCAAAAAATGCAAAATGATATAACAGTGAAATATCTGCTGGTAAAAGTCCTTCAAAACAGGCCTTGCGCACGAAAAATTTTCATTGAAAAGACAATTTAATTATCTTGAGTCAAAATATGGAGGAGGTTGTGCAAGCTATCTTAATTGCAAGCAATTTGAGGGCAAGCGCTGGCCAACGCAAGATCTTTATGGCACTTGAATTTTTTTTGCTTTTTCGCATTACACTTACCTTAGGAACTGGCTCATATTGTACTTTATTCAATTTGCAAATAAATCATTACCAGCTGTACCAGAGAACGTTAAAATACACATGCGCGTCCGTCTTATTTTAGAGAAACTTTTCCAAGAGTCTACTTTTTTGATACACCTGGAATATAGTTCGTTGGTTGTTAGCGTCTTAATGTTTTTTTTTTTGACGCAACAGTTGACGCTTTTTTCTGAATTTATTATGCATCTCCATAGAAAAACTTTTAAATCATCCTATTTTTGGGATTAATAGGTGAACAACACTTGAATAAAATCGCGTACGTGTATTACGTAAATATTTTAGATAATAAATGAGCTCTAGTTGTTCTAAGACATATCGCAAATTTTCTTTTCTAATGTATTTATTTCGGAATATTTTTTAATGCAATTATGAAAGAATGAGAATATGATCTATCAAGTAGAACATATATTTAGCATTTAATCTATTGCTGTATTTTCCAATGCTCTGCATGTCACTAGGCTGCGACTACAGATATTTTTCATACGTCAATTTTTACGTGAGAAAGTGCATCTCATTTCATTTGGTTATAAACTATATATCTATGTTGCAACTAGCATTCAAGTTGTTTTTGGAAATTTAACGTAAATTGTAACAGTGAAATCTGCACAACAATATCATCAGGCATTAAATATTTCACTATTGGCTGATTTCTAAAGGACATAACATAAGCATCCGCATAAACGTAAACTTAAAAAATATTTAACTCAAAGAAGAACAAATGAAAAATTGAATAAAAATTCCACAATGTCTTTGTTTTTGTAAACATTTTAGTAAGAGAAAATAAAGTCTTTTCGCTCATGTTCGTAAAACAGGCATAAACGTTTTAGCACTCTGCCTTACCCTACACTTTTATTCCATCAAAATCGCCATTTTCCATTCATTGATATACCGTGTGAAAACTTTAAGAAATAACTTACAAGAAATTCCTCTGCAGTACAAAAAGTGTGAAGTTCAAAGTAGTTATAAATGTCTTATTTCACGAGTCGGAAATTTTTTATTTGGACGTCTTACGTGATATGACGCGCATAATATAAAATCTGTTCTTTTTATAATACAATGATATCAAACAAAAATATTTCCACTCGAAGATCAGGCACAAAAATAGAAAATTTACTATACATGTACATATACATATACAAGGAAGTTTCTTTACGAAAACAATAAAATCCATAAAGAAAAAAAAATGCGAAAGATTTACGTAGTTATATATTGTGAGTAAAATCATCTGGCCCAGCACCAAACATTCTGTCAACTGGCAAAATGTAAGACTCGCCAGGTCTTACGACATCTTCGTCGAATGGACCAGGAAATGGTGGAGCAACTGTTTTCCCCGGTACCACACTAGTAAAGACAGATAGGTAGCCGGGAGTCACGGGCCGATTATGCACCTTCGACATTCCTGAGACACATCCAAAACCATTCACTACACCATTCTCGTTGGCTAATGCTACAACAGTTCCTAAGTGTACATGAAACAATTTTATTTCAAGACATAGCCATTTGCTTCGTCGATCAGTATTTATGACAGAAGAAATATTGCTACGCATCATCGGCATGTACGTAGCTGCAAAAGAACCGATTCAAGTTTTAACATTTTAAAGCTGAAAGTAGTCATGTATGTCTGGACATGCTTATTGCTGTGAAATGTGTTCAATGTTGATGACAAAATTAATCAATAAAAGATCGAACTTGTTTTGCGACAACCTAAAAACTTCTAAGAACCTAAAAAATCAACCATTCTAATGTTAACACCTATGTACACTATTCCTGACCTGTGCTAAAAGTTGCTGTAGCGACAGATAGAGCCGTCGTTTTAGGTATGATAGACACAGATGTTGTAGCGACGAAGGAGCTTGAAGAAGAGGAAGAAGAGATCGAAACAGATGAAGAATTGCCGACGGAGGTACATCCACAGGAAGAGGCCAGAGTGGGATTAGTGCTAAAAGAATCTAGTCTAAAAAAATTCTAGTCCTCTATAACATAGAAGTGCACCACCAATTAGGTAAAAATTATTTTTTCCAAAAAATTACTCTACAAACCTTTAGGCAATTGGATGTATTTCATAGGAAGCAAAAATTGCATTTATACACGAATAATACAAAAGTAATACTACAGACGTGAAGATACAAGACAAGTCGTGTGATTCCTTTACCACGGAAAGTAATCATCGTAATAAAGTAAATGGTTTGAACCCGGGAGCATTGTTACATGTTTGTACATGTAGATCGTCCAGGTCAGTAGAGTCCTGAGGACTGTTTTTGTTGTTGTTGACTTACGTTTCGACAACCTTAGCAGTCGTCATCTTCAGAGTCAACCTTAGAAGGACTGAAGATGACTACCTCCAAGGTTGTCGAAACGTCAGTCAACAACAACAAAACAGTCCTTCTCATAACTCTACTGACCTGGACGATCTACATCTACAAACATGAAACTAATCAAATTATTTACGTAACCTTTAAGTGCAAGAAAACTGTTTTTAATCCCCAGTTTCAGCAACACACATATAATTGAAAACACAATTTAAACACAATAAAAGAAACAATTCAAAACACAGTTTTAATACACAGTGTACGTTTCAAAGACGTTTGATATATGATAAATTTTTGCTACATGATAATGATGAGGGGGCAGAATAGCACATTAATTATATGTGTGTCGTTGAGTCTTACCTAATAAACAGTATTCCCTGCATTATACTAATTTATATGTTTTCTTGTTGAGTTGTTGAAGAAATTAATTGCTTTAAATTTCTTAACTACAACAACAGGTCATCATTTCAATTTCCTTCATTTTTAACATAATTCTTAAAAATCAGTTCTTTACTTACATTCATGCATATTTGAATGAAAGCAATGGGTATATATAGGGTGTATAAAAAAGTACTTATTTTTATAATCAGCTGACACTTAGAATTTGTATGACTCAGCAGTAGCTGATTCTCAAAAACCTGAAAGTCAATACAATAATACATACAAACATATTTATGCTACTGCAAATTGCAAATCCCCTTTCTTATACAAACCTTAGATGAAAAAGTCAATTGTGCAGGAAATTGTTCAAACATCAAGGAAACTACCATACTGTTTTACTTTGTTCTTTTGTGAAATTAATATGCTGATTAATTTTCAAATAGAATGACTCACAGATGCATATTTTCCAAAATTGCAATCATCATAGTTGTCTCGACAATGCAAATTGGTTGGAATGTGTAGTATTCATAAGTTCAGTTGTGCCTGAACGTTTTTTTTTACAGTAAAATGCTTAATTCTATAAATGAATTGCTTTTAAAGAAACCACTTGGGCACAAGTGAATGTATGAATAAATCAGCACACACCCCCATTAATGTCCAGAATGGCACTGATAACCATCAAATCAAATGTTAGCAGAGGTAGCATAGCATAACAAGCTTGCAAGTTTTACTCTTGCAATGTAAATTTCCAAACATTACCAATATCCATTTCTTTTGAAATCTATTCTTTACACAGTGGATATGCTGCATACATACAGCAAATTTACATAAAAATCACTGGTGTATTCACCCCACGTCTTAAGTCCAGTTATGTTGACTCCTATGTTCTCATTTACTGATAAAACAATAGATCTCAATAGAAATGAAATAATGATGCTCTAAAATTTATGGAGCAGGATCACAACTTACAAGCTGGGTATTCCACTTTTAGTCTCACTGCAAAATTAGGCATGTTGAAAGCATCAATGAAAGTTGGTGCACAAGCTATTTATATTGCTGAGCTGTTTTGTGTTTCTATATATGTAAGCTCTAAGAAACTTTGGCCAACAATGAAGTAAAAAATTAATGCATGTTTTAATCCAGAAGAAAAAACTATTTTAAAAACTTAGCATGGCAAAACAAGCACTCAAATGAATACCAGCTCCCCAAACTATTGAGATTGCTATATCACTGTTGGGCACAATCATTATGACTCTAGGATGCCATAACACTTCTCGTATTTCATTTGCAATAAATATTTGATGAACCTACAAATTTTTTGGAAGATACATCAACATATTCTGTATCATCTAATTCTAGTACATCAAAATCTATAAAAAATAATGTTTAAAAATTAAAATATTGTAATTACTAATTAACAAACTTTACAAATAAATACAAAATAAAACAAATTCCGAAGAGGGACATCTCGTTTTCTTGATATTCAAGATATTACAAGAGTTTGAAACAAAAGATGGTGTAATATTTCGTCTTTATTCCAAAGACTCATCAGACTTATGGTTTACAATGCAGGCTGCGAAACGTTTATATTTTTACAAGCGGAAATTACAGTTATGTAATTAGAGAACTATAAGACTAAACAATCAGGCAAGAACATGAGGAAACATGCCAAATTTAATAGTTTTGATAAAAATCTTAAATTTACTTTTGATGATTTTTCTGACTCACATGTCCACTTTCTAGACCTCAAAATAACCAATAATGACATTGATATATTTCGTAAAACAACTCATACTGGCCAGTATACACATTTTTCAAGTTTCAAACCTTTCAACCGCAAAACTACTTGGATCAATTCCCTATTTTTTCGTGCATTTAAGATTTGTTCTAACCAAACACTATTCAAAAAACAAATTCAAACACTCCAGTCTTTTATGTCATGGAATGGTTTCCCTCTTACAGTCTGGAAATTCTTGATTCATAAACTCAAAACCAAAATCATAGCTAAAAAGAACCCCCCTTAAAAAAATACTGAGAATGACCTTCATAAAATTTTCATTAGAATACCATATCTAGGCAAACAGGGTGAACGTTTGGTTGTCAAACTTCTTCGTAAAATTTGCCATAGCTTAAAAATTCCCATCAAACCTATAGTTATATATGAAACAAAAAAGACATCAATTTTCTGTCCCAAAAAGGGCAAAATTCCAGAACACTCTAAAGTCAATGTTATATATGAGTTTAAATGTCCAGGTTGTGGTCATACATACAAAGGCAAAACTGAACGAAACCTACACACAAGACTAACCCAACATGCCACTAATTACAATAATTCTAGTGCTATCTCACAACATTTACTCATTTGTCCAGAGGCCAACTACATCTCACACCTTTTTTCACTTCCTGACGTTGATTCCAACCCCAATCTCACACGCGTGCCACTTAATCCTTGTAATTTGATTCCAAGTAACACCAAAATCTTATATTGCTGTAAAAATAATAATCCTAATCAACTTCTCATCTTAGAAGCACTTTTGATAAAATGCAATATGCCACAACTTAATAGTGGTCTTAAAGCTTGTAAGAAACTATCTCTATTTTAATGTAAATATACTGCCTGATTGTTTAGTCTTATGGTTCTCTAATTACATAACTGTCATTTCCACTTGTAAATATATAAATGTTTTGCAGCCTGCATTGTAAACCATAAGTCTGATGATGTCTTTGGAATAAAGACAAAATATTACACCATCTTTTGTTTCAAACTCTTGTAATATCTTGAATATCAAGAAAACGAGATGTCTCTCTTCGGAATTTGTTTTATTTTGTATTATTTGAAATTGTCTGCTTGTCCTGGTTACAAATAAATGAGCATGTGATATCAAGAAAAACATACTGAGGAACAGCAAGGTAACCATGCCAATGGTTTTAGTCCAACTATATAATTTTTGCATTGAACATGAAAATAACCTTCTTTTTTATGGTAAACAGTTTACAGTTTAACTTGCCAAATGGAAAGACTTGTACACACTTATATATGTAAATTGTTATAGTTTAACTTGTCAAAGTAAAAATATCTACAGCATCAGATTGACATGTATTTTGCAGGTGATCACAACAATATGATACTGGCAGCTATTCAAGTTAACTTGAAAGAACTTTCTTTTTCAAAATATGAGTCTTTTGGACAAACTTAAGTTATTTAGTATTTAAAACATTGTAATCTTGAAGCTTATTTGTTTCTTACAATCAATATTAGTTCAAGGTTACCTTAACTTGTGGACTGATCCTGTCAGTCGGGTGAAGCTAACTAAGCTAAATCATATAACTCATATGTGCATGCTATTGTTAGTTTTGTATAGTAATTTCTATCTGTAAAATAGTGTACTAGAGTTGTGTTTGCTCATTAAGATGCATTTATGACCAAGAAGGGAATGGATAAGCACTCTTGTTTATCTTTTCAAAAAGCAAGCAAAGTATAGGTCTCCTAAAAGCTAACATAGCCTTCAATACATAAATTAGCCACTGGATTGGCCTATGTATTTCAGTATTTGTAATTTTATAACTTAAGTGTAATGTGTAAAATTACTTACCACTACCATTGTTTTCTTCCATTTCAGCAATACTGCGAACCACGCAACTTAATATTAAAGTTTAAATTGAATTTAAAAAAAAATTCAATCAGAAGAGCATACACTTTACAATAAACAATTGAGGATATCCAAAACTTCGCGGGATAGTAGATTGCGGTAAACGATAGGTTGCGTGGTTGCGACCAGGCAGGCAAGTCACCAGGCCTGTTGTTTGGACGGACGTTTCAAATTGACTTATAGAGTGGTAGTTGAGGGTATTTTCACAATTAGCGTATAGAGTTAATTTAAGGAAGAGACTGGGTTGACTACATATATAGTGTTAGACGGTGTTCTAACCACTTAACGCATTCATTTTTTGAATAGCAATTTGTTTGCATCAGGATAGCAAAATATTATCAAAAAAATTACCAAATGGAAATCATCAAAGATTTTCTATCAAAAAAATTACAAAAATATTGAAATTACCAAATCTGGTAACACTCATTGCAGTAAGGGCCCATATATAATAAGCGCCTCAACAATGATTCGGAATGTACGATTAAGGAGCGACAATTTACGTCATTCTCCGACTGTAGACTCGATTGTGGGCAGTGGGATTGTGGTTAATTTATCGACAAGAAATGTCGAAAATATGGCGGGAAGCATTCGCACAGTGTATGTAGACGAACGTGAAAGGTGGAATTTTCCAATGAATATTTGGATTATGGATATTATTATTGCGAGTAGTAAAATGTGTTGGAACGACACGCTTGGCGTTGTAAAATGTTGAAAATATATTTGAATGTTGATTGCAAGTAAGTATAACGTCCTTGACCTGCCTCATGTATAGAAACCTGACCGACTGGCTCTGTGGAACTTTTCGATAAATGTATACACTTATACTTAATGCTTTTGCTTAATACGTAATACTTTTTGACGAACGAATAAAACATGTTATATGAGTATTTGCATGAGATTTTCAGAAATATTGTCCGCTCGAAGCATTTATTAACGTGTACGTATAATTTACGTACATGTGTTATTCTTTACTTATGACGACAATATATCACTGGCGATTTATCGCAAAACTTAAGGTTTAATTATGTTGTATGTTCAGTGTTATTACTTTTTTCATAAATTTCTCATTGTACATGCCATATGAAAGCTTTGTCAAGCTTTCGCAATGTTTCTTTTTGAGTAACTGGTGAATTTTACATGAGATGTATGTAGATTTAGTAGCGCCGCCAGCGCGATCATTGTAGGGGGGGGAGGGTTGCAAATATTCACGAATTCAAGTAAAAATACGCAAAAAACAATAGATTTTAAAAGAACTTGCGCCACATCCTGCACATAAGAATATGTGCCCCCCCCCTATTGTCATTTTGGTGCTGCCACTGTATGATTGATGATGTGAGCGGGGGAGGGGGAGAGCATTTATTTTAGGGGATTTTTAATACATGGTTTTTTGACAGCATCCATGCTTTAGGCAATAAGAATGTCTCATATATTACAATATTCAAAACCACTACCTCTTTGTCATTCAGTATTGGCCAAATTGAAACTAAAACGCAGCTCAGACATCTAATTTTTAAATGACCTTAATTGCTATCATAAAAAGGATTTTGGTGATCTTTTCTCTTGAATTTGCTTTGATTTTTTGTGATGCCTTTTCTTTACTGCTGCAATATTCTTCTACACCAGAGTAAAAAGAGTGTACTTCCCACCTGAAATATCAGGTAAAACATTTTGAAAAAAATGGAAAATAATTTGTGTAGAAATTTTTAATCTTTGGTGTGTAGTTTATGGCATCTACGTACAAGACTACTTCCACAAATATTCTAAGATTAACTGTTTTACACATGGCTTAAACTATGCCTGATAAGGTCCTTTGTTTTTTCATTTTATGACCAAAATATAAGGTTGACATGAAGGAAGTCTTTAGATGCCTTAGCAAAGTACCTCTTTTCTTGTTTTAAACTAGAATTTAAGTTATTAACAAAATTGTATGTAGCTTTAGCCATCTCCAGCTTAAAAATGGCCATTGTAAATATTGTATACTTTCTTAAATAGCAAATTATAGACTTTTTCGTGGTGAAGAATTTAAAAATTGTTTTAAAAAGAGCAAATACCATGGTGAATGGTCAAAATAACGAGGCAATAGCTCTTAAAAGAACTGTTTGAAACCAGAACACTGTGTACTTTCTTTAAACTCATTGTTGTAGGCTTGTGAATTGAAAACGTTTGAACAAAATCATCTCAAAATAAATTTATTTCGTTTCACATAAATAAGTTTTTGTAGTTGTGGTGCTTGATATGCATAAAATAAGATAGTATATATTTTTATACTGTATTTGGTGGACTAAATAATGACGTACACAACATTATGTTTTTGCATATTCCTTTATTCCTATGTAATTTCATCATCATATTTTAAGCAATAGTAATTTTTTCAAAGCTTGACTCATTACGTGATCTTTCTTTATTGATGCCTTTAATGTTAAATGTTTGCTTCATACAAATTTTAAAACACATTTTTTAAAAGTAATGTATTACTTAGGTTAGCTATTTTTAAGGCTTCCTTGATATTATTTCTTTTGTCCTTTTTTAGAGTGAGTTAAAAATGATTGAGGAAGATGGATATAAAGGTGAGTTTATTGGAAAAATCAACGATTTCAAATGACCTCAAAAAGCCAAATTTCTTAAAATCTTTTTCTAGAAGATTTACCTGTTAAGATAACAATAAAGGATGGGAAAAACCCTGCAGAGGTTAGTTTTTTACTGTTAGTCCATGGCATGACTGGCATGTGCATAGCACAATACTGTGCACAGGGTCATAGACTGGCTCAACTTTAGGAGCCTTAAAATTTCAACTGTTGGAGGAGAGAGCGTAAAAACTATTCCTGTAAAATTGTGAATTTAGACTTCAGAGTCTTTAAAATTAATTTCTCGCATTTTACATGAACATTAAACATGAATATAAAACTTTGAAGGATTTCATGAATAACCATTTACGCAAAATACATAATTGTCATTTCAGAACAAGTTTAGATTTCAGAGCTATTGCTTCACAAGTTTTATTCTTTAAAAAGAGAAGTCTTTAGATGCTGGCATAAAGTAAACATTTTTGGACCACTTTTTGTCTGTAAAGAATTGTTGTTTATTACTTTTTGGCCTACTTTAAACTTCTTTGACTGTTTTTTTTTCATTTCACAAGTATAGAAATGAACTAGTCTCTTAAATTTTAGTAGTTGTGTGCCTTCCTAGTCTACATGATGAATTAGAACTCAATGACCTAAATACAATGTGCCCAAGTAACATATTTTTTTGGCTATAAAAAATATTTGATTACCATAAAGAATTCCACATGTATTGAGTTCTTGGTCCATTTAATTTTTGAATCTCAAAATTTTGGAAGAAAAAGAAAATCTATATTGATTTTGTTAAAATATATGTTGGGGGCCTTAAAGAAAATGAATAGAAGCTCTAATTAACAGCTGAAAATTAGCTGGAATTTTTAATGTTTTAGAGTAACTGTATGAGATCTCCTTTTTTAAAGAGGTTTTAGGTGTGCACAATTATACTATTTTCATGTTGATTTAAAAACATTCTATGGTTTATTGCTGTTCTCAAAAACAAATAATATTATCATAATTTTAGTAATAGCAAGTCAAGTCACAATGCCTATGTTTGTGTATACAGAATTGTTTTGTTTTCGGGCTAAGTAATGAATAGAAAGAGACTTGAGCTTCATGGAGGGATGCTTTCTCTTGCAAAATACAAATGGTCTTCTTGTTTGAAAGATTTATCTTTTTGAAATTACATAGATCCTTGTTTTTTTTTTATATGAAACACACATGTACTTTATCTCAGTATTTATCTTGTGTGTGATTATTAATAATGCCAAAACATTACAGTTTCACTTATCAATATTTCAACGAATCATTGAAATGTTTTTTTTTTCACTAAGAGAGATAGTTACGGTAAAAATAATACAAATGATAAGAGTGACACAAATGCAATTAAATTATGTTTTCGTCCCCGTCATTTTTCAGTATATTTTCCATATTTTGCATGACTAATCTTCTGCTATTACAATTATCCTTTACTGTGTCTTTCAATTTTTTGCTACATACATAGAGCCTTATCAATACATGAAACAAGCTGCATTGATTCTAGATGCGTACTTGATTTTGACGGGATTTCGCTTAGCATTTTCAATCATTTCGTGATATATGATTGCGCCCCAGTATTTGCTCTAAATAATCTGCTATGAATGAGTTTCCAATTAAATTTCTTAGATATATAGAACGGATTTTATCACAGCCATGAAGATACCTGATCAACAAGTCATCATACCTGGTAGTTACTACAACCTAGTTGACTCCTGGAAACAAGAATGGGAACGAGGTGTCCAGGTACAATATGACATTTTTTTTAAAACTTTGACATTAAAGGGCCGATTACATGGAGCATTTTCAACTCTAAGCTGAACTGAGCCCCGTTAAATGAGTTGAAATTTATTGCCTTTATTTTCAAGATCTCTTCCCCGAGGACCGAAATTAACGGGAATCTTATCTAATACAGACACCTGAAATATAAAACATAAAAATCACGTTTAGCCGACAACAATTGATTACATATGCTTAAGTAGCTCAGCCCTGCTTTAAAAACGATTACACGGTTTAATTTTCGTCTCAGTGCAGAGTTCAACACTGTGCTGGAATTTCAACCCGATTAGCTGAAACAGGGTTGAAATTTCATCACCGGAGCACAGGGTTAAAAATTTTCCATATAATCGCGCATTAATGTAACGTTTGTTTCGTATTTAGACTGCTGAAATTTCACTCACTTAACTGAGCTCAGTTCAGCCCAGGGTTAAAAATTCTCCATGTAATCAACCCATAAGTTACAACCGCTAGTGAAAATACATTCGTTTTGTTGCGTATGTTTTTCATTACCGTAGATACTTAGCTAACGAGCAACCGTATTTTGCTTCTGGATTTTTGTTATTGAATAAAATGTGGAATATTCGTTGTCATAATCCCCTACAATATTCTTTATCGCCTTTATTCATATCATGCATCAAATTGACTACCTTTGTTCATTGCAGGTTCCAGTGAATAAAGAATGTGCACCGCAACCGTCGTTTAGGTCAGTCAATGATCTCAACCATTTGATCTTTTGTCGTTATTTGATAAGTTACGTACCCATAATGTGATTTGTATTGTTATGTATTTTTAAAAGTATTCGTATTTTTGATTCGTCACTATGCATAAGTTAAATCTCAATGTACGTGACAGTGACTACCAATTATAAAAAGTAGGCACGCATTGCGTTCCTGTATCTGCACTCACGTTTGATGTGTTGATGTTCCTTAATGCAGAATTAGCTATATGGTATTTTATAGTTGATGCAAATTCGTTGAGTCGCAACTTTCTTCGGTGAAGTTATTTGAATCGTACTTTGTCATGATATGTGTGTGTATATGTTTGACTTAAATAACAATGTGTCAAGTCCTGGAACTAAGTGTTTTTTTCTGTGAAGATATACCATTTGTCTTATCAGTACATGCTGTAAAGTTAATGAACTGTGCAGTGGCGTACCAAGAACAATAATTGAGAAGGGAGGGGAAAATATTCAATCAAAAGAGCAGGATATGCTGTATTAAGTTCCTTTGAAATTTTTTTGTTTTAGGGAGAATGGCGCATAGTTGAATGTATATTTGCCCTCCCAATTATCGTTCTGGCGGCACTACTGTAACTGTGATTATGTCGGTTATTAGCTGTTAAAGCAATTTTCAATGGATTCATTTCCTCTAACTGTCACGATATTGAATATTAACTCATGTTTGCAAAAAATCTAATGAACGTTTACCTAAATGTTATTGCATTTAGTTGTTCTGCAATCTTATAAATTTGGCAGCTAATTAGCTACAACATTGCAATGACTACGTAAGATATAAGTCACAAAATAAAAAAGTTATTGAAGTTCTTCTAAAGTACTTTAGAATTGTTCTATAATTTTTGCGTACTTTTCATAATGATATCGAAGTAATAGCCCCGACCTCTGACAAATCATCAAGCTATAGGACATTCGCATTCGAGAAATATGTTTTCCAAAAAACACTTGCAAAAGTTCCAAAATTCCTAAACTGTCAACAACAGTACTGTTGGTACAGCGAATTTATGTGGATGCCTGTTTGTCAGACAATATTTCGAGGGTTCGACCTGTTACCGATTGTTTTTACATGTATGCACGTATAAGATCCTCGCTATTCAGCCAGTTTATATTTTGGAATGATCAAAAATAAAACGTACCCTTTCACTTGTAAGTAATTCGTAGCTACGATGTGATTTGTGTGATTTCCGAAATACTTTCATCAAAGAAGAAACCGTGTTGTTTTGAAAATGGCCTGCGAACAGGGGGGAAAGGCAACCGTGATGTCACATGTGACTCACGAGTAGAGAAAGCTAACAAACTTAACAGACGTGAGGGCAATGTAATAACAATAAATGCTTGCGCCGATTGATCAATAGCTGAGTTTACATTAGCCTATGGATACCAAACTGATCTTAATAAATTCAATCAAAGAGAATTCGCAAATCAATCATGAATACATACATGTTAGAGGAAAATTAAATATTTATCTCATATTTATTTGTTTTGCACTGTTATTTTCTTATAAAAGAACCAAAAGATCTTTTTCGTGTTCATACTGGCTACTGCAAACCACGGAGACGTTTGTGAGAACTCTCGAGATGCACGAAATTTCTCCTCGGTTTGCATAAGCAAAAGAAATTAAGATCTTTATATCTTAAATAACCACTACTGCTGACGTAATCAACATGCTTCTATAGTAGATTTATTCTTTGATCAGCTTTGCATTGGCAGAAAATAGTAACTAGAGTCTAAATCGTTATTTGACTGATGCAAAAGGGAGGGGTTACAGATACTGTGTGGCCGTGGTTTTTCCTCCACCTCATTTGATCTAAAATCACAACATGTATTGTCTATTTTTAGCGTCATAGCAGCAGAAAATCTACCCATGAAGAACGACTTCAGAATGTATGTATGTATACAATACAGAGGGGGTGAATTTCGTACTTTGTACCGTCAAACATAATCAGCAATTAACAAAATGCGACATTTATATTATTTAAGCTTTTCATTGAATAGTTTTGTTACTTTTAGGCCCTACAAGTTCATAAATCACCGCGGCAAGAGGAGAAATGGGCATAAGAAGAACATCCTTGCGCCTATATACAATTTAGATGACGAGGATATGCAATGGTTAAGGATTTTTAACGAATCAAGAAAAAATAATGGTAATTTGGGGTGGGCCATCACAGTCGTTTTTTATTCGGCGGCAACTATCTGTTCGCATAAAGTTGTAGTAATATATTAATAACCATGACATTGACAACGTACCATGTTTGAAGTTTGAACTGTGTTTGCTTGATCGTGACGCATAGTACGCACGCAGAAAAATAGATTCCCTTTATCATTATTATGGAATTTTAGAGGGTGTATAGAGGTACTTAAAGATGTTTGTTGTAGTCAGGTACTGGCCTATTAATCGAAAGAAATACAGGAAAATTTCGATGAACTGAAAATTGGTTAAGTACGATAGATGACTTTTTGAGTTACTAAAACGTGCTGCATGTTTGACGGTTTGAACTACTTTGATGGAATTTCCGAATGTCCCCAGAATAGTTCAGAAATCTTAGATTTTCTCTGGGGGTTAATGGTGTGTGACGTTTGTAGATGTAACTTACCAATAACTCAGTTTCAAGACTGTAGCATAAGCAGCTAAGTAAACTTAAAATGAAGCGATCGAACTTGAAAATTTATGCGAAATAAGAAACGGTACTCTATTGATACTTTTGACTGTATGGGTTGTATACTTGAATAGTTTTCAATTGATCTGTTACTTCAGTCCCTTCCCAAAGCTTCAACCGTAATATCGAACGAGTCACGTCACTTAAATAAGAAACAATTACATGTTGAAAACTGTGCATATTTCCAATCAGCAAGACAAGGGCGTTTCATAACGAACTACTTGTACTAGGTAATATATTGTGACTGACGAGAAATGCAAGTAAAGTTGTACTTCTCGAAATCGCTAAATCCAAGGTTTAATTTTAGACAGCGCTGGTTTGCCTGCGGAATGATCTTTAGATTTGAACAGATATTCGACAAGACGCGATGGTTTTTCTCTTAGTTCAAATCTTCACTCCCCTATTATTTACAGGGGTTTGCACTCGATTTCTGAATTTTTTTATTCGCTTTCTGTTAATGATCAGGCATAAGCAAGTGGGGGATAGGAAATGTCATACTTTAGTGAACTGCGTCAACAGCTCAAGGTTATTCATCAGCGACTTCGCAGGTTGGCGATGATAGGTTGTTATGTTCTAGGATTCGAGATGAGCTGAACGAGGTCTTTAATTGTTCTAATTCAGTTTCATGCCGTTTGGTTCATTGAAATGAGGGTATTCCTGGAACGTAGGAGTTATGCTTCTGTATTCATCTATATATAATAAAAAGGAGTACAGTTGGTCGTAATGTTTGATGATATTTTTCTTGTTTTGAAAAAATGACCAAGGTCTTTGAGATTGTCGGTGCCTTGTAAGTTGGCTAATTATCCGATATACGTATTGGCATTGCTCGGTATACCATTGAGAATATCGTGGCGTTGATCACCTGTAGTTGATGGCTGTGGTATATCTTATGTCATAGACTATTGATATCTGGAAATATCCCCAAACAGACCTAAAATGGTTTATTTATATTTGCTAAGTAGACATTTTTGAGCCATTATATTTCACTTTTGCTTGTGGACGTGGAGTCATAATGTATGGTAACGATAAACTAGCGATAAGATATGTACGTAAATGTTTATTTACGGTTGATTTCATCATATTCGTATTGTTAACTGTTCGGACTGCGTTCGTGAGAACACGAATTTGAATATAGTGGATAGAAACTAGAAAGGTTTCTAATACACCTACCTGTAAATGATCGTACACTATATAGGTGTTTATATCATCTACATCAGCGATTTCCGCCATAACTACTTACGTGTAGAAGGTATAATTTGCCATTAATCCTCAAATATGATTACTTAATACCAATGAAGTCTATTCACTCTCGTATCACTGTATCAGGTTAGGTTGTTTTAACTTGAAGAAGGCATATTTTTTGACATTTTCAAGAGGCATTGTGTAGAAATTTTTTCATAGACCTGTTTAAAATGGGAAGCAAAGTTCATCCTGTGTCGCAAACATCCTTGCATTATCATAAAACGTGATCAATCCACGTTATGCCATAGATGAACATAACACTGTCCGAGCATGAGCAATTGTTTGCGTTTAACCGACCATAAATCCAACGAGATCGACGAACATTAGAAATTGCTGTACATGTGCGTTTGTAATGTTTTTGCAAGCGTAACCATGTACTGAAATCTGTGTAATCGCCGCTTGGATTTATTATATAAATAACTTATATACTTCTTGAAACGACAAATTCTAAAGGTTGCAGTGGCTGCTTCTAGAGGTGTAGTGTACCGTTGATGTTCCAGACTCGTGGGAAGCTTTTTTTTAGTGGGGAAGTGGGACTGAGGCTGAGGACGTAAGGCAATCCTTAGGCAACTTAGAAAACAAATTATAGTTTAGTCACAAATTATTGGGGCTGCAGCCCTTTTTGTTCTACCTTTAATGTTTGCAAACATAGAGCTGTGTATACTACTATTGATTTTTCAAAACCTACAGCTGTATTCCACCTTTGATTTTCGATATTTTCTTCAAAAAGCTTCGTGATCGCTATGTACATTAAAAATTTATTTTTTGTAGGTCAACCTATTATTGATGAACTGCTTATGGAAAAAGCCATCGGATGTTTGGAAAATCAGGTTTTGAACTGCAATCTGTTTCCCTCAATATAAGTATGTTTCTAATCTCTACTTCGTGTTTTTCCCCTTTTCAGTGTTACAATAACATGGGCGAGATGATCTCAACAGCGAAGGGTCTAAGCATCGAGTACGACGAAGATATAGCTTGCGACATCTGTAGATCGGTTAGTTTACATCAGTAACATGTTTGTAAATTTATTACGGGGATTTTTGTTGGCCTTTGTCTCGCGAATTCAACTTCCATGCTTGTTTCAAATAAAACATCTGTTGAGCTTTTAGTTAAATTCGTCTCTTTTGCAAAAAAATGTTTCAGCTTGAGTATTTGTTTGAAAATTGTAAAATAATCGATTATGTTTTGAAATGTTGTTTTGTTGTATTTTTATACATGATGGCTTTGAACTTCAGCATTTTATATTTTTGTTACCTTTTGCATTGCTCAAAAAACATTTTGGTTATCTTGTTGACCAAAGTCAGCATCAACGGTAAAAAACTATCTGTAAACAAATTCAACTATAGCCATGATTTATGCATATTGGAATAGTTACATTTTGCATAGCATCAACATTTATAAATGTTTTGTTTGTTTGCAATTATTGAATATTTGTGTTGGGGAGTATGTGCCGATGAAATGTAGTTATATGCTGTAGCTAAAGATGAAATGTAGTTATATGCTGCAGCTAAAGATGAAATGTAGTTACATGCTGCAGCTAAAGATGAAATGTAGTTATATGCTGCAGCTAAAGATGAAATGTAGTTATATGCTGCAGCTAAAGATGAAATGTAGTTATATGCTGCAGCTAAAGATGAAATGTAGTTATATGCTGCAGCTAAGGATGAAATGTAGTTATATGCTGCAGCTAAAGATGAAATGTGATGTCATGGTGACGACATAGGAATTGGCAATTGATTTTCCATACGGGAAACGTAATGTTATCGTAAACATTGGAGCTCACCTTATTGCAAATAGATGTATAGCCATTATAATTTCATACTGGCTGTTTTGTAATTTAATGGCTATTCATTTTAATAAGTTGGGCTTTTGCTAATAATGTAAGCTATAGCAATTTAAGTGAAATAGTTACCAAGTCATTAACAATGGTCTTCGCAATGCAACCAGAGAACGATGTGATAAAACCTTGTGTCTTAAAAATCTTTGGAAAGTTTTTGCCGCAAATACGCTGAGTTTTTTGTCCAAATCCAGTACACTTAATGGTTTCCCTTTCAGGAGTTCAGGATCATAACTAAACCATTTATTACTTTTACTATCGTTGTTATTTGAAACCTACTATGTTAAAGTTTTTATTGTACAACATTACCCATATACAATTTACGTGTATAGTAGCTATTCTATCTGATGATCATCTTGGAAACATGAAAAAGTCACAGAATCGTATTGCCTCTATTTCGTCTGCAGCCCGATTTTGAGGAAGACAACGTAATATTGTTCTGCGACGTATGCGATGTTGCCGTTCACCAAGCCTGTTATGGTGTTAAAAAAGTGCCTGTTGGAAGTTGGGTTTGTCAGCCATGCTCACAGTTCCTCTCTGATACTCCATGTTTGTTGTGCTCAACTCGTGGTGGCGCTATGAAAAAAACGAAACTGAAGTAAAAATTTTTTTTGCAATTTCTACTGGCAATAGCATGGTTTTGACAGTAATATGGAAAAACATGTACGAGTTGATTTTTGATAGGCTTTGAAAAATTCTCGAATGCTTGTTTTCCAAATTGCCCAAGAAACTATGCCATTACTTGTTAATAATGTTCACGAAAAAAATTTCTCAATTCTGTTGATTTTTAACATCAGCGTACGTACATTTCAGCCGGCAAGTTGTTAATATCGACCGGATCGTATTTTTGAATTCCGTCCTTTGTTGTTTTTCATAACACCATTGCTTTTCACCACGAAGCCAAAACAAGGCAGCCATATGTTTAGCTGTGTTTGTGTTTTTGGAAATGTCTTGCAAATGCTAAACTGTAGTACTCGGTCGCCAAAGAAAATCTACTTAAAACTTTCGCCAGCCATTTTTAACGATTTTGTTTACAATAGTTTAACTTTACCGCCTTTGAAATGTTTTATTTTCTTTGGCTCTTTTGATTGCTTTTTCGTATGACTAACCAATCAGGAGCAGTTTTAAACAGAAAAATTTGCCCTGGTGATTTATTTTCTTGCACTGTCATTTTGTATTTGCGAAAAATATCACTGCTCTTAACCACTCACAATTGAGAAATTTTTTCAGGTATATTATTAAGGTGTTTATTTTACTTAGATTTTGTAAGAAGTCGAGGTGAGTAGAGTTCTTAGAAGGACTGTTGATATTAATATTGACTGAAGTGTCGATAACCATAGCGGTAGTCATTTTCAGAGTCAAGATGACTACTGCTAGCGTTGTCGAAATTTCCGTCAACATCTACATGAATAGTCCTTCTCAGGACGCTATTAACCTAGACAATTTACATCTACAAACTTGTGATGATAGTCCTATGTTTAAACAATTTAGCCGCTTTATTGTAAAAGTCGAACACTAAGTTTAGTCGAATGGACGATTGGTGTGTTTCGGTGTTAATACGTATTTGTTAGCAATCATCTTGGTGGAATTTTCATGTTCATATATATCAAGCATGACGACTGTGGCTATTTAATTTTTATCACGTACACTGTATTGATATGACGCGACGAACAATGTTAGTGAAACAGTGTTTTATGTGTAGTGAGGGTTTTTTCGTCCTTGTAATTCTTTTTGTCCGAAACAAACATTAAGGGGCTTGTTTTCCAGTGTTTCCATTGCAATTAACGCACAGACAAGGATTTACACTGTTTTAAGTACATTTATCTATTCATATGTACTTGTAGGGGCTCGGACGGTTGGGTACATATGAGTTGTGCTGTGTGGATACCGGAAGTAAAAATTGGAAATGTCGAGAAAATGGAGCCAATTACGAACATAGAAAACGTCAATGTAAGCTCTTCAGTTCTGTTTTGTACTGCCCTTCTCCATTCTTAGGATTTAGTAGTACTGTAGTACCGCGTAGTCTAATTTTACTCTGAAAACTAAACTTCAACACTGTATGTTCATTGTACCTAGTTCAGGAATTATAACTATACAAAATTATGTAAGTTGTTTTGTAATGATATATTTTTTTAGCCAGGACGATGGAACCTGTTGTGCTCGCTGTGCAAAGAAAAGCGTGGCGCTTGTATACAGTGCTCGGTAAAACTTAGCTCATTTATTCAAACTGTTAGAATACTTTAGGTCGAAAGAAAATTATTAGAGTCTTTAGACAGCTGGCGAACTAAAGAAAGCCTTTACCCTACGAATTTTGTGATGTAAAAAGCAGAACACATGCATTTATCCTTCATCATACAGGCTTATATGTTGTAAACGAAGCTATTGTAACAAATTTTCTTGCGTGCTATTGTTTATATTATCATAATTTACTAAAACTAATGCAAGCATATGTCTTGCGATTTCTGTTGAAAAACACAAGATATCAAAGCTTGCTTACGCGGAATGACTCGTTTTCTGAGCGTGATAGTTTTAGATAGAGCGGACGATTTTAAGGACATTGTGATGTATTGTATAAGTCGAAAATTTGATCATCCTTGACTTTTTTTGTGTTCGAATTTGACGTGCTATTGTTGGGAGTAGTTCACCGGGCGTGGCGTAGCTACATTGAAGAACGCGCTGCTTTTCAACGCTACAGAAGTGTAATGTTTATTAAATTGTAAAGGGCATGATTTGATTATTTATTAACTTTTCATGTGGATAGTGAATTTCTGTGTAAAATTAACCCTTGCTTTATGTTCTAGATGCTAATGATTGATATTTGTTTCAGGTAAAATCTTGTGTTACTGCTTTTCACGTAACTTGTGGCTTTGATAACGACTTGCACATGCAAACTGTGTGGGATGAATCGATGCCCGATGGAGTAAGACACGTGGTTCGTACTTTATTGTTTTATGGAGGTCTGCGGGGATGTTTGTGTGGTGACTGGTGTAGCTTTGGCGTGAAGCCGAAACCGCAAAAGTTGGTTGCAGTGAACTTTTTTATAAACTGGAATGCTAACCCTGATTACACGCTTTTTTGAAGCCAGATATAATGTATTTATATCCGAGTTTTTGTGTTTATTACAAAATCTTTTGTGGTAAAACTTTTCAAGGCAATTTGTGCTACTGTGTTTTAAGTATATCGTCGTTGATTTTCTCTAAATAGCATCCTCAAAGTTTCAAAAATTCAAAAAAACATGCTTGATTTTTGGCTTCAAAGACCGCGGCGTTGTTAGCGTCCTAGTTAATAATACAGATCAGTGGTTGGTTGCAAGCATGGTTGCTAGTAGAGAATCCTCCTGGGAAATCTGGGCGCCAAGTTCATGAATTCAAAATGGGGGTTTGGAGGTGGGGGTGGGGATGGTAATGTTGTAATGCAAACGAATACTTTTCAACGTACTATTATCTATTTCATACAGTCTTATTGTTTGAAACACACGCAAAAAAGAAGCGATCGATCCCCATGCAAACCATCTAATCTTAATTCATCAAAATCATCTGCTGACAGCAGCCCTTGTACATCACCGTCGAAATCTTCTTCAAGTTTTCGAGTGAAGGAGCAAGAAGAGCGAGATGATCTCCGGCAAAATAGGTATGGCGTCGCTGAGAACCAGAAAATAATGGTCTGAATGTAATTTTTTCACCCGTTTGCGCACTTCGTGCGTTTTTGTTGTTCTAGTTAGAATAGAAAGTGGGAAACATCCCTCATGTTTCGTAATAGTGATGAAAATCAATCATAGTTCGTGATTTTCAAAGAATTATCATTTCTAATTTTTCTTCTGTGCATGGTGCAGAGAGTACATCAAATGTGCCAAATCATGAAATATATTTACTTGTAGATTGCGCGGAATGGAGGAAGAATTTTATTCATATGCCAACGCTGAACATCTCGCGGACGAATTAAACATTGCGATTGACATTGCCACTGCTGTTTATCGTTTCTGGACTTTGAAACGAAAGGTAAGACAGACTCAATGTATAGCCTTAATAGGATTGTTAATGTGCCATTTCTGAATCATAAATTTCATTTTATACGACATCAATCTACGTCAAATTAACTTAATCTTAGTGTTCGATTTAAAGAGAAATGTAGCCAACAGGACGCGCCGTCAAAGGCGTCACGAGAAAGACGTAAAAAATGGCGTGTTGTGCCAATTTCTCGCCATTTTTTACGCCATGTTCACGAGGACGCACATGAAACGTCGTGTTTGCTAAATTTGATCTATGTCATTTTGTGCTCATGCATGCATCTATGGAAACAAGAAGCCATCTTTCAAATAGTGCACACTTTCCGCTTCCTGTTCTTTTACAAAATCTAAATAATTTCTCCATTTGGTTGTAATAATATTTGTTTTAACATTTAGTCTCGAGAAGATGCTGCTCTACTTCCTCCTACACCTGAACAACAAGAACTGTTAAGTGGACGGCAAGTAAGTTACTGATCTATGTTTAATAACGGATGGATCCAGGATGATTATTGGGGGGTGCGTGCTCTAGTTTTCATAAGATGTCGTTCGGTCACACTAGTTTTCATTAGATTTCGGTGGCTTCTTTGTTGGTGTCGTTATGTCATACACATGTCAGACCAGTCATCCAACGGCATGTAAAACTGTTGAAAAGCTGCAATTAAAGCAAAAGAAGGATCTGCTAGTTATTAATTATAATGTTATTTTTTCTTGTGTAACTTGTATCTAATGTTCTGCTTCGTTTTTGTTAAGTATGTCATCATTTTCAAACGTGGCACTTTTAACATTTCGTTGATGTTCTATCGCCATATCTAAATACTATTCATTGATCTATTTGCGACTGCTTGAAGATTATCCTACAGGACTTCCGGTGGTCATATATGCTCACTGAAATTTGACAACTTTTCATATTTCACTATTGATTATTGAAAAAACCCTTCAAGTATCTGTACGGTGTGGCCAGATTTGGTAATTTTTTCTATCAGATCCGTTCTGGTGAGCTTAGACAGCCCGGTCTGCTTTACGTAATTGCAACATGTTAAACAAGGGAAGCAGTCAGCACAGATCAACGCATTTTTGATAATAAATTATTCATTTATGGTCACACTGTGTCTGTAAATAGTTGTATTGATAAATGAAAAAAAAACTTACCTAATATGTTTCCATTTTTGTAATTTGCAGATAAAGCCGTTTCAAAAGGCAACCATGGAGGCTCAACGAATTGTGCGACTTCGTCAGGACCTGGAAAGAGTATGTAATGTAGTCACAGCATGAGTTATAGGCGTTAGGTCGTACGAGAAAAAGTTAAAGAGCGACCTTTTTAGAAAGTCAAAATTTTACATTGTTTGGAAGAAAATTGTTACCCAACCTTAGATATTTAAAACGCTTTAACTATCATACTATATGTATCTACAATACATGTTTTTTCTTTGCCTCTAACACCACTTGCATTATTTATTGATAAAAATTGCTTCAGTTTTTTAAACACACGAAGAAAAATTATCATCAATGAATCATGAGAACGATAATCTACTAATTATTTGAACTATACCGCTAGTTTAATATTATGATTTTTAGTTTTATTCAGCCCTGCTTCCCCTCCTCCCCCCTCTCATTCAAACACACTCAATACTTTGAATTTTTTGTCATCTAACGCTTTTCATTTCGGTCCCATCTCTTATGTTAATTATAACCGATACCTGAACATTAATGTTAACAAGAGCTACGTATGCTTATAGCAATTACTTGGAAAAAGAGGAGTTTTTGAGACTAATTATTAATTACACTTACTTGTATCATATATATTTTTCATAGATTCGAAACTTGTGCTACATGATCGAGAAACGCGAGAAATACAAACGAGAGTTGCTTGCAACTCGCGAAGCAATTTTTTACAAGCAGAATGAGATCCTAGGCGATAACTCGTGTAATATTTTGGTGGAGAATTTGCGCACACCTTGCATCAAAGACTGGACTGTGAACAACGAGCAATCTGAATCGCTAGATTTGCGCTTACCTGTGAGGCCAAAGGTATACAAAAAGCGAGGAAGGAAACCCAAAAAGAGACGAAAGAGTTCAATGGTTTTGACAAACGTGTATGCGGTCGATAAATCAAAATCTGGCGAAACTCAAAAGGAGAGCGAAGAGATTGTTGACGTGGTTACTGAAGAGCAAATCGACACTAGCTATAGAGATTTGCTTCTTGGAAAATCTAATGGTACTTTAACGAATGAAAATTCTCCACGTGAAGCTCAATTGACGAACAAACATATTCAGCCAGAAAACAATAAATCATTGAAGCTCGAGCTGGATGGCAAAGCATTCTCAGACTCTCATTTTGCGAACAAGACTACGAGTAAGGAAGAGTGTCGTAGATCTTCAATTATGCGGTCAAAGACTAGGGAAGCGAGTTATTTTATTAAGACTAATGAGGATGAAGTAAATTTTAACAAGACTTGTATTACGAAACCCTCTGCTGTAGAAAGTAATGGCACTGGTACTAGGCGGTTAAATGTGAAACCAAATGCAATTAAAATGTTTTCTCTGGTCGAAATCAACGAAATTGACAAGTGTTCCGTCCCTCACATTTGCGCGGATACAAATAATTTTTCTGGTGAAAAATCTAAAGCAAGTCGTAAGCGCTTATTTGATGGATTAAGTGCTACAAATAATAGGCACAAAGTAAGAACTAACGACGTTTTCTCATCGGAATCGTCATTTTCCAATCATATTAAAAGAATATGCTTGGAGAATGGAACATTAGGTAAAATTAGTCCCACGGGATCTCGCGAAGTTACCCACTCAAAGGAACATAGTAATGTATCGTACGTGCGTTTAACTAGATCGCGAAGTCGAGCCGCTAGCTTTGATGCATTAGATCAAAATGAATGTTCGCTTGATGACCGTGAAGATAGGAAACGACGGCTGAATGGTGCGTTGAATGCTAGTTGTGCTTCATCGTTGGGCTCTCGAACTCGCTCGACGCGAAACCTTTCTAATGTGCGGCTTGATTTTGATGAAAATGGCGATCAGAATGTTGATATCAACATTCTGTCACATTTTGGTTGCTCTAAGGACACGAGTAAATTAACTGAAGTCGCTTTGCAGTCCAGATTCCGCAATTCTACGCGTTCTCGCGTGACTTCACGTTGTACGTTATCCGGAAATCAAAACGTAAAACGCGACAAAAGGAGATCAAATGCTGAACCCGATGATTGTAGATCGGTCAGAAGGAAAGAGCGGTTAAGATCTTCGCAGCCAACTTTGGGTCGGTCTGTATTTTTTGGAAGAACTAGAGTAGTGGCAACAACAAGTGGATGATTGTTTGTCGACAACAAAACAAAACAAAAGTCCTCGCGAAGTCAGGTTTTGAACATTTTAAACTTCTAACGAATATATTTTAAAAATTTATAGCATATAAAAAACATATGCTATCTGTCCACTTACCATTGAGTATGCGTTTTGAAAATACTTAAAATTTGTTCATGGCATTTACCTGCTCCATTTGCTCCATGTAATGTGTGGTAGTCATGTAGTAGTAGCCAAATTGAAATATAGCGGCGTAGCAAACGGGGGGCTTTTCCCTTTCAGCTTTGGAAAGTGGTCGTTAATACGATTGGTTGGTGATGATATGATTTTCACGTCGCTTTTTAACTAATAAACTAAATTTCGATAATAAACAATGATGTCTCATCTTCCCAAAATAATTTATGTTTGTAGCCAAGTCGTTAAGCATGATATTAGCTACTCCCGTGTCTCGCTCATTGATTACATAGATGGTGCATTCCCAATATCGTTAGTGCAAAAATGTGATGCCGGAAATGGCTTCAACTTCGTCAAGAGAGCCCCCCATCTGATAAATTTAGTTCTACAGCACTGCTTGCCACTGATTTTGTTCATTCTTTATCGTTAAAATACACTTCGGACTTGAAGTTATAGATAGCAAACGAGTTTCCTTTTATACGTTCATCAAAGACGATGTGACGGTCGGAAGGCGTCTTCCACTTTTTTGGGTCAGTTTTCGACTTTTTTATACTTAAAAAACTGAGATTCTCTAGAGGAAGCGCGTTGGTAAAGAAAATTTGAGTTAGAATAAAACTCGGCATTATCCTGCATTTTGCTTCCTCGAGAAGATGAAATATTATATAGATGACGCTACAATCCATGATTGCCATCGATATTTTCATAGTTACAAGGCACATCGTTTTTAGTTTTTTACAGCGACCGTATGGCAGGAGGCGAGCTCTTTTTCCTTCGCAATTCCATAATAACTTTATTTATATTATGTAAATTTTATGTAAGATTACAGTAAAAATTTATGAGATACAATGTTTAATAAAATGAAATAAATAATCTATGCAGAGAAAAGAGGGGATGGACGAGGAAGCCATGAAGTGCATACATCAGGATCAGGGAGAATGCCTCTTTAGATAGTTAGATCGATTTTAAGAACATTTGCGATATATATTTGATACCACGAAAATTTTATGTTCCTGGGCTTTTCGGCCTAGAAGTGGGCCTCTGCTTCTTTAAAGGAAGAAAATGCAGTTTTACTTTCAGACTTTTTTATTAAATGTTCAAACGATGGCGTCAAACTATACACCTATGCAGCATCTGAAATTTGTTGTGCGGTTATTGAAGAAGATTTGTTATAACAGTTTTGTTCAGTACAATGAACGCTTTATCTTCCATACATGTTTCTCGTTTTTACGTCATATTCGGTGCTGAGTCATCTAGTTTTAGGTACCAAGAAGATAAATTTTTCCTCGTATTAAATATATTGCAAATGTTCCTAAAAACGTTTCTACTATCTAGTGAAGTTAGTTCCATGACCTTGATATAAACACTTTAATATGAATTTGCCGTAAAAAATATTAAAATTTTTTTATGAATTCATTTCTGGATTTTGCAAAATCAAAATAGTTCTTTAGTTTTAAAACGAATGAAACGTCAATTATACTTAGTGGACTTGTTTAGTGCAGAAGTTGGCTTCGCTCAAAGAAAAAATTCGAGTTTTAAAACAAACCTGAAGGCCTGTTTACATGAATAAAGGGATCTTTTGAAAACCCGCGTTTCTATGAGAGTTTGTACGTCGCGACCAAATTCATAAGGAGAAAAAAACTAATGCTTGTAAGACGTCTTGAAAACCTTGTATCCGTGCCTTAACCCTGTTCTGTAATAGCGCGTTCAGATTGAGCGCCAGAGTACGATACACTGATTCCGAGCACTTTGACTCGGGCACCATCATAATGTTGTGTTCACATTGGTGCCCGCGCCTGAGGACCATACCGGGGCACTCAGTCTGAACGCGCTATAAAAGCTCACTCGCAGCGAGGATTCAAAATCATCTCAAAACTCTTGAAAGATGTTATTTTAACTTCACTGATTAATTGTTTGATTTGTAACACTTTAGAATAATTATTTGCCATTGAGCTCCGTTTAGTGAGTTGACATTTCAGGCTCAGTCTTAATACGAAACATTCGTGACATCAAATTGCGATTATAAGTATGGCAAATTTTCAACCATGTGCTGAGTTCAACCCCGATGCTGAAATTTCAACCCTGTTTCAGCTAACCGGGTTAAAATTTCAGCCCAGTATTGGACTCAGCACTGAGACGAAAGTTATCACCATGTAATCGTTTTAAACGCAGGGCGCAAATCGTTATTTAAGCATGTGTGGTCAATTGTTGTCAGCTAGACGTGCTTTCTATGTTTTATATTTTGGGTGTCTATATTAGACTAGATCTATGGCATTAATTTCTATTCTCGGGGATGTGATTTTCAATGTAAACGCAATAAATTTCAACTCACTTAACGGGGCTCAGTTCAGCCCAGGGATGAAAATGCTACATGTAATCAGCCCCTAATTCTTGTAAACATAACCACTGAAGTAGTTTGCTATTCATTTTAAAATCTCACTTCTAGGATTTGCTTTGCAATTAACCAAGAGAGACTTACTGGAAAAAAGACTTGAAGTTTTTCTTCCTGAAGCATATCTCGATCGACACGCCGCTGCAGTTTCTGTAAAACATTTTTTTTTCTGCTTGTTTTCGACAGGTTCTGCATCAGAATGTTGCAAGTAAGAAAAATCATCCAAGTCAGATGGAACGGAGCATTTGTATGACCGCTTTTAAGAGGATTGGGATTTGACAACCGGAACGAGAGCCGAGACGAAAAACCAACTGATCAAAATTATCAAAATTGCCTCTTTCCTGAAATACAGTTGACGTTTTATTTGGATTCCCCATAAATCAGCAAGGACCGGAGGAGTTACATGACTGGAAAAATTATATTCACGGATTATTGCAGCACCCTCCTTTAATAAATCTTCACTCGTGACTATTGTTCTTAGCCTCGCTCATGTTGATGACGGACTCTACACGTATGTTTGAGCTGGTCGTATGCGTCATCTGAGCAGAACTTCCTATGTTCCTGACCGACCAGTGAATAAATTTCAAATTCAGGTAAGCAATCTCGTTTGATTTGATAAGTTAGGATTATATATAACGAGTTATTTCCTTTCAACAAACCCAGTGAAGGGTGTTATATGGCATGTACTGCTTTACAAGTGCATATTATATTCGGGAAAATGTGTTGCCAACTGGACAAATTACAGCCTGTATTGAATGTTTGTATATTCTAGCTATATAGCTTTGACACTGAAATTGTCAACTATTCCGAGCTCGATTTTATTTATTTGCAATGCATATCTTCTTTTTGATTCAATTGGTATTTTCATTTACGTTTATTATATTTAATTTCTTAACTAAATCGTTGATTTCAGGGCAGTTTATCTGTAATTGCCCTGTAAAAATGTGTAATTGCTCTGTAGAAAAGCTGTAATTGCTCTGTAGAAAAGCTGTAATTGCACTGTAAATACTGTAACCTGATTAGCTGAAAAACAGTGAAAGCCAAACAAACTTTTTTCAATGAAAAAAAAACATGGCGGTTTTTCCTAAATTGCAATCGCTTGAAGTTCAAGAATTACAAAAGATTGCAAAGAAAAAAAACAAAACGTCAAGTACTGTATTTTGGTGAATGTTTTTTAACAATTAGGCTGCGTAACGAGCCTTTTCTGAAACGATAGAGGGTAACAAAGCGAGACAGAGTTTGGCGGTACAGTAAAGAAATATCTTTAAAATTTTATTATTATTAAGCAATAGTATAGTTTCTCGTGTAATTACCTTTGCGGCTAAACCTGCACTCGTGAGTTTTTAAAGCCTTTTGAAAACTCGAACGTTGATTGGTTGAATGCGCGAAAACCCGTGTTGATGTTATTAATTGATTACGGGCTCAAGATTTCTATGAGGTGATAGTTTATGAGAAAGAAAAGGGTTGCTAAAGTTTTCCTTAAAATTCGTTGCTTTATGCATTTGTTAATTGTCGTTGACACCATTTATACTAAAATGCGATGACCTTTGCTCAATGCATGTTTTGTTATTTTAATTGAATTTTTCTTAACGTCGTATTCAGTGACAACTTTAGTCTAGAATCGCCTTTTGAAGAAAACGCTCTAGTTTATCGTAAGGAACCTGAGTAAAATGCGAGACGGCACAGCTATCGCTTTGCTAATCGACATCTATTGAATATTCGATAGCGAGTAGACTGGCCAATCAAATTAAAGCATTTGCAATAGAATGCTAGTCGATACAAACAGGGAAATGTTTTCCACTACTAAAAATATCACACACAATAGTGTGCTATGATTGGTTAAAGCTAAACAAAAGAGGCGCCGAACATGCTGCCTAAATTTCAGTACCGTGACACACATGTTTCATGGCGTTTGGCTTGTTGTCTTTCCTTGGCAAATTTAGTGCTTTAAATTTGCCATTTACCTTGCTTCTCTCATTTGGCAGCAAAAACTATCGACGAACTCGTTGGGCAAAAACACCAGACGTAGACAAAAATACATAAATATTTGAGAATTTTTGGCAATATTGTCTGTTCTTTTATGGCAATCATACTACGTACCCTTAACTGATTTGCTGCTTTCCAGTCTGATATTTTTCATTTGACAATTGTTTCTGATACTGGCATCAGTTTTTATCACGCAAAATTTGACATTTCTTTAAAAGCTAGATATTACTAAAAATAATGGTTTGATGATCATTGAACCTGGAATAAGGGCGACGAATCATAATCGAAGGCGACTGAAGAGTGACTCACAACTTGTATCTGTTTATTAGTTCATATTGCCGAAATTGCCTCGGCAGACGTGTACGAGGTGTTCACATGATCTGATACAATATCATTGGTGAAAGTACATTGATGTACATGTAAATAATCCCACGAGTATTACTACTATTATTGCATTAACTAGTTGAGTGATTTTGACGATTACAGTTTCTCAAATATTTCGCCTTTAAATTAACATTAAACATGGAAAGGTCAATTCCAACAAGGTTCTTGCGAGAGTGACCATCACCGCATGCCGTTGGTCCGCTATTCAAGCGTTCTTGTATTATTTTGGCTTTAATTCCTGATTGTTGATGAACTTGTAATTGAAACAAGTGAAATCGTCAGTATATCTCTTACGTAACGATTGAAACTCCGATAACGTCAGGTTTTTATAAAAATTTGCGTACTCCGTATTCGTGATGGCCTTACCGTAGCTTTTTTGTTTCCTTGGGAAACTTGCATGTTTTGGTGCTCGTATCTGTTTTAATAAAGCGCTCGTATCGAGGGCCAGCTCTTCAAAAGAGCCGATGAAGTCGTACTTGATGTAACAAGGTTGACAGAGATTGTACATGGGCATCCAATGCTCATTTGTCGTAAGCATATCATGATTTTTGTCTACAAGATAGCGCGTGAACTCTTGAAATGTGACATCGTCACCTTTGATGAGATTTCTGGGCATGCTAGGCCGGCGGTAGCGAAACACAATATTTTGACCGTACATCAATTGAAATGCCGTGTTTGGTTTGAGAAATTTGTTCTTAAAAGCGGAGACCAAACGCAACTGAGGATTTCGGACGAACATGAACTTGAAATACGATTTCAACATTGCAACTCGTTCTGTTGGATCCACGTCGGAAAGATACTCGAAGCCCTGTTTGTTGAAGTGTTTGATGAGGTTGCTGTCGTTTGTAAAGTTCTGTAACGTCAACATAAGTCTTTTCATATTAGATGAAGCGACCTTTGGAATGTAGCAGTAGAGTAGTTTATTCTTCCTGTCCACAATGACATGCGTAAAGACATTCACCTCCTCTTTCAACGTGAGCGCACGCGAGGAGTCTCTACGTTGACAACATCTTTCCATGGCTTGTTTCCTTGCTTCTCTGTTGAACTAAACAGAAATTTTGTGTAACATATATAGAGTCTTCGTGACATAAAGTACTGCAAGTAGATATTCAAATTGGCAGAAAATAAATATTACAACATACAATATGTGTACCTATGTTGCCTACGCGCTACCATTTTAGTACAACAGTGCTTCCTGCACTTAGGCCTCCTTAGCAGTGGCTTTCAAATAACAATTTTTCTGGGACGACTAGTTGCTTTCCACCGAAAATGCGCCCCAAAAATATAACTTTACAAACGTGGGTTGAATTCTCAGCCGAGCACCGCAGTGCTAGCCGTGTTCTCCCAGAAAATTTTTAAATTAAAAGCTCTGTAATACCATTTCTAGGACATTGAAGAGTGAAATAGCTGCATTAATTTGTATTTGTTTTTCCTACCCAAATTCAAATTGCCACGCCCGTATTCATCTATACACCCCTCAACAACTTTCTCCCTAAGATTTTTTGGCTAACTTCCGTGCTACCGTTGTGACCAGCACGGACGAGCAATTCTAATGAGCTGCATGCATTTTCAGCTTGTTTAAAAGGCAAAAGTTATGAGTGCAAAGAAAATGTTTTAAAACACTTGCCAACTAGATATTGGCTGTGTCGTCGTTTTGCACAAAATTGAGGTTCACGCTCAGACCAGGATCAACTATTACTGTGAAGTTTGGGTTGAAAAGCATCTAATAAATGAATTTGTGCGTGATTCGCAATTTGTTTTACTTCGATACTTCCTTATCCCAATCACAGTTAGCAGCGAATGAAGCAAACCAATCCTTTTTTAATTCTGCAATGCAAATATTTTTTCAAAAACAATAAATGGAATTGATTTTCTAAAGATATGAATAATACATATGTTAAAAAATGGCATTGTGACAGCAAAAGATCGAGCTTCATCATTAATCACAGCATTTACAACCAGTTGTCTCAATTTGCTGTGCAACATTGTTGCTGTGTATTTCACTGAATTACAGGGAGCGGTGAGCCATCTCAGTGTTGCTATTAGTCAGAAAATGCAGCCGGCTACCGTTATGGTAATCACATTCGTACAAAGATGCGCGTCAAACTTTTCAGTAAAATGAGCGTAGCTAGCCTGCAGAATTACTCCCGCCATGTAAATTCTGAAGGATATCCATTATTCATTTCTTTAGAATTCTGTTATTTTTACAGTCAGTGAATTCAAAATTTTCGGGAGTAAAAAGTCGGGCAGGCTACACGCTTCTATCTAAGCGGTTAAGTAGCCTGTTCTCAGGTTACCCTGCAAAACATTTGTCTTTAATCTTAATTCTTTCCCTGCTGTGGTGTCTTGGCGCTATGTCTGGCTTTGTAATAGATTTACAACACTTACTTTTGCTGTTTTATGTTGTATTTCTTTCTCGCTGTACTCCGTTGAACGACGCACTATGGAAATTTAAGAAAATTATTTGCAGTAGCGTACAATCTGGAATACAAATTCAAGCATTCGCGAGCAATTGAAGATGAACGTTTGTTTCGGAAACGATCCCATTGATCTGATCTTATTTCGTCCACAATCATTCTTTAGCAACTCGTTACCAAGGTTGTTATTCAAGTATATTTCTACTTATAAGATTTATACTTGTACCATTATTGCTTTTGTATCAATCTGTTTGAACGCAACTGTTCGGCAAATAATTATTTTTACTGATAATCGTGTTGAAATATTCGAGTTTTATGACCTATTGACCGCAGATGATTGTATTTGGGATTAGAAAATACATTCAACTGAAAATACCTTCCTGAAAATAGACTTGGTTATCGACGTTGCAACTTCGTCTACCAAGCCAGTACGCCATTGAAAGCAAGAAAACCAAGAAGATAATTTTATAGAATTGTGAAAGACATGTTTTGTGCAAAATTACCAAGACTGATGCCATTGCTGTGTCTTCGTCATAATATCTGTGCGCAAAATGAAACTTGAACCGTGCATAGTTGAAGTATTGGTCTCATAAGCGCCGGTGAAAATGACTAGTCAATTTATGGAGATGTGTAAAATGCCTCCTTCCTACCTTGTGCATCTGCTGTGGGTGACCAGTTTGCTGGCAATACGGACGTGAGGTCTACTCAGTGATGTTTTTGTTTTCAATTGTTTGGAAGATTTGGAGGTGCGGTGCACACCATTTTAAAAATTGAAATAAGAAGAGTTTTCGGGTCGATGATTGAAAGTCCATCTCACGCAGACGCTTTTTTTACTACTAAACAGATTAGCAATTGTTATATCTATAATATACTGCTAATACGGTTATTCTTATAAATTAAAACAAGGCTTCGACTCAACGACTTGTTAAACGATGTCTGTCCGAAAAAATTGCAGGAAATTGTTGATCTGTTCTGTAGCAACATTTACTAATTTTATTTATAATACATGTTCTCCAAAGCATACATACAGGCGTATAACAAAGGCTTCTTCTTTACTCATTTAATGACGTACATTGGCTAGACTGTAGTTTAGCGGGCACATGAAGCGCTTGTATGGGTAGCGCGGGCTCGTTTTTGCTTTGGATTATAGGCATAGATCATAGATATAGTAGGTCTATATCTATGATCTACTATATCTATGGCATATGATTATAGGGTTAGGGTTGGGTCAGCGTCCAAGGTGTCCGCTAAACTGCAGTAGTCCCCATACAATTTTGGCAATGAAATACCTAAAGCCAGAATGAAATTCAATTTCCGTATCGACAAAGCAAAAATGTGAAAGCTTTGTGTTAGTTCCAAATCGAGCACTAAATAGCGGGAGCCCCTGGGGCCTATGATATGATTCTTCATTCAGCTTCGTCACAAAACTCAATTGCAAGTTTTTAGGCAAGATTTTTGAAAACAAACGCATCTTACCTTTGTTATTGTTATTTGGAATTCAATTTCAAACAGCATATTCAACAAGTACACCATTTGCTCATCATTAGAGCTCGTTGGACAATTAATAACACAGTTTGATTCATCCACAGCGTTGTAGAATATTCAAATATATACTATGTACAAAAGATACCTGCATGTCTCAAGAGAAATAGTCTGTTGCAACTGCAACATCGCACTTCTCTTTCATGCAAATTATGTTTAAGTTCATTTAATGATCCTTCATTTGATTTTATTGAATGTACGTTATTCCTGCTTGAATATTCCCGATTGTTATGCGGCATAAATAAATGCTATTGATTGTCGACTAAAGTGCGCTTGATTGTTCCTTCGTGCTAATGAATATTCTACAGCGCTATATTGATAAGTCAAAGCGTTTAATTGAATGTCCAATGTGCTCTAATGATGAGCGAATGGTGTACTACGTGTCAATTTTAATTGAATTTGCTGGCTTTTGATTATGCTCTTGTGGAATCGTCTAGAATAAATGGTGTTATTGAGTGTTAATCGTTTTATTTTTTTCTAAAATACTACTTGGAATCGTGGATATTAGTAGAATCAGCTACTAATACGAAATACCCTTAACTGAAACATGCTGAAAATTAATTTATTTATATGCACAGTAAATGAAGTTCCATTGAAACAAATAGTTTTTAATATAGCTATTATTGGTGCAATTAAGTATAATTCGTTTTGCAAATTCAGTTCGTCTATATATGTGAAGAAGAGCTAAATTTGGTTGTGAAAATTCTTAGGACTTACAGCGGCAGATATCTCACTGGTAAAACACCTTGCATTTCTTAAAATTTCTTTGCCAGCTGTACCAGTGAACGTTAATGTACTTAGAATAACCAAATGTTTTCGCTTAGTCCGCGAACGTCTTGTTGGCACCAGCCAGCGTGGGCGAGCAACATTGTTTGGCAAATCTCAAGAGAATGGTTGCAAGTCAAGAATACTTTGCCATCAAATTGCCATATTGATGTAATTAGACAGCCGTTATCGACACTGAAATTCCTTTATTTCTCGTTTTTACCTTTAAATTTCAGTCAATGCATGAAGTAGCTAATAGATCATTTGTAAATTTTGCTGTGACGCTTCGTCAAAACACAAGAGGCCTTAATAATGATTACACTGCATAATTATCTACACTGTTATAAAAAATAGCTAACTAACACATTTTCTGCCTTCGAAGGCATTGTGTACCATACCCATTTGTTTAAAGGCAAGTCTTGTGCAGATAATTGAAAAATGACTCGTTTTTTACTCTTTGTATTCACTGGATTAGCCAGCCAGCAAATTTGGTCGCGTTTTGCAAATTTCGATGGTCATGTTTGACTTGGGGATTTCTAAAGAACTGAATATAGCTAATAACTTCAAATTTACAACTCACGATTTACGACCAAACTTGCCCATTGGCTTATAGCTGCGCCTCTGAGCAACTTTCGAATACTAAACGAATCTGAGCAGGTTTGAAAAATTAAATTAATTGGACGAACTCAACAAATTCCGCCATGATTATCCCGGCATAAAACATGTCGTAAAATTTTGAAAATCATCGACGGGGAAGGAATCCTAGTCAATCATAGTCATCATAGTCAGGGAAACGGGGAGAAGCCACTTCTTGATGAGTCCTGAGCATCGCCGCGCATTTAAAAAGTAAATAGTACGAAAGTTATTTTTCCTTTCTATTCAATCGCTCGTAAGCTTTTCAGCAGCATTAATGCATGGTTAAACAAAGCGCATTTAGCTTGTCTGGAATAGCCAAAACTGTTAACACTAATTATGTCTTGTTACCATGGTCCTCTTGAAATTCCTTACACCTGCTTAGCCTAATGATTATTTCCTAGCAGCGTTACTGATCTTACCGCGGATACAACAGTATCTAGGCACAATGTTTGTGTATGTATATGTGTGTATTTTTGTTCGTTTTTAACCATTTGAAATATTTCTAACATTCGCTAGAGATAAGATTGAGGCGTATAGTCCTTTGAGAAATTTAATAACATAGACATAATTGTTATGGAAACTAACAATTTTCAAGTCAATGCAAATTTTTCAGCAAAATTATTGCCTAGTTTGTTTAGAAAATTAATTCCATACAGTTTTTTAGTAAATAAACACAATATTTTGTGTGCTTAGGTCCTTAATTGGCGGTATATACAAAGCAATTCTTGTTTTGTTGTCTTTGGAAAATCTCCTTCACTGCATGTATTTTGCTCTACAAAATAACTACGTATCAATTTCTGTTGTACAGGAGACTACAGGGAAGAACGTCAGGGCATAAAGTTCCCGATATAAGCTATAAATTTGCTATTTTAATGATTTTTCGAGGATATCATTTGAATGATCACCAAAGACTACTTATACAAAGTATGAAAGTTTTTTTATTTTGATCGATTGAATTTTCCAAATATTGACTTTCACCCACGTCGGTTCTAGATGCTACTGTTCCTTTGTACATGACCTCCAACATAGCCGACGAATGAAAGACACGAAGATTAAATGCAGTTGTGAGCTCCCTGGTGGGTCAATTGTTTCATTATTTCCCTGCGGTTGTCAGTGTACAAGTAACGTGTTGAAGTATTAACTGACTGTTTATCGGAAAAGTTCGAACATTTTGACCACGTTTGGTCGGCGAATTATTCGGGATTTTTTAGAAAATTTAATAACTTTTTAGCTATATGCACACTTTAAAAGCTCTTATTTTACAAAGATCTTTATTGCGTGTTTCTGAAATAGAGCTATGATTGGCAGCCTCCTAATTTGCTTTTTATAACTCTTTAACGAATCTGTTATACTCGATTTAACTGACACAACTTGAAAACGCTTAAAAAATTCATGTTCCGATAAACTGAACAAACTTCATTTTCACAACGCTTGTAGCTATCAGTCGACAGTCACTCTTAGACTTTAAGAAACATTTCAGTTTTTAAAAACTGCTATATAAGCGTGATGTAACTTATAACAAACGCTATAAAAAAGAACTTTGTTCAAAAAGTCTACCATTATTATATGTAGCTACGCAGCAGACGTAAAACTTGCTAAAATTCCAAAAGACACATTGCCATATCATAGCTCCTTTGATATTTTTGAAAAAAATGCTGCAGAGCACCCTACAGTATTATGTAGAGAGTGTTTTTTATGAATCTTCTTTAATGTGTTTGAAGTCAACGCTTTTTTAAATATTAATTTTGAAGCCAGAACTTAGGTATATTTCGTTACTGAAAATTCTCCACACAATGATGCAACAATATATTTTGCGCATGATCTTGTGTTTCTGCACAATTTCTCCGATTTTTGAAGGAAGGCACCATTAAACTTTCAGCTTATAGGATATAGAGGTTAACTATTTACTAGCTACCTAAATCAACGTGCCTATATGTATGAAAGGGACATTTATTTCTACAATCTTAATTAACTTTTTAGTTCTAAAGTTTTTTGTCATTTGCGTTTTGAATCGTTTTGGTTGGTAACGCAAAACTCACTGCTCTCCACAAATGTTGTGAATTGCTACCAGCGCCAGACCTAGAATTTATTCATATAACTTGTTGTTTGCCGGCTGTGGTACGAGTTGACGTTGCCGAACGTGCGTAGCACGTGAAGTTGCGGATGTGCTTAGCACGTGACAATATCGTGTTATCTTATAATATATCCCTTTATTTCCCAAGCTTTTTCATCAATTAAGTTTTGTATCATTTCTTTGTTAATTGTTATTGCAATATGGCAACAGTGCAAAAGAAAGAGTCTCGGATCAATTGCATGTCATATTTGTCGAATGCCTTTATAAACCATCAATATATATGTTATGACTTTTCATATGGTAACACCACAAAATCAATTACAAATTTTATTCAAGTAAAATTTCAAAAAACAACTACAGTTGATTATGGGTATACAATAACTGAGTTATATATGCATGTGGTTATACTTTACAAATTTAACTATGCAGTACGTTCAACTCGACATACCATGATTGAAAAAGAAAGTTTAATTTATTCTATGCAAATTTATTTGTTGAAACGACATTTTCATTGTACGAATTTATGATCGTAGTTTTATGATGGTAGGAGAATTAGGATTGGTCAGAAATACATCACAGTAAATATGCTTTCGAAATCCAACTACTATAATATTTCAGGTCCTAAAAAGTCTTAAGAAATTTCGGAGCAACACAGTTATCGTTGCAGATCTGCTAATATCCAACATATGACTTGTGATAGATGCAAATGAACAAAATGTTCTGCAATGAGCTCTAGGCAACAATTTTTGCATGGAAAATGTTGAACAAATCATAAGTCGTAGTAAATTCTTGAAGTGGAGAGACCAACGTACAACAGTTGAATAAAATTCAACATCCCAGTGGGCAAATCGACGTCGAATCGACGTCGAACTGACGTCGAAACTGACGTCGAAAACGCAAATCGAATCGACGTTGTTTTATCGACGTCGAATCGACGTCGGCTTCCTTACATTTCTTAATATAAATGTTATTGTCCGACATTAAACTTTCAATAAGGCCATAGATAGAAAATTTTATTAATAGTAACGTTTCGTCTTTTAACTTAAGAAATGTATCAATATACATAGGAAGTTTGAAAACATGAATACTAATTATACGATATTTACAGAGTGTTAGGCTACAAAGTGTGATGATGATTGATGACAATGTGGTGAGATTTTGTGTGTTAAGCGATATAGTGGGTTTAAAGTAAATGGTTTGAACCCGGGAGTATCGTTACATGTTTGTAAATGTCGATCGTCCAGGTTGGTATAGTCCTGAGAAGGACTGTTTTTGTTGTTGTTGACTGACGATTCGACAACCTTAGCGGTAGTCAAAATGAAACAACAACAAAAACAGTTCTTCAACAACAACAACAACAACAACAGTCAACAACAACAAAAACAGTCCTTCTCAGGACTATACCAACCTGGACGATCGACATTTACAAACATGTATAGTGGGTTTAAATGGAGAATCTCATTTCAGTCAAATGATGTCTTAAATTTAAAGACTAAATATTACAATTAATAAAACCTTCTATACATGGCCTTATGGAAAGTTTTATGTTGGGCAATAACATTTATATTAAGACTTCGTTCTCCCTCTGGCAAATCCATAGTCTAAGTATTTCCCGACAATTGTTACACACGCAGAATATTTCTCACGTTTGTTTATTAAAATTTCATTGGCTTGGCCATACATTATGAACATAGTATGCGCATGCATGACGATGATCAAACGGTAAAACAATTAAATAAAATATCCTTCATACCTATGGGTTGAATTAGTGTTTGAGACTATTTATTTCACGAACTTGACTTTCAATCTCCGCCAATTTCAGTTTTCAATCTTTCTGGTTTACTTTATATTTGAGTCAAGCGCATTCCAGATATGTTAGCCAGTTCTCTCGCGGTGTCTTTTGAAAGCTGTTTCTGTAAAAACAACATTAAAATTGTCGTAAGATAAAACTGAAATAACTATCTAGCTCATTGTTTTTTCTAAAGATAATGAACATGCATTAAATGGTTTCATAACAATCTTTGTCAACAGTATAAGTCATATTCACTGTGTATGGTAAACGACTTACATATTGGCTATTGCTGAGCAAACAGACAATGTAAATTGATGCATTTGTTGGTGCTGTCTTAGCCTTCAAGACATGAATACCAACAGAATGTTCTCTTTTAAGCTGCGGCATTGGCACCTCAATAATTAGGGATCACGAAATCATAAGATGCATAGATGAATGTTATCCCTCTATCTTATCAAACTGGGGATGTTGTAAAACAGAAATTCCACAAATAACCCAAATGGAAATAAAACTGCTGTATTTTGGTTTCATTTCAAAACCTTTGCCAGGCAGTCAATACAACAGTTTGATTTGTAACTTGATTTTAACTTAAATTTGAATTAAAATGATGCACTTTTTACAGATTTTGTTCTATTCTATCCCAGTTCATAAAATATGCTTGATAAATTTACACCACAAGGCCAAGTATGAAGGATTGGTGAAAGTTTTGCAAAACTAGTGACGTTTATGAAACTGAAATAACTTGATTGATGGTCAGCCAAGTTTGCATATAGTATTGCATAGCATCTTTTAAAATCAGCCGACAAGGTAAATTCAACAATAAATTCTCATGTTACAACTAGCTAATTTGCCAAGTAAATGCCTCTGAAACAAAATAACCATTTGGGGCAACACACCCAAAATCAACAATAAAATTTATTTCAAAATACAGCACACCCCTTCCCACAAAGCCCTTCTACATAATCATCATACATCATTACTGTTTTAGTGCATAATTCTTCATGCAATAAAGAAATACAACCTTACCTAAACATCATGTTGGTCTATGGCCACACAATGCTTTCCATTTATGATAAATATTTTTTAGGTTCTAGAAAGCGACAAATTACACAGAACGAAAAATATTCAATTGAAGTTTTCAATAAACATGAATATAAACAATTTGGGAGGAATCGATATTGACATATACGTAATTATTTTATGCTTTATCCCTTGTCGACCGTATTCATGGGTATTACATGAATACGTTAGCAATTATATAAAAGCAATGAAAATTAAATTTGCCACAAACCTGTGACATAAGATGAAGCTTAGTTGTCCTTTCTTGTTGTTCCATTGCTGGCAATACTTGTTCTTCATGAGTCAGCAATTATCAAAAACACATATGCATAAATTTGCCTTAAGTGAGCACATAAGCATGAAATAAATATTGCATAGACTTTCAAAAATTACTTACTTGAACTAACATCTTGTGATGAGATTTAAAGCTATGGTTTAAAGGAATGTGCACTTCGCCTGGTTTTAGTAAAGGGGGTGAAGGAGAGGAACCAATTAGTTGCCCTGCAAAATACTTATATGAAAGATTTTTATATGCAGTGCGGTGTTTGAAATTGAATGAAGATATGATCTTCGCACTTTGCTGGACAATTTAAGCAATTGTCTCATTAACCTGAAAAATTCAGGTGACTCACAATGACAAACAATGAAGCAAATGCAATGAAGCAAAAGCAAGTGATTTTTTCAGATTCAGTAAACTTCCAAATGCATCAGTCAATTATGGCATATAAGTAAAAGAATTTATTAAAACAAGGTGCAACAACACTGCAAAAATCACCATCAAAATCTACTTTAAAGCAGTGGCGGATACAGGCCAATCGTTTACCTCCCTCAAATGGTTGCGAAACTTTGCCTTAATGATGCTATTATTTTAAGTTCCTTGTTTTCATGTTTGATGTTTGATTGTTGTTAATGACTATACGAACTTTAATCTTGTGTTATCCATAGCAAATCTGTCGATAACTTCTGACGTTTCGGGCACAATTTCTTGATGAACTCTCATCATGGCCAAACCGTTTAGACGCTCTGAAACCATCGTACTTCGCTTATAATTTTTCAGTTCGCGCAAAACTGAGAAAGAGCGTTCGCATTCGCAAGATGTGATAGTAAGGATTCCAAGAATACGAAGAATAATTTTGATGTTTTCAAAGCCTTCAAATTTTAAAGCTTTTAAAGTTGCTGAAATTGAGTCTGGAATGGTTCCTTCGTAATCAACCCAATAAGTTTCCCAAAGCAAAATCTCTGAGTCCAAAGCCAATGGATTGGGTAGGTCATCGTGATAAAAATTGGAAACAACTTTGAATTTTTCTTTCCAATTCATGCCATTGTTAAGAAGAGAAATCATTTTATATGGTACAATGCTAAGCCCATTGTACACATTAACGCTATCAGTATTGAAACGAGCTTTCAACGCAGAGTTTAGGTGGTCAACAAGTGGAATAGAAAAAAAATTCTTTTATAGTACTAAGATGTAGTTTTATAGGGGACATTAGCTCGTGTTGTCTGTCTTCCCACTGTCCTTGGCTTTGCTTCATCAATATCTAATTCTCAGCCAGTGCGAGAGACTCTTCATACCATGTATCGTGATACTTATCAATGGAATTCCTAACATTAACAACAAAAGTTTTCAACGATGTAATAAGATGTAAACCATCCATAATGTCAATACTCTTCCCTTGAAGAAGCTGAGTAACACCAATTGTAGAATCAAACACATTTCTACAAATAACCAGGGCAACAACAAAATCAAACTTTTCCAAAAGATCAAGAAGTTCAGAGGCATCCGAAGAAACATTGAGACTGTGATCTTTATCTACATTTTTCTTCATTTCTCTCAACGTTTTAAAAACAGGAATAAGAAGCTGCTGGAAAGTATCTAAGCCGTCGATTCTCTCAACCCACCTATTTCGACACACATCTATTAATTTCTTTTTCCTACCGACTGATAAAGAACAATGAAGGTCAATATTCTTTTCTAAAGGTATTTGTCGTGTAGGGGAAATATTAAAAAAATCAGAAACTTTTTTAACTCTATTGAGCATCGATTTTACATCCATTATATTAATAGACTCACAAATCGCTAAATTTAATCTGTGGCTGTAGCAATGGGTAAAAAGAGCCTTATCATTCAAACGACGCAAATGAGCAGCCATCCCATTAATATGACCAGCAACAGCACCTGCCCCATCATATCCCTGTCCTCTACAATCAGCAATAGAAAGACCAAGGTTGCCTAAAGCATCAAGAACAACCTTAGCAAGCTGCTCACCTTTTAAGCCCCATTTACAAGGAAGAAATCCAACAAACTCCTCCCTAATATCCATATTTTGGTCGATAAAGCATAAAACAAGAGACATCTGTTCAGTATTTGAGATGTCTTGAGCCTCATCAGCAATTACAGAGTAGAACCTGCTTGCTTTTAAGTCAGAAATGATTTTATCTGTTATTACTTCACCACAGCATTTAATAAGCTTCTTCTGGGAAGTTTTAGAAATATACGTCTGATTCCTACCACATGAATTCAGATGGTCCTCTAACACCTTGTCCCCAGCACGCACTCTAAAATTAAGAAGTTCAACAAAATTCCCAACACCACCTGCAGAAAAATTACCAGTTTCAGGATGATAGTGCCCATCATCACGATGACCTCTAAAGGCTAAGCCCAAACGACCACATGTTAAGACCGTATCGGTAATTGAACTTAATTTAGCCCGTTACCTTCAACTTCTTTCTTAACCTTAGAATCAATAATAACATTAATGCCTTTTGTTTTACCAGACATGTTAGATTTGAAGGCAGAATAAACTGGAAAAGTAGAAGCATGCAAACCATTCAAACCATGAAAACTCATTTTGCCATCACTCTCTTTGCCATCATGACGTTTTAGCATTTTGGATGCATCTGTCCAACGACGAAGTGGCTGAGAGAATAGGTTGGAAATTTTGAGGCCTTATCTTTAAAATTATCACCAAAAAGGACACATGGCAAACAAAAACCCCCATCCAAGGATGGAGAATAACATAACCATTCATACCTTTCTAACCAATCATAACGAAAAGATCTTCCATTCGTTTTTGGGAATTCAAAATTTTCATCTGGTCTATAAACATTTACTATGAGATTGTAAATTTCCCCATCGCTCATGCCTTTTCTTTTTTCTCTGAAAGTTGCAACATCAAAATTAAGGGAATATGACAGTCAACAAGAGAAGAAGCCTCACTAAATGACACTATTTTATCAGAAGGGGGTTTTTTGTAGCAAGTTGCATCAAGAGAAGAAGACTTGTCAATAGATAAGGTGCTAAGGCTAGACTTATCAGTTTTAAAATTACTGTTAGAAGGTTTATCAATGCAAGACAGCTGGAAGAATCGCTTAATATCTTGGTGTTCTTGTAGAGAAGAGTTGTCAGAATGCTTGGCTTTTGTTACACACTTTATGTTTTCATTTTTGTTGAGCAAAGAAGAGGAACATAATGGTTTGGCAAAAGCTCTCAGACTTAACCTTGCCTTCATAGCAGAATAATATGTGAACAGCAACATCCTTCACAATTGCTTCATTTGCCAAGCGAGGGTTTACATGTCTATTAAAAGTAATTTGGGTCTTATGTCCCCACAATCTGGATAATAAGTAAATATTTCATTACCAATAACTGATGATAAGCCCAGAATACACAAGAAAGGTGACCAGGTACCATCATAACAATTTAAAATAGCTTCTTGCTTAATTAAATCCTCATTCTTTAAGCGGAATCTAAACATGAGGCCGATACTGATAATGGCAAAAGATTAACAAGACTAAGGTCATGGTGCTCAGTCACTGCCAAAGAAAATGCAGGATGTTTATTGTAAAAATCACAATGAAGGTATAGCTCAAGGGAAGTCAGTATTCTTAAAATACTTACTAAGCTGTTGTCTCCTACAAGCAGCAAAGATACTGAGCTGTAAAGACAATTCCCTGATGCTTGAGATCTACAAGGTTCAAAATAATCCCTCTTTAGTTTAAATTTCTTTTGTGTTGTACTAAACAGCGTAACTTTAAATATTAAACATCCAATAATGTTATATTACGTATTTAAAAACAGCTAAGCACATGTAACATTGCCATATAAAGTTATTCATTCAGATTCTTAATTTTCCTTACATAAATAGTATACCAGTATTTCAGTTAAATTTATAAGTTATTATTCGCTTATTTAATTATTCGAATAAAATACAAACTTCGATTGGTAAACGAAGGATTTCTGCACTGGCAAGTAATGCAAAATATAAGAATTACAAAACATCAGATATTGACAAGCTTATTAAAAATTCAGATAAAGCATCGTAATCGGACAGAAGTAGAATAAAAGCTAAATTGAACAGCCATATAAACACATCGTTACCTGATTGCAGTGTAGATCTTTCCCTGCGATTTCATACTGCTTGGAATATATGTCTCAGCGACAATATGCCGGTACAGTGAATTGCCCAGTTTTGATCGAAGCAAGTAAGATGAACATCTTGGCTTTGAATTCAACTGCCCGCGTAGCTCGTTGTACAGAAGCAACAGAGCTTCTTTGTTGTTGCTGTTCATTGCTTCTTGGGCTTCTAGAAAACAATCTCTATCCATTTTCAGAAGAAATTGCGTGCGGTAAATGTAACGATACTAGTATCTCGAAAGTCGAAAGTCGAAAATAGTGAGGTACGCTTGCTGTACTTGAGGGAGTTGATAAAATGCACCAATAAAATGCACTGTTAGAATAAACATGGAACATCGTAACCAATCATAGACATTATTCCAAACAAAGTTCAAGGTCAAAAACCAGCTAGTACCTCAAAATATTCTCCTTATGCCTCAAAATTTTCCTTGGTACCTCAAAATTTCCTCAAGTCCCTCAGAAACCATGGTAACTGCAAGTTTTAGCCAATCAAAATGCCCATTCAAGCTTGGGTACCTCAGTAGCCGCTGACAAGTACCTCAAAAAAATCGCTTTGCTTCAAAAGGCAAACTATAAAAACTGGAATCAGATTTGTGTATTTTGCGATCAGATACTGAACGCTGATCGCAAATAGTAACTTAACTCAGTTAACTGGGCTAAAACCTATGATCTCAATTATTACGTAATTCTTTGAAAATTTTATGTACCTCGCGTGAGGGTCTTGAGGTACCCTAGATCCGCCACTGACTTTAAAGTACAGAGCACACCTCTGTCGACATAGCATCTCTACACACACTATCTTACATTCATTGGTGTTTTAACACATACTATTTCTTGCTTCAAAGGAAGACAACCTTACCTACACATCTGGGAATTTAATCCATATATATATATATATATATATACAAAGTGTATAACAATGTGCCCTCCCGGCTATCACCATAGTAAAATGATGACTCCTGCACTTGGGACACAGGACGCTGGAATATATATATATATATACTATGATAATGATAAGGATTCTTTGGATTTGTTTTAAATTTTTATTAAGCTTTCAACTCGGTGCTTCGAGCCTTCGTCAGAATGTGACAATATATTATTTACAAAGATTTTGTAGGCGTTTGGAGCGTCTGACGAAGGCTCGAAGCACCGAGTTGAAAGCTTAATAAAAATTTAAAACAAATCCAGAGAATCCTTATCATTATCATAATATGCCTGGGTTACCAATTTTCAAATATATATATACTATATTGGCTTGCGCAGTTTGAGCGCTCTCGGATTGCGTAGAGAGTCTCATAAAGAGACGTTCACCGCATTCGCTTTATGCAATGCTCACCTATATAGCTTTGAGCGCTCTGGTGACTCTACAATACAATCCATGCAATGTGTAACCGTACGTCCTGTGTCCCAAGTGCAGGAGTCACCATTTTACTATGGTGATAGCCGGGAGGGCACATTGTTATACACTTTGTATACTATATATATATATATATTGCTGGAATATATGTATATAAATATATAAAAACTACAATTTCATCCCGACAAGCCTGTTTCGTGATTTCTCACTCTTCAGGGGATAATGGGAACAGGCTTGTCGGGATGAAATTGTAGTTTTTGTATATTTTCTTCTTCTCATCAATATTTACGCTCTGCTCTTAAGCATCGAGCACTGTACTTACGGAGATTCAAATAAACAAAACTTCCTATAAATATATATATATATATATATATATATTCCAGCAATCCCTGACTATTCTTGGAGTTGGTGATATAATAGTTTTGACAGACGCTGTAAAGAAAACAAATTATTTTTCTTTATATTATTTGGCTGCTTTGAATAAACCATTTCAAGATTTTAAAAGTAAGCCTTTCAGCCTTTATAATTGCATTATAAGAGGTAATAGTGAATGTCAGTGATACTCAAACAATATAATAAACCAGAAGTCTGCGTTAAAGTATAATGGTTTATCAGCACATATATGTGTGCAAACTCTTAAATTGCCTATAAATTAATTAAATATAATAGTGATAACGTGAATATATTAGGAAAACATATAACCACCATATTGTCGATGTTGAATCGTTGACTCCAATTAAACAATAGGTATCACTAATCACTCTAACAATTAATGCTCTACGTAAAAACATCAACAAACATCCAAATACAAAAATACGAAATTTGTCTCCTCGATCTTTGGAATTTTATAACACGTGTTCTGCTACATGGCCCAATCAGCGGGCAAATGTTCGGTTAAGAAAGATTAGTAGGCTATCGTGCGAAGGCTTTCGTCTCACGTGCATCTGGCTTTCTCAATAATGATGAATATATAGTATTAACTATAAAGATAATGCTTATCTATCACTTGACCCGGTCCGACGGTAATCGGTCACTATTTTAACGGTTTCATTTTATACTACTAACATGCCCGGTGTTAAATATTTTGAAATATTGCGATGTATAATTACCAATTTATACGTTTGTTGCCACAAAAAACATGCCATATAACAAATTTTATAATGACAAAATTAAAATGCTACCCAACGCAATGCACAAGTTTCTTTTTGAGTTAAAAACATGGCAAAATAGACATCGTCGTGATTTCGACGCGTTTTCAACGAAAATTGCAAACTTCGTTTCACACGTCGAAAAATGACGTCGAAATAGAGTCAAAACAACGACGTCGATTGAGCGTCAGTATTTCGACGTGGAAAGAACGTCGAAATTACGTCGATCGACGTCGCGACGTCATTTCTACTCGATTTCGACGGCGATCCGACTTTGATTGCCCACTGGGATTTCTCTCGTTGGTCTTTGTATTTGATATTATGAAATTGCCATATTGACGTACTTATAGATAGCCATTATCGACGCCGAAATTTAGTTTCAGTTCTCCTTTTTACTCATCAGTGTGCCAATGATGTGTGCTTAGGTTATTTTTAAATTTGCTCTGGCGCCTACCTCAAAACAAAACAGGCTTTGTTTTTTTGGCTTTGTTTTAGCTACGAATAATGATCATAAATGCCCACAAGGACACATTTTCCGTGTTGTGTTGAATGCATTGTTAACCAAATCATTTCTTTTGTAGTCAAGTCTGGTGCAAATGATTGAAAAATGACTGATCTTTTCCTCTTTGGATTCACTGGCGTAACCAGCCGACAAGTTTGGTCGTGTTGTGTAAATGCTCCAGTGGTTATCAATTTAAAAACAATGTGTTTCTAAAAAATTAAATAATGCTAATGCTTGAAATGTACATAGCACGACCAACTTGTGGGAGGGGGCTGGCTAGCTCTTATTTGTGTTCATAATGTTTCGTATATTGATAACATGTACTTGCGAAGTGTATTTATTTCGCTTTGCTTTTGTTTCTATCACAAGAACAAAGTTAATTAACTTCTATAACTGCATTTCACCGCCATACCATTCAAAGGGAAGACCAAAAACTCATGTAAAAACAAAATCAGTGCTGCTTTTCTTACCTGATTCGTTAGTATCTAGGCAATATCTGACATATAAATATTTGTATTTGTGTTAATTTTTTGGTGTTTTTCACCATTTAAAATATTCGTACCATTCGCTTTGGATATACAGAAGGGAGTATGTAGTCGTTAGTTAAATTCAATAACAATTAAAACTTTAGACACAAGTGTTAAGGAAACTAATTTTGTCGTATTGAGATCTTGGCAGTACAAAGCAATTTTAATCGTGTTTATAGATTCCTGAGAAATTCCTTCACCAAATCGCCTTCGCTATTTCTTGCTCTCCAAATTAGCAGTATACGAATTAATTTTTGCGCTAGGAGATTAAAAATGAACAGTTTGCTGTTTAAAATTGCAGACTCAATGTTTAACTTAAGAGGACATATTTCGAATGATCTCTTAACGATGACTTGATATACGAAATTTTTGCATTTGACTTTCAACCAATCTCTTAGTACATGCTAAACAATGACGTTCGCCCACGCCGTCTGGATGCCAAAATGTTATTGATTAAATATTCTTTAGTATAAGACCTCCAACATGACTGACGTGAAAATTAAAAAGAATATTCAATTCTGGGCTCCCTGTTAAATTAACTTTGTTCATGTTTGATGCTTCCCTGTGGTTATCAGTTTGTAAGTAAAGTATTGAAGTATGAACTGAGTGATAGCCAAATCATTACCGGCAATATTTCGACGTTTGGAATTCGTATGTCGTCAAATTATTCGGAATGTTCAAAATTTAAAGATATTTATGCCTACTTAAAAACACTTTACTCACAAAGATCCTTATTATTCATTTTCTGTGTTTGAAATAGAGCGATAATTGGGGTCCTTAAAATTTTTTTATGTTATTTTTATAAGCTATTAAGCTTTTACAATTTAAACGGCACATCTTGAAAGCGCCAAAAAAATCGTTATCCAATAAACTGAGATCAGGGGCGAAAGTAGAACGCAAAAAGTGGGGAGGGGTGTGTAAATATTCATTATTAAGCATTGCCCCAATGATACTTCTATCTAAACATTTTAAAAACTGCTGTCAACATGTGATGCTCAAAAATAAGAACTTTATTCGAAAGTCAATGTATAGCTGTAATGTAGCCGTCTTCGAACTGGTAAAAATTGTTTATATTATTCCTATAAAAGATCTTAATTGCTATATCGCGACTCTCTTCATATTTAAAAGATCGCACCATAGTTTTTGACTCGTCAACTCAACATGCCTATACTATAATGTATGGCAACTATATTCATAGTATCGATATTGTCGTGTTTTGGATCAACTGTGTCATCTTTGCGGTTTGACATTTGACATAACCTGTATAAAAACGATTATTGTCTTTAACGATTCTGAGTTCATACTTTGCAAACATAAAATAACTACCAAATTTTAATTAGAAAAGCTTTCGATAAACAACTGCAGTGTTAAGCTATGTGGAAAAATTTAACAATTATAAATCACATTCAATTAAATATCACAAATATCATACCACTTGCTGAAATGAAAAGGAAAGCTAAAAAGCTTTGTTGAAACGTCGCTTTCACTGCATAAATTTATGATCGTATATGTTGCTAGCGGATCCATTATGGTTGCAAATATCAGCTAATGTCCAAAACTTACTTTACTTGTGTCACATAAAAAGCAATAAAATAGCTCCACAATTAATTTTAGTAAACGATCTGTCATTCTGCACGTCCAGCAAAAAATTCGAAAATTGATATAATAGTCATGTAGTAATTCTTGACGTGGAACGATCGATGCTAACAATTGTGCGATTCAAAATTTTCAAAGTTTCTTTGTAATTTATGTTCGTAAAACGTTGTCCTGAAGTTTCCATATAGACGTACTTTATAGAAAGCCATTATCGATGCCGACATTCCCAATATCGTAAAAATTTCCTTATCACGACCTCTATCAAGTTGACAATAACTTCAGCGTTGTCATCGCGACAACAATGTACGAGACCGTGGACAGACATATTCCATTTTCCAGGTGCTTCGATTGATTAAAAACTATTGATTAAAAAACTAGTGAATTCGCTGTAAGTTTCTTCTTTGCTTGGCAACGTCGATTGCTGTGAAATGTGACGACGAATACAAACGTTGAAAATATTTTTCTTCAGTATAACTAGCCAAGTATTTATTATTTATAAAATTTTCTGAGTGTAAAGAACCATAAATTCGTGACATCTTTAATAACTTGGCAATAAATATATAATGATCATACATTATAATTGTTTACAGCCTATGATCGATACTTCATAAATTTTTAAATGTACGTTACTCTACGATGGCCTTTATCCCTTATTTTACTTTGAGATTTCTCTAGTTTTTCAATGGTATGTGCTTGGACATAATAACATTTAAATGTTGTTAGACAAGGTCTTTATTGTTTATAGTTGTTGGATAAAGCATTATGCTATTTTTTGTGTTGTTTAATATACAAACTTGCTCAGACGCCCACGTCAATGATACAGGTTTTGTTTGCTTTGTTGGGTTTCCTTCACTACAATGATAATCATACAAGCCCACAAGTCAACACATAGGCGTGTTGTGTGAAAGCATTGCAGCCATCACAGTTCATTTTGTGGCGAGTGAGTTCTCGCGAATATGCTACATATATCTGAAATATGAGTTCCCAGGCGTTAAAGGAACTCCACCCTCCATAATGTTGGTCCGTTAAAAGTTCCATTTTTATGCAAAAGTTACTATATTTTGAAATTTTTACATCAGCTATTTTATTTTTGACAGAATCGCGTCTTCAAGTGCGCTATTTGAGCTGTTTTGAGGTTTAGCAGCGTGTGCACAGAAAGCGTCAGCGGAAATTATTTTGACGTCATATCGTCAAAACGACTTGGAGTTGAGTTTACAACAAAGTAAAATAATAACGCACAGCCTAGCACAAAAAACAAAACAATCGCTTATAATGGCTTTTTTGGGAGAACCTCGGCCTAATTCACCAATCGATAGTGAAATGGAAGACAATCCAACAAACAATATTAGGCCATATCCGCCCACTGACTGTGACATACACACTCTACAACATACCTAATTTTAGTGTACAGTGATAAAAAAATCTCTAAAATTATGGAGGAATATTTTTATGAGTTTGTTCTTGCCTTGCTAACTTTTGTAAAAAAATGTGCTGTGATAAAAGGGTCTTAAAATTTGGTATACTATCCAAACTGTGCGCGCTACTATGAAAAAGCTTTTTCATCATGAATGTAAATACTATGTTTGTTTATGTTCTAGCACTTCTGTTACCATCACTGATCAAAGAATAAACTGAGAAACTGAAAGACATAAACATATGTTCGCCTGGTAGAGTCATGTTTTCGTCTACTAAATAGTTTGTTGTTCTATAATTTATTTCACTCTTAGAGACTGATTCCTCAAACCTCTGCGGACTACGCAAAATAAACCTTTTTGGTCAAAATGCCACCGGATAAAAGAATTAAAAAATTCTTAAGTTAGCGAAAACTTCTTTCATGTCTTTCACCTTTTTATGCAAACATCCATGTCATCTATATTCCAGACAAAGAAAAATGCGTCAGTGCTTGCACGGCAACACTTTGAGAAGCTTCAAATTCGTGAATCGAGATTTCTAGAATGGCAAGAATTTCATCAACACGTTAAATTTTCCTCAAATTCCGATGTCGAGCTGCACACATTTTCTGTATCTGGCTTTTTCCAAAAGATAATTGCTGCTTTTGTTGGTTTTGTCTCCTTGGAGATTTCAAAATTTAATAACATTATAATTAGCCTGCTCCCAGCACACCTATAACGTCAACTGCTGCTAAACCATCAGTTCTAAACTAACAAGCGAGCTGTTCGCAAGGATTTAAACATCCTGGTTGAGTCAGGTTAACTAAGACGCTGGTCGTCAAAATCAAAAACTAGATAATAATGGAAAAAATATTACGTCTTTCTTGTGTTTTCCTCCTTGGTGTCCTTTTTCAGCTGGTCGCCCAAGGTAGCAAATTTATTTTTTCTTATATTTCTGGCTAAATAATTATTTTAGTGTTGAAATTAGTTATACGAAGAGGCGTTGCTTCAATCATTTATATCAATCAATTTTTATTGTTCAAACGTCATCCATAATCCAAACAACTTAAGAACAAACGTGTGTACTATAAATGTGCAGTTAGTTTATTAATCAGAGTTTAGTTTTACCAATCAAAAACGAATTTGTGATTTATTGCTATGATGCTCTCAAACTCTATCAACATTTTGTTCATATACAATTTTTAAGTGCACGATATTAAAATAAAAAATCAGGTACATTTAGTCTTCAATAAATGTTTCCATTTTAAAAAAATTTTTGGTCTGTTGATTCTTGCTAAGTGATAGAAATATTCTTGCTACATCGACTGTCAAAAAATGGGATTTTTAACTCAGCTTTCATGTCAGTTATAGTGTATAATTTTTTGAATGTTGACGCTTCAATAAATGTCGTTTGAATTTTTCATAATGACCAACACTTTTCTTCTCATTTCCTATAAGTGGCTTTTTATACAAAGTTCTTGCTCATCCTCCGAGACAACACAATCTTACACAATGCCATATCCTGTTAATCCCTTTGAAACAACATTCTTGATATACTAAACTTTGAGAAGAATCGACAGCTAAACTGTACACTGTACACCGATTATTCGAGGCTGTAGACATGATCGCACGACACTTATTTTAATTGGAGTTAGTCAAAACTTTTCGATAGCAAGCCAGCTAATGTCACAATTTGTTTTGTCTTACCTGGTTTCATTGCTATTTCTTTGTTACCTATGCAAGAGCGTGGTAAATAGTGCGGTGCTAAATGTAAGGCAGCGCAACTATGCTCTTGATGAACCAGTCACTTATCGAAACAATTTTTTTTAAGTACTATTGACGATAGATTTCGAGCGGGAATACTTTTTTTCTGTGGTTGTTCATCGGGTTTGTTCTTTGTTAGATCGGAATGAAAATTAAATCGTTTACATAAATAGTGACGTCAAGTAATATTATTCAAAGGGAAAGTCGCTTGATTTTGTTTTGTCTAAACGGATACGACAGTATCCATGCAATGTCTAATCTGTATAATTGTATTCAATTTTTTTTAGCATTCTGTATTTCTAATTTTTATACCATTCCATTCGCTTAATCGTTTGAAAGATAAAAAAAATATACTGGTAAATTTCAAACACCAATTTCGTCGTCATATTTTACGTCTTTGGAAGAACAAAACAATTTTGTCTGGTCTAAAAGTGACTATAAAGTCTCTTGCAAAAATATCATTCACTTTCTTTTGCTTTACGAAGTATGCCAATAAATTTCAGAAGAAGGAAAGAACAATTTGCGGCTCAAACTTTCAAATTCATGATAAATTCAACAGGGTATTTTTGATGACTTTGTCGCCAAATTATTCCAACAAAAAGTTTTAAACTTTAATGAGTGTTCACACTTAAAATGCACTTTACTGACAAAGATCTTTGATTGCTCGTTTTCTGCAGTTAAGCGGCTTAGCTAGTAATAACAAGCGTCCTAAAAATAAATAATTTGCTTTGTTTTTAGTCTACGTTTAGTCCAATTTAACTGACACATTATGAAAGCACAAAAATATCCCATCTTCCAATAGATGACTTGCCTTGTTTACGTTATTTGCTGGCAGGCAGATTTAGTCGATTGCTTTTGAATCATACTAGCAATAATGATTAACCTCTCTTGGGATGAATCTGCCTGCTTGCAAAACGTAAAGAAGGCAAGTCATCTATAAAAAGAAAATTTAACGATTTTCCATTTCACCTTATATGCTTAAGTTGTCGCTAATTATACTTTTACATGTAATGATTGTAATGGTGTTTAGAAGCCTTGCGCTTTGAAATATTATATGTAGTTCAAAAACTGGGAGACATTCTATTGTTTCATGCTTTTTTTCCATAAATTTTGATAAGTTTATAGAATATTTATGTAAAAAGTAGCACTTTCTAGTTCGTTCACTGAACGTTTTGCTCAATGAGTTAAGAATGTTTTACTGCATGTTGATCTCATTATTCGGCACGGTTTAACACAATTTGAGGAAAGGTGCAATTGAACTTTTATACGAAGATTATATCACTATCAGGTAACATTAGAGGTTTGTTTATCTTTATCAATGAGTTTTTGGAGAAGATATTTTAATTTGAATTGCAATTTGACATTTGACAAAGACTGCAAGAATTAACGAAGTCAAGTGTCATATAGCTATTGGTCACCAAAATAATCTTTAAATGTTCAATTTGTTTAAAACAGTAGGAAATATATGCCTTTCATTGACAAATTCATTTGACTTGACTTGAGTCGGTTTTATGAACAAATTTATCTCAATGTATCAGAAAAATTTTCTTTCATAAAATATGCGATACGATTATTTGACCACCAAATGTTTGTCTCTTTGTTATAGCAACACTGTGAGGAGTTTATTTTTCGATGAAAGTTTTTTTTTGTTTCATGAAGTATGCGAATATTGATTTCAATTCTGTCCGATTCAAAACATCTTTGTCTTTTTTACAGGTAATGCGCAAAGCGGAAATGGTAGTGAACTAACAGGTATGAAAGACATTCCTTGAAGATTTGCCTGCAATTATTCCGTATCTTTTTTCATGCGATTTGGCCAATATTTGATATCTTGTTTCTGTCTTTTAAACGTAAACCTTAAAATGAGTTGTTTTTTTAAAATCTTACGAATTTTTACTGTTCAGACAAGCTTCAACTTGATTTTACCTCCATATATAACAGGATTTTATTTTTATGTTGATAGCAATTTGAAGAGCAATCTTTGAACCTGTTTCGAATTGCATCTACGTTTATTACAACTCGTCGAATTTTATCAAAACAGTAAAGCTTAAAAACCAGTAGCTACTGAACATTTATAACTATATAAATCCTGACAGATTTTTTTCGAATACACTTCTAAGCACGACCAGAATGTTCTGCCGAAGAGTTGATTAACAGGAAGTGCTAGGACATTTGGTCCACGACTCTTTGCGAAATGTTTGTTCACTGTACTTGCGAGATTTTAGAAGGGCCAGGTGGCTCAGCTTTCCTTATTAGATTCTATGTCCGTTTGGGTCCCTTTTACAAGATTAATTCTTCAAGATTACATAATTATATACTCTCTAATTGTATATACTAGCTACGTTCTGTAAGCTACATTTTACATATCTACTGTAATGTATTTGTTTTTAATTTTGAAAAGCGGCTTTCTAGTAAAGTTGGATCCAATGTAAATTGAAAAATAGGTCTTCATAGCCGGAGTGAACGCCTTTTATGCATCTTGTTTTTTTAAAATTATCAGACCAATAAACAAACTTGTTAAGATAGCTAAATAGTTAATTTAGTAATCTTTCAAAAGCTTATTTCTTTCAACAGGCAGTCTTATAAATGCATCAACCCATGATATATTATCAGTACAGAATTTTATGACATGTGTACGACGTGATATTCCTGGCTTATTATTCTATATGAGAGGAAGAACGTTTAATGAAATTTTTGTAAGTAAATTATATTATATTTTAAAAGTGCTACAAAAACATGGAACCATCAGTGGAAGTAATTGTAAATTTTTATCTGAGTTGGCAGTTGTTATTTCTGCTATGTATAGTATTTCACTTCGCAGTGAGCGTTCAGTAGAAGCGGCCATTACACCAAGCGGCAATTACACAAAGACCGAAAATAATTTGAGCAATATGTTCTATTTCAGATTTGTCCAAATGGCTTAATCAGTTTAAGGGATCGGGTTTTCCAAAGCTGGCCTTACGTTATCGGAACATTGCCATCACAATTAAATTTTCCATTTCTTGCTCCTTATTGGACAAGAGTCGATCTCAACAGCTTTCGCATAGGCGAATCTAGAATTCGCTTTGCAAGTTTTAACAGGAATATTAGAAACCAAAACACCTCTGTTTTTGAGCAAGTGAATGATGATGTTAGAGAATTCACGGGAAACACTAGCTTTAGTGCCGAATGGGTAATGGTCATAACATGGGAAAACGTTGCACCGTTTAATGTTGGCAATCTTACGGAGGTAAGTCTGACGAATTACATCAAACGTATTGTCGTTTGCAATGTTCGACTACACTTTGCATCTGAAATTGCGATTTTGCTTTTTTGGAAGGCGTGGATTTTTACTTATTTTACAATGTTCTACGCAAATATATTTTACCAAAAGAGGTTTTGCATGCTCTTTTTATAAAACGTTTTTGGGTTGAGCTATCAAACAAAAATTAAAAAACTGCTCGCCTCGTATAAAAAAAGCACCTTGATCGTATAAATACATAAAATGTCTCGTAAAACCTGAATCAAGTCAATAGAAAAGACATTACCATACCTTTTTAGAGAAATACCTTCCAAGTTGTTATTCTATCAGACGAAACGAACAATTACGTCATCTATAATTATGGAGTAATAGATTGGGCTGCTGACGCTCCAAGGTATTTAACGTCTATTGCTTGTGCAGATGAAATCGACTAAAGCGTGAGAATCTAACGCAATGACGTTTTTTGCAGTCATCAGTTATTTATTAATACAGGGTTAAGAGTGGTTTTGACATAAGTATTTATTGTTACAACCCTTTCGGAGGTTTCGTTCTCATAAATAAGTGTTAAGTTTATTCAGTGCCTTCAAATACAGATAAAAAATTGTGGTGTTTTTTTTTTTGTGTAAACCATGACGACACTTGCACGCATTTCGACTACATAAACCACCTATTGGTATTTATAACTTTTTATTATAAAGTAGCTTTTTGCTCAAAGGGGAAACCTCAGGTTGGGTGATTTGATGTACTAAAGGTAGAATTTTATGAAATTATTGAATGGGATGATGACAATAACAAATGACAAGACCAGTTGAAGTTAAATGAGATGTATTGCAAGCAAAATGGATTATTTTTTTAAATATTGCTACGCACAGCTACTTTTTTTTCATCAAACTTTTTTCCAGAAAAATTACGACAATTTTTCATTTTTATCTGTAGTAGTTCACTGAGTCTGTTCAGAAATCAAGCTGGATTGCCAGTCATGGGATGGAATGCTGGGAGTGTTAATGGTGTTTTTAACGTCAATCAACAATACCAAAATTTGCCAGGGTGAGTGGCAGTTATATACATGATAGCTAGTGCACGAGCAATTAAAAGATTCTCCCAATGCAGTGAATGCACTCCTCAAGGAACTGCTAACTGTATGACTTTTATGTCACGTGGATGAGGAACAAGTTAAATTTTATTTCAATGATAGCTTATTATTTAAACTTGTTAAGTAAAGAATACAAGGCTATCTAATATAGGTTGTAGTTAATATAGGTTTTGGAAAATGGGTAGTTTTTCAGCAAACAGAAATTGTTGAAATTTATATGATTCCCAGCAAGCTGTGTTCTCTAATGCATGAGATCGAGGGAAACAATGTGTTTTTGTTAATCCGAGACGGAAATAATGGAGATTGTAGGGTAAACAAATCACCTTGTTTCTTGAGATTTCAGCCAATAAGTTTTTTACACACCAATTTTCAAAGAGATGATTGTTAACTGACAGTTAACAGACAACAACGTAAAGATACGAAATACTTACTCTCACAAAAGAATATATAAATTTAATAGTAAAAAACTATATTAGATTAAAGTCGGGCAAACTGCAATAGTCAAAATTGTGATTTTTGTATTGTTAATCGGTCGATGACGTGTTAACTCACTCTCGAGCTGCGTGCGAGGAAGCAAATGAATTTCTTTATGGGACACTGTCGACCAATGAAAAACGAACTTTGAAATTTAGTATATAATAATGTTTTTTTTGATACTTGGAATTATGCAGCGTTATAAGGGTATCAATTAATTTAAATATGTTGTAATCAATGAGTTGAATTCGACTAATTCTTTGTCAAACATTTTATTTAGCTCAGGAACTGTGAATGCCGAGAGTATTGAGGATGTCATGGGGAACTTAGGTTTGGGTCGATGGATATTCGACATGGGTGCGCCGATGACACCTTTTCCAGAATTACGATGTTTTCAATGGTTCGGGAGAAACCTCCCCGCGATACCTCGTTTCCAATCAAGATTTTTTTCATGTCCTGCTTTTCGTTTACTGGCATTTTTCAACAACTTTTTTGTTAGAGAAATTAATACTCAACCTAACGAACGGATTTGCTATGTCAGCGTCTTCCCCATCTTTGGACCAGCTGTCCGGTGCTGCTATGGAATTAACTTTTTCTCCAGTCTTATCACAGCACCCCCTCTTGCTGGCAGCGTGCTATCCCAAAATCCATTGTATCACATTACAGAAGACGTGGAAGGACATACAACCTGCTGCTTGGAATCAACTTTCAGAGATGTTTGTAATCTGTATTATGCGTTACGTCCTGTCCAGACCTCACGTGGTTTCTTGAAAAGTCGGGCGGGTAAGTAAACACCAACATACACACAAATTTTTAGAAAATGCGTAGTAATAGCTTATGTACTAGTATTAGCCAATAACGTGGAGAACCCTAAAATTCATCTTTAAGAAACAGTCGTTCTAATCTTACGACTGGACGAACGGTGTTTTTACATTGTTGGCAACAATTTGAAAAATCAAAGGTTTTTAGAATGGTGGACGCTTTTTGGGTATAATAGCTACTACAATAAAAAGTGAAGAACTATAGCTACAAAAAAAAAATAAAGTGTCGAAAGAAACTTTGAGCAAAGAAGGAATTGTTAAGAGAAGTGCCCAATGGGTTTCAAATACAATTTTACTATGCGTTCATTTCGCATTTTCTTTGCCTTAGAAGAAGGGATGACATCAACATTCAACTTTTCAATTTTGCACTTGGAATGTTTGAAAATCTTTAAAGTCTTTAAAATAAAATATATCTTTGCACTCACTCGTTCGGTTGTACGTAGCAATCCTCTCGTCAATGAAATCTTCGTGTGCTCACCGCGAAATCTTTAGAGCGCAAACAATAAACGAAGTGTAAGCCGTGAATGTAATTTATTGTTAAATTTAGCTTTTGGATTTGGTGATCCACATTTTCAAACTTTGGACCGAAGGAACTACACATTCAATGGCTGTGGTGACTTCGTGTTGGTAAACACTACAAACTCGGACGTTCAAATCCAGGTTCAGTTAAGGCAATCCACTGGTACTGATCGTGGAACAATATTCACTGGCGTTGCGATCAAGTACAATAATGTGCCTGCAATTCAAGTGAACTTAATACTTGGAGGTATATACAGTACAGTGAACAAGACTTAGCATATTGCAAAATTCGTACAAAATTTAACGGTGAAAAGCTAGGATCCATTTGTGCAAGCATTTGTGTGATGCAATAATGAGCACAGTGTGAAATAACAACAATTAGACGCGTGCATTGATTGGGCTATAGCTGAGTTTGCATTGACATGCGCACACTGATCTGAGATTAGTCAATCAAATCAATTAAGGAGAATTTACTTATAAAGCATGAATACATGTTAGTTCAAAAATTAAAACAATTTTTCGCGTCTACTCTCGCAAAGACGTTTTTGAGAACTCTTGAGCACGTTTAATCCTCAATCTTTAGTCTTGGGTTCCGCAGATCTGCTCTCAGGTTCTCCCAAAGATCTCTGCGGCTGCAAAAGCTTGTGCAAACATAGAAAACAATTTTTATATTTAAATAAGTAACGTGATCGATAAACTGTTGAGTAAATTCGTCCATAATTTGGATATTGTGCGAGCGCACAGGGAAATTTTTGGAACCTAACTCTGAAGCAATGCTTTTTCTGACTCAAATTAAAACCTCAAATTTGTTCAGGTGGCTTGCTTTTGTATTTTAACGGATCGTTACGTGCCAATGTTAGCGAGATTGAAAACGGGCCCCTGCAACTTGGAAATACAGTTGTGGCCACGAAAATTAATAACACTCTCCGAATAATTTCGCTCAACAATAGTGGTGCTGTCATCCAAGATGAAAGGACTCACTTGCTCGTCTCGGCAACTCTTGACCAAAGTTTGTTTGGGCTAACCAGCGGCTTGATGGGAAACTGGAGCGGAATGGACACCGATGACTTTCTGCTGCCCGATGGTGCCATTCTATCTTCTACCCTGACAGATGAACAAATTCATGTTGATTTTGGACCACAATGTAAGGTGTTTGAATCGTATATAAATACTCGGTGATGACGTCTAAACATTGATGATATTATTTTCTTTTTCAGGGGCTGTCACACAAAACAATTCACTGTTTCTTCCAAAGATGGCTGACGAAAGCTTCAATTGTAGTGAAAGCTACCGTCCCATCTTTATTAGTAACTTCACTTTCGGTAATACATCATTAAACGCAACAGCACAGAGCATTTGTGGAGGGAACACTCAGTGTATGTTCGATATTGCCGCAACTTTAAACAATGAGATTGGACAGCAAACGCTGAACAACCAAATGGAAATCCAGACTGAAAATAATGTAGTTGGTAAGTTTCTTTTTTAAATAAAATCAAACTTTGATATCTCAAAGAAAAATTTAAAATAGCGATCAGTGTTTTTGTTGAGAAATTTTACGATGCACTGAAAGACATATTTGAAACCACATCTATACTAAAAGTCTTTTTGTTCTTTTAGATAATAATGCACCAGAATTTACTGTTGAACAAGCAGTTTTAAATGTAACTCTAAATGTGACGTTTCAATATAATGTTACGGCTTTTGACATCGACGGTGACCCATTTACCATCATAGCAGTTCAATTACCACCTGGTGCTAGCGTTCAACAAAATGGCAACAGTAGCACACTTTCCTGGACGCCAAACAACACAACTGCAGTATGTATTTTTTTAAATTTTTAATATATGAAGGTAGTGCACATGTGCACGACTTTGTAAATGGATCCAGAGTTCACAAGAGTCATCACGAAAAGGCATAGCCAAATCCTATAGGGTGTTGAAAAAATCTTTCTCAGTAATTCATTCTGAATCTTCGTACTTAGGTTCAAATTGAATTCGTTGTCACGGACTCAAAGGGTGCAGCATCGTCACTCATAGCATTTATTAATTTGTGCGCATGTGAAAATGGTGGTGTATGTTTCAACGCTCAAACAAGTGGCATCAACTCACTATTGAACAATGAACGTTTCAACGTTTTTGATTGTCGATGCGCTCCAGGCTTCGAAGGAGAATTCTGTCGATCGGAAGTCGATCCGTGTCTCACCGAATCTGGGTCACCTTGCCATCCACAGACCAATTGTACAACAATAAATTCCACTGTCTTCATCTGTGGCCCATGTCCCCCTGGTTTTACAGGAGATGGGAGTAATTGCGCAGGTACGTTTTAGCAAACTGCTGGTTAGTGGAGGATTGCTAAGTACGGAGGCCTGAACAAAGTTGCGTGCCTTTAAGTGATATCTAACCCACACACTTCATTTAATCTCACACTCCTTAGCTTTTTTAATTTATGGCTTGTGTTTATATCCCATAGTTCTAACGAACTTTTGAAAATCGTTGACATGGTCACAAAAAATGTCGTAGAATTCAAATTTCCAAGAAATTGACATTTTCGACTGATCATCAGTAATTGTCTCGCTATTAAACTTTGTTAGTAAACATCATGTCTTTTCTTGAAGATATTAATGAATGCAGCAATATGAATGATGACTGTGATATGGTAAATGGTAACTGTGTAAATACCGCTGGCTCATTTGAGTGTCGATGTCGCAGTGGCTTTCAACTCAATGGAGACAGGAGAACTTGTGATGGTTAGTGCTTGCACCAATTGACACTCATTGCTATATATTAAGCTCTCTGCAGGATAAAACATGACCTATGAATGATCATTTAGTCTTTAACAATTCCTTTAATGTTCTTAAGTGGGCGAAAAAGATTTCTTTACATATAATTAAATGTACCCAAAAACGCTTTCTAAGTTGACAGAAAACTTGCTTCGTGCAACTGACTTGCTTAGCTTCTCCTTAAGTAGCTTGACAAGACTACTTCATCTAATATACTTTTTATCTGTTTAAGATATCAACGAGTGTCTTACTGGTATTCACTGTCAGCAGAATTGTACAAATTTGCCTGGATCCTTCAGCTGTTCGTGCAATGAAAATTTCCAAGTCGATCCAAACAATGCAGAAAATTGCATGCGTGAGTGGTTATAGTAATAGTAGTAGTGCACATATCGTTGTTTTTTAATACAATTGCATGTTCACAAATGAAAGACATTGATTTTTGAGGATATCGCTTTGGGTGCGAATAAAAAATGAAACTTCTATTTTTAAAATGTCAGCCAACATTCAATGTGTGTTCATTTTTGTGAAAAACAGCTCAAGAAATTTGTATTGGACAACATGCCTGTGAGCAAGTATGCTTCGTCGACCAGACTACCCGTCTCAATTTCTGCTCCTGTAATCGAGGCTTCACTTTGCAAAATAATGGTGTAAACTGCACAGGTTTGATTGTTTTAATAATCTCTGAATGAAAATGAGATTTTGCTTTGTGCGCTAAAGTAGGGAGCTTATTATTTTAAAAATCAACCATACTATTGCCACATGTCATGCCTAAGATTTGTTCCACATGCAGGATGTTTGTGTGTGTGTGCGGGGGTTCTTGGTGAGGTAAAGAGTACAAACATATCAACACATTAGGAAAATAATAGTAAAGTGGCTAACTATAATTTTAGAGAAATAAAGAGAGTAGATTTGACGAAAGATATCACTTTCTATTGGAGTCAGGTTTCCAAAATTGATTTGACATATTTTTTTCAGATATTGATGAATGTTCAGGGAATAATAACATATGTGGTCAATTGTGTGCGAACACTCCAGGAAGCTTTGGCTGCTCTTGTATTCCTGGATACAATCTAAACAGCGATGGTACTACTTGTCAAGGTAAGCTGCAATATATACTGCCCGTATACTATCTGTAGAACAAAGAAAAACAAACTATTTTACTTCTTTGAATGTAGAAAGTTGTTTTGTGACTTTTAAAGATAATTCAAAATCTATCTTTTACATAACATTGTTTTATTTCTTTGGACTTGCCTGTTTTGATTTGAACTCGATTCTCGAGTAGTTTTTTGCTTTTATTTTTTATCTTAACTCGCTTATCATTTCAGAAATAATAAAATTTTTATTGCGATATTTAGATATAGACGAGTGTGCAGTTAGTTCACCGTGCAATTCTAGCATTGGCGAGAAATGCTTCAATCTTGCTGGCTCATTTTTTTGCGATTGCAATAACGATCAAAATCTTGTTCGGATAAACGGCGTGTGCAGGGGTGAGCACTTCTTATCAATTTTTGGGTTGTTGCTTGGCCTACGTTAACCTCATATTTTTATATAGCTAATGTGGTAGGATGCTTTAGCAGAGCAAAAGTTTCCAGGATGCTTCTTTTTTACATTCATCTTCTAAATTTAATCGTATAGTTTCGAATGGATCTGTTGTCGAGCCAGCTGATACACCACGTTCTGCTACACCGAGCCAAATTTCAAATTCCCTTCGGTTTCGTATTTTCAACTTCCAATCCATTCAGGTAGAGAAGAAAGTAAATATTGTACACAAAGGCAATCTTCGAAATAAGAAGTTTATTGTATAGTCGAAAGAGAAGTAATTTTCCAAATGCCTATATATAATATACGCATTTTCAAGTGAATGGGCACAATATTGTGTTGATTCATCATCTGATGATGATTGTGTTATGAGTCATCCTTATGAATGCATGGACTTTTAATGTTTGTATTTTTCTTTAAAGTATACGAGAGGAATTGAAACGTCCTTCAAACGTGCTCTTGCCGATGCACTCAACACCTACTGTAATGCAAACATAACAAGAAGACAAGAATGTCTTTTACCGGGGTAAGAAATTACTTAAGAACTTACATCGCTTCATTTACGTTCGTGAATGAAGCGATGTGATTTTTAGTGAAAATGCGTTTGAGAGACGAGCAACTGTCTTTCGATGTTGTCGCCATCTAGAAACTTTATTTTCATATTAATTTTCTAGACCTGGATTCACCTTTACGCAGCTCAACATACATCGGATTCCTGGAAACCTTGAAGATGTTCAAAATGACACCCGAGTTTCATTCTACGTCCTTTACCCGAATGGAACTCAAAATACTAGTGGCTTCTCGGTTCCTTTGAATGTACTTTTGAATGCATGGGGAGAAGAATTGATGGTGATCCAAAACGCGACTGGACTTCAGCTGATCATAGACCAACCCGTGACACCTGTGACTACTACAATCCCACCTACCACGGATGATGATGATGTAGACTGGCCACTTATAGTTGGTGTAACCGTAGCTGGAATAGTGGTACTGGTCTTCATCTTAGTTATCACTATTCTGTAAGTATTTGAAGATGAATAATTATTCGAGTAACTTATTCAACAGGAAATCAATTAAAAAGAAGAACGATTTCACCTTGAAGAGATTTTTTTCCTCTTAGCTCTTTATATAAGCTTTAATTTTTGAAGGGGGGGGGGGGCATTGGAATTCAACTGCCAAAAAATTAGTCCTGCTGCTTAAACACAGGACTTTTAGATATTACATTTTTCCCTATATACAGTCAAACTAGTGATGACATGCTCAATTTGTGTATGTTTCGTTTGTTTTGAAATAGCTACATAAGTTAACTTGTTATATTAACTTCGAAAGGGAATACGCATGGGTTTAAGTGTCAGCTAGTTCAAATTGTGATATAATCATTAAATGTAGATCATTTACAAACATGTGACGATACTCCCGGGTTCAAACCATTTACTTTATAATCATTAAATACTACTTTTCATCACCTTACCACTTATCTTAATCTTTTTTTAGGGCGTGTGCACGACGCCGCAAAAATCGTCGTAAGTCGTTCGACCAACCACCAGGATACTTGGGTACGGACGGTAGACACCCGGGATTTGACGAAGATGGCATACCTGTTGAAGTTGGAGGTAATCGCGGAAGTGCTGAGTACAACTTGCAAAGATAAGGAATTGATGCTGGAAGCACTAAGTTGAAAGATAATCGTAATACATAGCAACTATTAGATAGTAGATAGCGACACCGATATATATTACTTACGAATAAGCAACTACGGCTCTAATCTAAGCGATACAAATTTTCTTAACGAATTGCCTTAGGCTATATAAGACAATCATATTTATTTCCATTACATTTGAATGTATGAATTCAACTGTCTCAGCTGCAATTGTTCGAAACTTTTCACGAGCGCAGTCATTATACAACACTGTAGAAATTTCTACAGGCCTGTCCATCGGTTTAAATCTGATGTGTCATGATTGATACCAACAAAATCAATGTTAATAAGTCAACCTGAGACAGTCATAAATTCATCCATGATTTTTGTAACGTAGAAATGAAAATGACAAGAAAGCGCAACGAAAACATTAATCGTTTTGCTAGAATCTTACATATTGAACATGAAAGGTATTCGTAAAGGGAATATTATCTAAATCATAGATAGAAAAATTTAATTTTAGCAATTAGACGCCGTACAAAAGCAATTGACAATATGCAACATATATAAATTATCTATATTTATTTTTATGCACGAAAATTAAGTAGCTAAAAGAAATCCAAGGGAAAACTAGTATGTTTAATCAATGCGTAATATTTATATTTATTATCTAGATGTAAAAATACAACTTTTTAGTAGGAATAGCTTTAGTAAATTGAAGAAATCAAGCATATTATAATAATTAGTAAAATTTGAAATTCAGTGGTTGTTAATTTTTAGTGCATTATCATAAAAGTGTTTGGTGGAGGGGGTGAGGGCATGCATATTCTAGAAGTTATGAGCTCCAATTCGGCATTAGACTACTGGCAAATGGTTTAAGCTAATGCAATAAAAAAATTTCAACACTATTTGCGAAAGTGGCTCGAGCCACGGTCAGAATTTTCAAACTTTTGAGATTACATTTTATCAATAAGATTAGAAATTTTGCTGTATTTACTTGAAATACCCCGAAGCAATCTTTTTACAGATATTGTCTGTATTTTTCTTCCACGACATGTACTGATCTAGGGTTACGTCATGAGACTTAGATTCATCAACTGGTCTTATTTTGTTATTTTCTATCATAATGTTAAGTTGTTGATTTGCAATATTTTGATAAGTGGTTTAGAACCAATCAACATAAATTAAGTCTTTGCAACATTTAAGCTTAGTTTATTAGCAATCAACCATCCCCTTAGACGTTCAAGATCAAAATTCATAGCAGCTTCGAATTCATCGATTGAGTTTCCTGCTGCTGTTAAATTTGTATCATCAGGAAACAATCTGGGTTTTGTTTTCACTAAATATTGAGGTAGATCGTGAATATCAATAAAAAAAGTAATTCCTAGAATGGAACCTTGAGGTACACCGCAATTCACCAGCTGTTTACATGAAACAGCTCCATTAATTTGACATATCTGAGTGCGGTTTGTCAAGTAAGATGTCATTTAAGATAAAGCATGGCAGTTTTTCACCATAAATTGGTCGACAGTTTGGTTGAGAAACTTCTATGCAAACAGCCTCATTCAGAAGGAAAAGGCCTTTTCCAACTATGTAGTTTATGGAGCTACGTATGTATAGGCAAACTTCACCCACGTTTCTTGACCTGTCGTTTCTTATTACATCATACCCATAAATGTAAATCATATTATTGGTTATTGTTGAATCAAGACGGGTTTCATTTAGGGCACATAAGAAGAGTTATTGCGGACAAATTTGGAAAATTGCAATAAAAAAAATTGCAATTTGAAAATTTGAAAAATTGCTATTTTGGAATATTGCGGACAAATTTGAAGAGATATTGTGGACAAAAAATGGGGAATTATGTTATGCTCTGAAATTTAGTGACAAACTAAATAACATGCGGCAAGATGAAGTTGTTTAGAAACTACTTGTCTCAGCTCCATATTCAAGTCATAGAGCCACGTGACTTCGTATTCGCCAATGTGGAGCCACGAATATGGAGCTGACTGGCTCGTCGTGAAGAAAGGCTGTGCTGTATAAACTCTACTGGCGATATCATACTGCAACCATCAGAAATTTATAAGCTACCCCTCTTATTGAAATTTGAAAAATCCATACATTATGCCCTGTTCGGTATGAATGTTTATATAATAACCAAAAGAATTAGAGCAATTTCATTGGTCGAGATTTATGATCTATAGGAGGACATACGCACGGAATTGACGTCACAGTAAATTTTATGTTTGTAAAACAGATGGCGGATATATTTGAAAATTTTTCGCATACCTCTATGAATGGGAAAATAAAGATATTCACGAAGACCAAGTTGAGGCAGTTAACGTATTTGAGCAAAAAGAAAAGAAAAAACCCGGTTTTCAAACATTAATTTCTACTTTGTCTTCGATAACAAAATTTCATCAAAATTGATCAGCCATTGCTTGCTTGTTTTGTTAGCTAATCACATTTTATCACGTGATTAAGCTAGCCAATAGCATTTCTTCAATTGTATAGACACGTCAGCGTGGTATTTGCAAAATCAAGACTTTGCAATGTTCCAAGTGTTGGGAGACAAAGAAAACGAGCTGTTTGACGGTTTATTTTGGGAATTTTTTTGATTTTATTATATAAAACAAATAGATAACATTGAACCTTTGTCTATACAGTTATAGATACACGTGTATGACGTCAATTGTGATAAAAACTAAAACTTGGACACAGTGTTCAGCTCAGTGCTCATTGATTTATTGTTGAATGTGAAATGAAATAATTTACTATATTATTAGGTTCTATGTTATTACTAATCTTTCATTAAAATTTAACTTCATGGTGTTTTTATCCATGTGCAAGTTACTGAATTTTACATGCCATTTACCTCCATACTTCCTCATACTGACAAACCTCATGCAGATAAACTGATAAAGTTTCATTGCATTATATGTTAACCTACTGCTAATGAAGATGCTATTTAAATAACTAGCCCCTATTTTAGGGGGACGAACCAAAATATTGATGTTGTTCATGAATCATTATGTCACCCAAATCCTCAGAGTCATACTTAGTTGCTCGTCTAAAGAACTCCATGACTTATGGTCTCAAATTCAGCTGTCTGTAATATTGATAGTATAACTATGATGGTCAATGCTCAATTTTTAAATAAACAAATTTACAGCATTTTGGCTATCCTGTTGGATCCCATTATGATTTGTTTTAGTCAAATAGTAGTTATTTGGTAAAGCATAAAGATTTTAAGTACATGCAAATAAAGAAAAGGACATTTTGGAAATGAAATAGCTTCAGGTAGCCATTTTGTTAAATCTCACTCCAGGAAAATTCTTTTCCAGACAGAGTATAATTTGAGTTGGGTTTTTTTCAAAGATAAGGACAAAATTACTTTACGTCACAAAGAAGCTGACATTCCGCTCAAACATTTATTTACAAATAATGAAAAAATATTCACAAAATAGTCATCGAGGCCTAAATGCTAGTGGGAGTGGTCTATTCAGTGCATGTTCAGTTACATTTGCTTGGAAAGAGAGTCTGTCTGCTTACTTCAAATACCTCACCAGTCTTGAACTGTCTAAGAATAAAAAATGAAATTCTACTATTATATCATCCAGTCCAAGCAATTAGAGTGTTCAGTTTCCACTACCTGGGACATGAATGATGCACCTAACTCCTTTGAAAATTCTTATGAAAATCTTTGAATATTACTGCAGTTTTACAAAAAGTGGAGAATGTGGCTAAAAATTCCTCATTTTTAGTTATATCCTTGATATTCATACTTGCCTCAGTCCACAATAATTCATTGTGCTGTCCAGGCATACTATCTACTTAAACTTGTTATGTAATAATGTAGGAACATCCGGATTATTTCTCTAAAATGTTTAGATACACTTTGCATTATATCCCAGAGATTATCTTAATGGTAGTGCATATGTTTAGTTTTGCTGTGATGCGTTTCTCTTGTTTTGTGTATCAAAAATTACCATCCATTAAAAATCATTTTATTACATAGTGCAAACCAGTAAAAGTGCTTGGAGACGATTATTTCAAAGCACAATTTCTAAACTTAGTGAGGCTTATACAAATAACAATGTTTCCGAGGTTCCAACTAAAAAATTTTTGTGAACAAATATTTACCGTATCCCCCCCCCCGAACATCCTTAAATTTGAAGTGCACCACGGTCAGGCTTTCATCTGGATACGCACCTAACTGCTCAGTCTTAATACCTTTTCGTTTTGCGCTATTACAAAAGGGGGGAGGGCTTCATACCTCAGGCCCCCTGTTCCAGCATTCCTGACAAAGGCCACTTCTTATATCAAAAAATCAACTTTATGCCTGTCAATTCCCCATGGTTTAAGTACATATAATATATATTTAGTCTGATCATTTAGTCCATAACTGATGAAATTAATTAAAAAATTGTTATGAAATCTCTAGGTGAAAGAGATTTTGTAGCTCAAAAGTTTGTCCATCATATGACAGTTCACAAAGCATTTTTGATATGAGCTTTATCCAATTTTTCAAGGTTGTGTTACGACTGTACAACGTACAAAGTTATGTCGCAACATACAAAGCTGTGCCACAGCGTACAAAGTTTTATTAGTCAAGCTCGCAAACTTTCCTAAAAATTTTGTAATAATAATAACTCCTTATACTGACAGACTTAATTAAGTCTTGACAATATTTCGTGCAAATACAATAAGGATTAAAGTAGGTCTCTGATTGGTTTGACAAATTACAAGCTCTCTGTTAAATTGAGCAACTAAAAACTGAATGTTCTCAAAAACCAGAGACGCTGGCAAGAGAGGCGTCTGCCTCTCCTCCCCCCCCCCAGTATTTCTGTTTAAAGGTCTTTATATATGTAGCTTGAAAACATCAGTCATATAAAGCAGAGATTAATATATGTAAGTGACGATCGTGTATGTTTTGCCCCCCAAAAGACAATCCTCCAGCGGCACTGAGCCAGAGATAACTTCATTTGACTTAAACCTTAAACACCTTTCAATCAATTTGAGGAAATCGAAGAATTAATGAACAACTAGCATAGTGACTAGGATAATTACGCTGAAGAACAAATCAATGAATTGCCATCATGATTAAAAACAAGAATTAAAAAAAAGAACTCACAAAGAAAGAATTCACAATGGATGAGCAATATGATGGTATTTTTATCGACATTTTCTGTGAAATGAAAATCTTTCCTATAACATTGTCAAATTTTACTATAACGAAACAACACCAGTAGTAAACAATGGAATTTAAAATTTGTTGTAAAGCAAGTGTGCTATTGCCGCCACAAATGGAAACGTGGGTAATATACGAGGAAGGACAATTGGTTCCTAACTGAAATTATCAAAAGGATCACGAAGTAAGAAAGACCCAACAAAGAGTGATGCTTGTGATTACAGAAGAATTTAATTACTATGTGCTACATTCTCATTAATGAGTATTCTGTGCTTGGAAAAAATTATTTTTGGTTGGATGGAAAACGTTGCAAACAAGGAATATGTACAGTTGGAGGAACATACTTAATTTTAACTGGATCCAGTTCAGTTATCACCAGTGGCAAATAAATGTCTTTATCAGGCAAAACCCACTAACGCTGTTTGCGAGCGAAATTTTAAGCACTTGAAATGTTTTATAAAGTTATTGAACCTACAGATTATCATTGGGTGCAAGTTATTATTGAGACTTCGCAAAGGCGAGTCAAAAATTGATGTCTGGAAATTGCATTTTTCTAGTCAACATTCA